CATTCCATTGTAGTTATTTTTTGCTAAATGCTGTAAACATCTATACATACATCCTCAAAAACTTTCTATTTCTATTTTCTAGTAGGTAGCATTTACCAAAAAATAACTACAATGGAAATAGTGGAAATAAATAGTTGCACTAGTTCCGTTGTGTAGTCCAATGGAACTAGTAGGATCAAAGTAGTTGCATTAGTTCTATGGTGGAACAGTTCAACGGAAGTAGTAGGAATGATTTCCATAGGCAAACTGCCCCTGATAGGAACCTATATCGTATATTTTAGAGGGTACTAATAGTAGTTCATTGAATAGACAATTAGCTCTGTATAAGATACGGAGCTAATTGTCTAACTGAGGAGCTATTTAAAAAAGTGTATGGGGCGACGTTTTTAAAGTAATATATCTCTATTGATTTTCAACCTACACCTTCATTGCGTCAAGACAATTAATATATTTTTTTCCAAAGTGGTAACTGTTTGATCTGATAGAAACCAATATTTATTTTTTAATATTTTTATTTATGCTTAGTTCATGGAAATTTAGATAAAATAAACTGTAAAATGTACCATAAACACTGAAATTTGTTTTATCTTTCTAGCTTTAAAATCAACAGATATATTATTTTGAAAAAATGTCGCCCCCAGACACTTTTTTTTAAATAGCTCCTCAATTAACTAAGATATATAGCAATTTTTCTATTTAATTAACTACTATTAAATAAAATAAATAAATAAATATTCCACAACTATCACACCATGCCATCTAGCCCCAAGCTAAGCAGAGCTTCTGTTATGGGAACTAGACAACTGATAAACTTACTTATGTATTTCTAAATACATACATATTATAGATAAATTACAGACAGACACAGAACAAATGATCGTGCTCATCACATAAACATTTGTCCTGGGTGGGAATCGAACCCACGACCTCTGGCATAGCAGTCAGGGTCACTAGATCAACAGGCCAGTCATATTAGTACAATATAACATAGGTTACATTATAGGTTCCTATCGGGGGCAGCTTTTGTTTTTTTTTTAGTTTAAGATTACAATGTGATTTACATTGATTGAAAAGTAGCCCCATTAAGTAGTAGGCATACATAATTGGAGATGCTATGATTGGGCTCTCTGTGTAACGTACAATTTACCATCATGAGTAACATTGATATGACTAGGTACATATGATAATAAATTATCATGAAACATAAATATCCTTTTCTTCACATCAGAATACTTGACTTCAAAACAATCTAAATGAAAATTAAAGTCAATCGTCGATAGTAATGTAGTTTCAAAAATAATTTTGTCTTAGTTGTATATATAAAGATTATTGACATTCATAAATGTAACATTTCCGATATCATCATAATTCCCAGTTACATTATGAAGAAGAATCGTCCCAGGTTTATAAAGAATACTCTTTACTTTTGCCCATGTAACAGATACAAGAGATAGACTCGGGTCTAAATTTAAGTAAGATATAACAGTACTCCGGTCAAGTTTTGAGATTCTCTTCGTAACACCAACAGAAATAGGAGATTTCAATGAGCCTTCAACAAATATTTTGTTCAACTGCAACTGGTGTTTTTTAGCTAAGCTAAGAGTTATATTGCGTCGATTAAAGTTAGCTCGAGCAGAAATTTTTGAAACGCGATGCTTGGCCTCGTATCGCATACTCCAAAAGTTTACAAGTGGGCCAAATTTTAAAATCATTGAAGGGTAATGGACCAAAAAGTGAAATTTAGGTTTGAGGGTTTCATTACTTAATTTTATATAAAGCTCGTTGAGTTCACTTATTAAAAATTGTAATAAATTACATTTTTCTTTATTAAATATAGTACTCATTAATAAGTTAATTATGTTTCGCAAAGTTAAGTAAAGGGTCCAGTAAGGGTCATCAGTTGGGACGTAATCGCCCACAAGCAAATTAAAGTATCTCACAAATGATAGCATTTCAGAAGCTGATAGTCGAATAACATTATTTGTCATTATTTGACAAGGTCTACTTGAGCTGTCTGGACCAAAGTCAAAATGTTCCATTCTGTCATTCAAAGTTTTTAATGTGAAATATTTTAATTCGCTAGTATATTTTACAATAATAAATGACATGATGTACTTGGCTACGCCCTCTAAAATATCGTGCATTATGTCAACACCTAGTTGGTCAAATAAACTAAAGTTAGTAACTGAGAGCCATACACATTTTTCTTTGATACCAGTGTGAGATGAGGAGTTAAGTAGTAATTGGGCGTTGTAATTTTCAGAATTACGAAGCAAATTTACGTTTTCAAATAACTGATCTTTCAAGTTTTCTTTTGACACATTGCAAATACGGCATGGAAAGTTTGAAGAAAATGTTTCATTAAATCCGGCAATTGAGTGTATCCCAAGGTTGTCTCCAAGAATTAGCCCTAATCTGAAATACAATTTGCCTTTATATTCAGGCACATCTATGTTCACACCAGTTTCTGATAAAAAATTTAATTCTTGTATCAAAGGTTCAAATATCACATTGTTTCCAAAAACTATTCTATCTGTGGAGTGAAATAATAAAGCCAGAAATATGTTATCTAGGGAAGATATTCGGTCCGGAGGCATGCAAGCAACTGAAACATACACAGCTCCTAATTTGTGTATTCCAGAATGAGTTCCAAGTACATTTCCTGTCTCATAATCATCAAAATACATGAATAAAGGAAATACCAATTTATCATCATATTGTTCAATGACACTTCTCCAATAGTTACCTTGGACAAAGTTTTGCAAACAGTTAGAGTTCAAGCTGTTAACATAATCGAATGTTTCTTTGATCACACCTTTGAGTGAAAAAAAATTTTGCAACACGAATCGAAGAGGTATTAGCTGCTCTGTACATTCTATTGATTTATATTTGACTACCCCTCGTTCTTTGATATTACACATTCTATTACCTATTACAACTGTTTTTGGTGGTATATAAGTCCCCTGCTTTTCTAAGAACCCAAGTCTTTTGAATTCAGTGTCAAACTCCTTACACTCATCTTTTACAATAGACAAAAGCTTTTCTTTAAAAGGTCTAATATAATTTCCTTGTTCAGCAGTTGTCGTTATTTCTGAAAATACACTTTCTATGTTTGATGTTAAACTACTACACATATACCTGTGTATGCCATCGACTACATCTTGAATGACATTTCTCGGAAGCAGAGGATTTGCATACAGGGATGAAATAAAATGAACTAAAGTATACTTGTTAGTTTCTAATGGGGGTTCAACAAAATTCAAGGAGATATTAGAATGTGAATGCGAGGGTTCATGAACTGATATATTACTAGTATTTTCAGAATCGGAATTTAATATCCTACCCCTAGCAGTAGCATGACTATGGTATAGATGTTTTCGATAGGTATTTCTTAAATGGAAAGAACGATTACAATCATCTTCAATGCAATGATAAACACTAAAATTTTGTCTTTCATGATTCAAAGAAAAATGTGTCATTAGGTTCGATACACTTGTCAGGTCTTTCAAACATAGGAAACACTTGGGCATTTTAGTTTGTATGCTTATATGCGATTTATGTGATCAATGCTTAGTTCTTTATGTTTTAATGCCGAGATCCGATATAAGTGTATTTACTGCAGTAAAGCTTTTATCATATTTCGTTTTTAACTCAAAAAGTACAGTTTGTACAAACTGCCAGACATGACGGGACTCTTTAGGATATTCAGCATTCAATACAAAAATCGCCTTTAAACAAGCTTCTACAGCTTTTGTAATAGTTGGCATTTCATATGTTATGTTATTAATCACTATGTACCTTATTGATGTACGTCAGGCTGGCCCGGCCCCATGAAATTTAATAATGAGATTGTTATCAATCCAATGTACCCGGGTATACTAATATATGTAACACCTTCATTTTCAATGTAACTCTTTTTAAAAGAAATTACGTGCACTTCTTAGTGGCCGGGCCAGCCTGACGTTTTCAGCCCGGCCACCTTGTTTCCCACTAATCTACAAAAAATACTGGCAATATTGTGCTACAGATGAAATGTACCCTATAATTTATGCATATGTAACACAAAATCGAATCCTAAAATGCAATAGCATACGAAATATTAGCGGTTGCAGGTGGCCGGGCTGAAATTATTTCGTTACTATAAAACAGTAAAACTGCAACACCTACCAAAAAATAATACCAGTACATAATGAGATATAGAGATATAGAATACATGTAACGCTTTCATTTTAAATTATAATACATATTTAGAAAGAATAATCACTTGAAATTATATTTCAGCCCGGCCACCTAAAAGCGGTAATATTCCCTAAAATCTTATGCTAATTTGTACAGTAAAACCTGATACAGCTATGAAATGAAAGTTACATTCGTTTTGTTTTAGTCGTATACCTTTAAGCCTTCTGTTTGACTAGATTATCAAAATCTGAGAAACTTGCCGAAGAGTGACTATCATTTATTAACTAATTTCAGGACATTTGGTTTGTTGAGTGAAACAAAATTGGTAATTGTCATATTTTTTTAATAATCATTTTTGAAATTAGTTAGACAACATTTGTACTTATATTAATTAGGTACTATAACAATTGTTAATTATAAATAATGTAAAAAAAGGTTACACATTGATAATAACACAGTTATCAAAAAATTATAGTAATATCAATATTACCTTAACATCGCACATTCATTCATTCAGAATATTAGAAGATAATTTTTGGTTAAATACTTATTATACCTTGGTAAAAAATCACAGATTTTCATAATGATTTTTACATCTTTTCTGTCTACTCGGGGAAAATATCTTACGACTTAGGTTGGGACGCGACACAGGCGCCGTCTAAAAATCGGTGGTAGCGTCTGTGAACTATTATCTTTGTATGGTTATGTTGTGAAGCCAAAAACGGAGAAAATATATATAGGTTTAGGTATTATGTATCCAACAATTATTATGTGTGATTTATACTACTTAGTTTATTAATAAAAATATCATAGTAACCAATTTTGTTTCACTCAACAAACCAAATGTCCTGAAATTAGTTAATAAATGATAGTCACTCTTCGGCAAGTTTCTCAGATTTTGATAATCTAGTCAAACAGAAGGCTTAAAGGTATACGACTAAAACAAAACGAATGTAACTTTCATTTCATAGCTGTATCAGGTTTTACTGTACAAATTAGCATAAGATTTTAGGGAATATTACCGCTTTTAGGTGGCCGGGCTGAAATATAATTTCAAGTGATTATTCTTTCTAAATATGTATTATAATTTAAAATGAAAGCGTTACATGTATTCTATATCTCTATATCTCATTATGTACTGGTATTATTTTTTGGTAGGTGTTGCAGTTTTACTGTTTTATAGTAACGAAATAATTTCAGCCCGGCCACCTGCAACCGCTAATATTTCGTATGCTATTGCATTTTAGGATTCGATTTTGTGTTACATATGCATAAATTATAGGGTACATTTCATCTGTAGCACAATATTGCCAGTATTTTTTGTAGATTAGTGGGAAACAAGGTGGCCGGGCTGAAAACGTCAGGCTGGCCCGGCCACTAAGAAGTGCACGTAATTTCTTTTAAAAAGAGTTACATTGAAAATGAAGGTGTTACATATATTAGTATACCCGGGTACATTGGATTGATAACAATCTCATTATTAAATTCCATGGGGCCGGGCCAGCCTGACGTACATCCTTGCTGTTATTGATTCATTCGGTGAAACAACTGCAATTACAAAAGGTTGCATTTGAAGGTCCATTTTCATAAGCTTGTCTCTTTTTCTTGTTATCTCTACTGCTACCTCAGCTGGACTTGCGACTTGAGTTATGAAGCCTTCCAATACCTCTCGCTTTGATGGTCTCCAGTGTGTCTTTTTAGTTGCTTTCTTTGTAGAAGTAACATTTGATGTGCTCATCAAAAAAGGTAGCGATGTTAAAGCGGCTAAATCAGTTTGTTCTTCATTGGACTCTGTAATAAATAAGAAAATATAAATAACCCTCTTTCTAGCGCTGTCAGATAATTAAATAACCCTTTAGGTATCTCCATCAAAGGAAGAAGTCATCAATTATCATCATCATCATGTAAGTTACAAAGCCGATGAACGACCCGACAAGCCCTGGTTGCCAATCATTCCCACTAATTCCGTTGAAGAATTCCATCATCATCATGATTGTGATTCAGCCTGCATTGTCCTAACTAAACCACGAACAACATAAAAATCTTTCACCCAGTTTATTGTTTCCTGTGATGTGAACCGACAACCTATGAATCAAAAGTCAAGGCTGTGAATGACTGGACCATGGAGGTAGTTATTTTCACATAAAAACGGATAACGATAACATTAGTGCAAAGCTATTGCTGCTGCTGTTTATTTAGAAGAAGTAAGAACAACAAATATTAAAACGAAAAAACCTTATTCACTTACCATCAATCTCATTTATTAATCCTTTCTTTTTTGCAATGCTTATAAGTTTTGATTTAATTAAGGGCCAATTTTCATTAAACTTGTCTCCGTAGTCTGGGTACATTATCTTAAAATCCTTCAGTAACTGAAAATAAATGTTAGATTAACAGAAATCAAGTAGAAAAAAAAATTAAGTACCTAACTGTGGTTTCTAGTCACCATATATTACCAGTTGCCCTTGTTTTGAACACCACCTGAGGCAAATAGGAATGATTACCCACAAAGCAGGAGTAACTGGGAATATAGGATAAACTTCAAGGGCAAACTACTAACATGACTTACCAAATATATTCCACCGGACAGATTGATAGCCTTATATTTTGTGAAATAATTTGAAATAGTCATATTTTTAGAAGCAAGATCGTTTAACCTTTCTTTAGTAGTAACTTCCCAATATGATTCTACCATTTGCCATGGATCACAGTTGTTCTGAAGCCATAATAACTTCTCTGAGATGTTAACACTTTTGCTTCCTTCGAGGTGACTAATAGCTTCCTGTGCACTTGTACTGGGCCGGGGAGAATATTGCTCATTTGAGTTTGAACTGCTTGAGGAGCAACGTCTTTCAAAACTTTTAATAATTCCTGATTTGATAAAATCTCGGCGACGTTGTCGATATTGGTCTAGTAATTTTCCTTTTGCCGAAGTCTTTTGCAGCGGGCTGAAGCTTGCATATGGTATAAAATATACCGATGAACTTTCCTGTTTGAAGATTTTGCTTATTTCATATGCCAGTTGATAAAACCTTGAACTAGGAATTTTTTTCTCTGCATCATTTTTCAGCTCGTGTGTAATTATTAGATTGCAAAGTCTTCGCCTGGCTGCATTATTCAAGAGACCCTTTTCTTGGTATTGCAGCAAAAGACCTTTGCCTTCATTTGATGAACTTAGGATTCCATATAATTCCTAGAAACATTTATATAATTAATAATAGAAAGAAAAAAACATAAAAATGTAAGTCTTTGGAAAGAATAAAATACAGTCTTAAAATAGTCAACTGTTCCTCTTTCCTCCCCAACACCTAGAATTAAAAAATCTTAGCAAAATCCTAAAAAGAATGTCAAAATAACTAACGCAATCATATTCCGGCTTATCCTCTTCTATTTCATTAATTGTTTCAGACATTTCAGGGGGGTCTTCATCATCAGGTAATGTCTGTACAACTGGCAAATCTTCCACTGTATACAGCATTATTTGGTTGTTTGAGTCCGGAGTAGTATTAGCACACTGAAATATAAAATAATAACCTGATCAAACTCTAACATGGTTTTATATGACAACTACTGTCCGAGACAGTGACAGGGACTGATGGCTGAACATGCCTTCCAAAGCACAGGATAACCTACTGGACAGACAACAACCCTGGATTTGGTTCGGCCTGCATTATCCTAATCAAACTGGGAACAACTTCACAAAATGACTTTCATGCTCTAAGTATTTTCCATGGGATTCAATTCCACAACCTCTGGATCAAGTGCCAAAGCCCCAAACCACTAGACCACAGAAACAGTAATGAAATTAAAAAGTAATCATTACTAACATACATACATGAATTATAACATATATACATGTTTTTATTAAATATTTTAATGTTAACTAGTAAATGTCACGCGATTTCACCCGTGTAGTTCCCGATCTATGGAGATAAACTATAGCCTATGTTACTCAGGGTAAATGTAGCTTTCTAATTATAAAAGGATTTTTGAAATTGGTGCAGTAGTTTTTGAGTTTATTCATTACAAACACACACACACACAGAAATACAAATCTTAATTGTTCTATAATTGTGTCTATAATGACGGTACGAGTTAAATGACTAATTAAGTATTAATTATTGTTATTATTACTTACAGTGTTCTCAAAAGCATTTGACATTATATTGGTCAAAAGTTTGATTTGTGTCGTCAGCTTAGCCCGGTGTCCAATAATTGGCACTAAGTCTTTCAGGTCAGCCTCTGACAACATTTGGAGAGTCTCCACATCAATGGATTCTTCTGAAATAATATGGATAAGTTTAGTCTTTTTATCTCCGCACTAAGTCAGTTAGTCAGCTTGTTTACCTACTAGTACCACAGTACTTTTCTTAATAGAAATAAGAGTTGGTTGGGAGAGGACAGGCCCTAGGTTATGTAGGTGCGGGGGTCAGTGGTTCATCTTTGGGTGTGGTAGGTATGCAGTTAATAATATCATACACTAAGAAAGCAAAAGATCTGCATAAATAGTCAAACAATAGCTCATAACACTCCATTGCTGAACATATAATAACATATATGCGTTCTCCAATACTGCAGAGTACTGTACATAATCTCCATGTTTGGAAGAAAACGCTGCTACCCGTTTCCTGGCCTACGAAAGTACCTATTAGGCGGTAAACCTTGACATCAGTCGCCATGTGCCACACCCTGATGTGTAGTAGTATGGTGCTTGCTTTTCTACTTTTCGGCAAAGTAGCACTACGCATCTAAGAAGAATGCAAAAGTGCATCTAACGGGAAATGCCCTGTTTAAAATAGTGATTTAACGAATGAAACACTGTTGTCCTAATTATGTAAGAAATAGAAGTGAAAAACACTCACCCAAAAATTTTGGAATGTAAGCTTCCAATCCCCAAGACCGCAGATAGTCCGAGATCGTTTTCTCTGCCGCCTCGTCTACCGGCGGCGGCTCCATTCTTGAAATCTTCTTGACGTTGCTTGATGATATAAGATACATGCATAAAATCGAAAACGCCGGCTTTTCCGCTCGCCATAGACGATGCACATTGCACAACAGACACACATCCACTACCTACCAGGGTTGCCAAAGCTAATTCATCCAAATCCCCAAAAATCTTGATCCAATTACGCAATTTGGGGATAAAAATCCGCTGATTCCCCATAAAATTCCCCTTAAAAGTTTTTTATGAAATTAAATTATTTCCAATTATTTAAATAATATTTATTGTTTATCTTTTATATTTTTTTAAATATTTTTTATATTCAATTCATATACTACATACTTCGTTGTTAATTTTAATAAAAAAAAATATTTTAATTAAGTAATTGTTTGCTTATAATCTTTAAATAATTATCAATTTCATATCATAAATCGTGAAGTTATAGATAACTTAAGTCGATAAGTGCAAAAGACAAATACACTCTGAATTACCGTTAAAATACATTATTAGTTGTAGTGAAAATAAATCCCGCAAGATGTCGGATTTTGTGACGGTTTCGTCATAACACCTATCACAAAATCGTTTTGTGACGGTCATAAGCACGTAAAATTACCGTCACGGAGTAACGTGTCTCTAGACATACATAATGATTAAAAAAAATGTCGTTATAGATATATAGTAAACGATGCTTTATTTTCCCATGAGAATAAGATTTCAAAATCCCCGTATTTTCCCCACATAATGCCAATCCCCAATAAATCCCCTACCAACTTGAGATTCCCCCGCAGTTTGGGGAAATCCCCACAAATTGGCAACCCTGCTACCTACACTCGCCTCGCAAGTACCTACTCGCAACGCAACACGAGAAGAACAGGTTTCTACAGGTTACTTCCGTGACCGTTAGTGTTTGAACTTTGATGTAACCAAAACGTTTTGTTATGCACAGCATAACTTTATTCACCACCTATTATATTGCTGTATTATTGATAACCAAAAATATTCTAAAACCAACATAATCAATATTAGTTGATCTCAGCCAAATTTTTTGTTTATTTTTAGTAACTTTGCAAAACAAATCTCAACAATACTATTTAGCTGGTAACAAACTAATATAGCAGACTTGAAAAACAGCAACTATTCGTTAAAAAAATAGTTTTAGTTGGGTCAACTGTAAAATCACAAGTGTGTAGAGTATAGCCAAACATATTATGTTGCAAAGTGCCGAAACCGAATTTTGTATTGGATAACATAAAATTTTGTAGCTTATAACCAAATCAAATAACAAAAACATTTTTGTAAAATGTAACAGAAGCAGTTGATCAATACGTAAATGAAATTCGTTTGTCTTTTATCAAGGTTTGGTTATTTGTGAATTAACTCAACTAGTTTTGTAAAATACTTTTTTCAGTGCAACCCGATAAATAAATAAGATGATTTATCTTTAGACTTGTTCTGTTGTTTTTTCAGCTAACAGTATCAACATTCCACCAATGGAACGGCGTTGCTGGTCACGTCGTACCTCTTCTACTTGCCTTTTTCTTAGGTTCATACAGCGATAAACGAGGTAGAAAAGTAATACTCCTCGCTGGCCTTCTTGGAAAGCTATATTTCTCAGCAATGATCACATTAAATACCGCGAAAGGTGAGTAAAGAATAATATATAGGTATAGTTCATTTCAAAGCGCCTTCTGTCTGTTTATTGACGCACGAGTTTCATTCAATATTTTACAACCAGTTCGAATATATAGTCAATCATAGAATGAGAGATTATGAGAACAGCGCAGTTTAATTGAAGTACGGTATCGGTCCATATAATCCATGTACTGTTGATATATTCGATTATTGCTTCGTTTGTTACGAGAAAGACAACTCCGCAATTTACCTTAACCGTTTTTAGCATTGTATAAGAAATTGATCTCATAAGAACTTTTATCAAGTAAAAACTCTTGAAAATCTTATCATTTTTTTTCATCTTATCATCCTAACGCTAACGCGACTAGTCACGTTTGCACTTAAATAACTACTTTCTCAGCAATTTAAAACTTCGAAAAAACACTACCGATAAAAAACAAAACCGAAAGTGTAATACAGTGGGTAGAAAATGTAAACAATATATAAAAACTAATTGACAACCACATTAGCCGTGCGCGCAGAAATGCGACTCGGCTAAAGGGTCTCGGGTTCAATTTCCGGGTTGGGCAAATTTATTATTGGGTGATTTAAAAAATCTCAGTAGTAGCATAAAGTCTGGAAATGTGCCCAGTATTTGGTAATAGACTCTCCCCCTATTACATGGGATTCATAATATATATAGTGAAAATTGGGTGTTACCTTGTACAGTGGCTTTAAATGCCGTAATGTGCACCTCTGCCTACCCCTTCGGGGATAAAAGACGTGATCTTATGTGCTATGTTATATTATAAAAACTAATTGTATGCAAAAACACGAACGAAGACACTATTTATTAAATTCGCGGTAAAAACATCTTGTTTCTCCTTTTGGTTTTGTCTTAGAACCTTAGATTAATGATTGGTCTCGCTCCGCTCCAGCGTTTTTATTTTAAGGGTTTTGTATTTTTATCAACTTCAAAAATAAACACAGCGAGGAGTTTCTCAAATCGCTTGGATATTGTTTTAACGAATGCTCATGACGAAAACTGATTTACTTGTAGTCACAAAATACTATGTATAGGCATATTATATTTTTCAAAACACTTGTGATTTTATTTGTACGAAATTGTTTCTGTACCTTGTAACAATGCCAACTGTTGTAAAATACATTATGGAATGCAATAAAGTATTTATTATTATTACGAATATTGATATAACCAAACGCATAACTGTGCTATAACAGTTTTAAAATCATCACAGGTGGATCATTATATAAACTTCTTAAGTATATTTTTTTATATGAGACCTTAATATTATTAAAATTCACCATTAATAATAATTGATTATTTGTGACCTGATGTTTAACGTTTCAGACTTAATATAAATATTTTATCAATAAGATAAATGGCTTCATGACATGAATCGTATCTAAATACATAGTACTCGAACCGTATTATGCCTAAATAGATCTCCGATACGTCCATCATACTGATTGTTTGACAAGTCAAGGTCTTTATACACGTAGTAACCCACAAATGCGGAAAATTGCCTTGTAATATGTGAATAGTATTATACGATATTGCCGTCGTTTTACATTTCCGTTCCATTGTAAGAATAAATGCCGTTATCATCCTCGTGGCTCGTGTTTTAAGATATTAACTAGGTTAGGTATCTACCATTACAAGACTACCATGCTTCAAATCAAAATCATGCCAATAGCTAAGGAGTCAATCAAAAAGTAATAAGTTGGCAGCATTCACAGCTCGACTGTACGATAGGTAATAAATATACGTTACATGTACATCGAAGCTTACAAAAATCATTTATCGAAGAGTGTTTCAAAATTGTTTTAGTAGTAGTTAATAAAGTGGCAGCTATTAGAGTATTTAGGACTAAAATATGCCCAGAATACTAGTGCCCTTGAAGCTGCCGACCATTTAATGGGCTCCCAAGGCCGACTCGAAGCAGAAGTAGGAACAGGGTATCTTTTAGTCAGTGAGAGTCTGACACTCCCTCTCGCCACAACCAAGGCGAAAGAAACAATTGGATGATTTCCCCCCTCATTAAACAAGGATAATAGTGCCATTAAAACTAGACTAGACAATTCTCAAATACGGGGCCTTAGTAGGCGTAGTTCTACTTTCTAGGCCTCACTAGACCAATAATACTTTCAAGTCTTAAAGCTATGTATAGGTCATCAGTCAGTTCAATAACTGGGCAGGTAATCGATGCTGATACCGAGGCTTCGAACCAGATACAAACTGCACTGAATTAAACGTCTAAGATTGCAAATAGGCCAAGTAGATGCAATAATTTACCTTTTCTTAACTTACTTATCTCAATGACGTCCATAATTAAGGATCCATTTGCTTACAATTCTTTTCTTGTTAATGAGGTAGAATTGTAAATCAACATCATAAGAAATAATAGGTACCTACCTAAAATAAAATTGAAGAAAGGATCGAATTCAATTTCTTATTTTCGATATATACTAAATACTGAATTGTGTATTGTCGTTCACGTTTCAGCTTGGCCCGTGGAATATGTGATATACACTGCGGCACTGCCGAGTGCTCTAACCGGTGCTGACCTAGCAATATTCGCTGGCTGCTTCGCCTACATTGCTGATGTTTCTTCATTAAAAAACAGAACATTAAGAGTTGGCATATTAGATGTAGTTTACTTGAGCACAATGCCCACTGGAGTAGCTATAGGTAAGCCAAATGTAATGTAATACTTTTCTTAGAAACAGTTGCAACCACTATAATAGTACGTAGGTATGAAGAACTCTTATACTATTACATAAAACTGAAGAGTTTTTGATTGTTTGTTTAAACGCGCTAATCTCAGGAACTACTGGTCCGATTAAAAAAATCTTTCTGTGTTGTATAGCACATTTTATTGAGGAAGGAGGAAGAATATTAACGTCACGCTACGATCAATAGGCGCCAAGTAGAGCAAGAGAAACCGCGCGGAAGTAGCTAGTAATCTATACTTATAATAAATTTATAATAATAAAGGTATAATGATTCCATTTGTTTGATACTTATGAGTCCAAAATATTTATTCCGATATTAGAATACCCAAGAGTAATATGATATGAAAATTGAGTCGTGCTCAATTACGCTTCTGATCACTTAGAAGTGGTTATTCTTTCACAATGTTCTGTTCCTCTAACACCGACGTAGGTACCTATTACAAGAATGACCTGAGCGATTCTATCACCATTTTAAACTCATGTTCCAAACCACAAAACAGCGACTAAAACAAGTTTAGCACTGATACCAATACAAGTAGCATTGTAAACACTATTGTTTGCAGGTAATTTGCTGTGGAACAAAGTGGTCAACCGATCCTTCACCATCATGTTTGCAATCAACACGTCACTTATGGTCTTGGCAACGTTATACACAATTATTTTCTTGAAATGGCAGACAAGACCAGAACAAAAGTCCTTAGCAGAGGCTGGTGTTAAGAACCCAATCACGGACTTCTTTGACGTCAAGAACATTGTGCATACTGTGACGATACTCACACAGAGACGGCCTAACAATCGAAGGTTATTCCTATGGTTCCTATTAATATCGATGGCATTTTATACTTTCCAAAGAGGTAAGTAAGTGTGGACCCACATAGATATTGCATACGTTCTTGAGCAAAGTAAGTCAAATGGACTACATAGGTAGTCCATTTGACTTACTTAGAAGAGTATATCTTTATAATAGTTCAGTTATAAGAGCTCAGAGCTCTGTCGCTCACCTAGAAATTAATATTGTAAACACACTAAATCGAAGTCATAAAAAAGACACGACCTCTTTTCGTTTATTGATTGGTCAGCAAGACAATTTCCGCAACACTATTATTCGAAACTAGACACGATCTATGATTCTCAAAAACATATAGTTCACTAATATCATTATGCAATACTTTGTTTATCTTATATATAAAGATATAATTGTACTTACCATGTCAACTTTTTCTATTACCAACTTATTATTATGGCTAGACGGTACACACGGCTATACATCGAGCTGTACATAACCAGTATAAACTGAACGTTAAATGTGCGGAAAGATAATGCGACGCGACACCAGGATAAACTGGTTTTGTATAGATTGATGTGTGGCCGTGTGTACAAGTGTATTGCGCAACAACCCAATTCGTGACGATGAATCATATAACGATTTGTCTCAGCTTAATATCAAATAGTTTGTTCTAATCAAACATGATTTATTGTAATGATGTGTTGTTGTTCCAGATGAGCGGTCTGTGATGTATTTGTACACTATAAAAGTGTTTCAATGGGACACGACATCGTTTAGTAATTTCAGAACATATTTGAGCACCCTGTATGTGATAGCCATGCTGTTTGGTATACCTCTAATGACGAAAGTACTGCGCTGGAGAGACACAGTCAGTATCTAATGATTAATGATGTAATGGATTTGCACAATTTCTACTACTCGTGTTTATTTTGCTACTTACATCTCTCATACGTGAACTGATTAATGATGATATTGCACATTTCGAGTTTATACACAGACACACACATCTTGCCTACCTACATATATTATAATGTGTATGTAGGACAGAACTGCATTTACTATGATCTTAATGATTGCTGTCTTAATTATTATACTATACTACCTCCGTTGCAATTAGCTTACGACGCGACAGTAAGTACTTACGTAGCTACGTAAATATTTATAAGTACTTAAGTGTAATACGCATTTTTATACTTAAGTGAACTAATCGATGAGTACAGAAACAGCTTAAATACATATATCAATGTAAACGTACAATATACGATCATGCCCGCAACTTGAAAAAAGGTACTTCTACTTAGATCCTTTTAAATTAGACTTGTGCCAATATACACACAATAAAAGGTTAGATCAGTATTCACATACCTAAGTTACCCATATTTTAATTATCCTTCTACTTGTTATTTATTTGATTTTACGTGTTAGTAAATATATCCTATATACTTAAAGATATTTTTTGTAACAGGTAATAGTAATGTTGGGTGCATCAGCGCATATTTGTGGTCACTTGGTCTATGCCCATGCGAATGTAGATAAGCTATGGTACCTCGGTGCTACCTTCGCCGCGTTCGGCCCTTGCGTGGCGCCCCTTATACGATCCATGACTTCGAAAGTACTTCCTGCATCTGAAAGAGGTTTGTTTAACTTTCTACTATAGTTTGTAACCTTAAATTGAAGTTCAAAAATATGGATAAATTAGACTTCTTGTAGGCACTTCATCCAAACCTTATACGGACATGACATTTTGGCCTTGTTAAGTCCTATAAATGCGACCAGTAATAAAAGGAATAAGGATAAGGACCCTTTAAAGCGACAGTAACGTTATTTTATGGTGACTTAATATCATCACCAAGTCGCCTACGAAACATGGTGTTTATGGCAGCACCCTCTTTCAGCAGTGAACATCTTCTGGCTGCTGATAGTGATAATGAAGTTTGTCCTGAGTCATAACTGTGTACAATCACAAATACACACCTCGTCCAGACCTAGGGCAAGCTACGTCATATTGAGTTTTTGTAATAACTAATATACTGTACATCAGTATCTATTTAATCGCTTTGCCATTACAACAACTATACTTTCAAACTACTTAGTGTACCAAAAGTAGCCAATAAGGCAATAAGTAAAAATTAAATTCATAAATTGATTTGAATACATACCTCTATGCATAGATAAATTAACTACGCAATAGCAATATGTGGATTGTAGATTATTGTATAGAGCCATAGTTAAAATATTTTGATCGTTTTTTATTTCCTCAGGTGTGGCGTACGCTTTCCTATCAGTGATGGAGAATGCAGTAGCGATGTTCGCGTCAATCATATATTCACAATTATACAAAGCGACATTGGATACGGAATTTGTTAATTCGATATTCTACCTCACTATTTCAACTCAAGTTGTAGTTTTTACGTTAACATTGTAAGTACCTCTATATTTCGTTAATATCTTCATTTGACTTGTTATAAAAAATATCTTAATAATTATGACGACACGGTTGGTGCTTTGGATGGGCAACCGGCAGCCGCGCAACGTGTCGCGGGTTCGATTCACGCACGGAGCAACTCTTTGTGTGATCCACAAATTATTGTTTCGGGTCCGAGTGTAATGTGTATGTGATTGTGAACTTGTATCGTAACCGTAAACGCATTCACAACACGGCAGAAAATTCTAGGGTGGGGCAACGTTTTTAAAAAGAAACAAAATAAATATTATTGTTTTTGGCTTACATAAATAATCTCATGTCGAAATATTCAAAAGCTACTCAATTTTAAGCGCTGGGTATAGTTCTGTCACCACAAGTTCATTGTAAAATGACAGGGATGGCACGATATTTAAATACAACTTTAAATTTGAGTAGTGTTTCAGTATGCGGGCTTTAGTGTAGATTTTTTTTTAATATTCATAAATACTTCCGCTGCATAATGTAGCCTATAATAAATTCATTTGTTTTCAGTATCATGGAACTTATGTTGAAATGCAGACCACTAGAACCTCTTTATGAAGCAGACGAAGAAAGGAGGATGTCAACATCATCATAACACGAAATAAAACAACATTAATTAATGTTTGGAACATTTATATATTAAGTACTTCTACAAATTGATATAACTTTTCAAAATCACTGATAAGGAACTCCATTACAAATTACAATAAAACAGGTTTAAACGTTATCATACATTTCCAATTACGAATATGTTTTAAAGGTCAGTATAAAGTTTATAGACTGATATTACAATAATAAGACTTATATGCATGGTGTGTAAAGCATTCATAAAATAGAAATTTGATGCCTTGATATTTTGTGTAACATTTATATAATGAATTCAGTGATATTTATAAAATGCATTGTATTTCTCTATGTGATAACTAATTTAAAAAAATGTAAAGAAATCTTATTTTATACATATCTCTAATATTCCATTTGATGGAAACTAAAATCGAATACATAATAATATTTATTATACCGCTGAATTTTTAGATGTAAGCCTTCTTTAAGTCATGTACTGGATACAAGACACTACTGGTAATCCTTTTTTTACTCCAGTATACATTAGGTTAAGGGACATGAAATCGTTGTTCTTCTATCATTAATAAATGCTGTATTTTACATATATTCTTTTACTACAATCACATACAACCCTGAGTGAGTTGAGATTCAAGTGTGTCAATGTTTAGAAATAGTCTTTCTAATACAGCGACACTATATTTGGAAAAAATTTAAAGTTTAACTAATAAGTACTACCATCAGGTTATAAAAAAGTTATTTGGCACCAAAATGTTCAACATCAAGTTGAATAAATGCATAAACACAATATACCTATTCAAAAAATATTTACTAATACATTTTCTTAGAAATCTCATTGATAAAAATAATTACCTACCTACTTGTCATCCTAAAAACTTAGTATAAAGAAAATAAGTCTTTAATTAGACATAGAACAACAGGAGGTATACCTTACAGGGCATGGACAACAGTTACTCTACAAATAATCTGAAATTTCAATTCTTTATCTCAATCTTAGGTAGTATTATCACCAATCACCTTCATAATATATATAATTGCACTGCAAGTTTTTGTCTTATCCTCTCTTTGCCTACATTATTGAGCATATGGCTGTAAAGTATTAGCCTCTATTAACTTTCTACATAGCTAGCAATTTAGCTTAAAGCATTCTAAGAGATTCTTTTTAGTAATTATTGTTGTCTTCGCTAAATAGAGAGAATATAAATAAAAGTTCAGTGAATATTTTTAATTATAAGTAATTCCTTAAGGATTGCAGATCTTTGTTTGACATATGTATCGATATTCTGGTCAGCTTAGGAACGACTAACGCTGGTTAAGGCTGACCTACCCATCCAGCAAGGTACTGTTCAATCTCGAGCCGAGCTTCGATTAATTCGCTGGAGTCGTTCTCACTTCGCGGATACATATTAGCACAATGTGCGGTACCTGCAACATATAATGATATTACAAAGCAGACGCAAAAATAAAGAATTAAAATACTTTTAGAGAACAAATAAGGAAAAAGTTCCAAATAACAATACATAAGCACATATGTAGATTGCAATTACTCAACAAAAATATAGGTATAACTACATCTAATAGTATGTGTGTAAATTAATATTATTAATTTCTATTACGTGAGTTATACATATTAACATGAAACAAACACGTCGATGATAAGACAATGAGGCAAGATAACAAAAACATTTGCAATATGTTTTTATTATCTAGTGTGTACTGAATTACGCTGTAAATAAATAATTGTGATAAATGAATATTCTGACATAAGTTAACTTTACCTTTAATGTAAATTGCTGGTGCATCATTGTCTTGAGTTTTAGTGATTCCTAAAGCATGCCAAGGGTCTACAGAGCCATGAACGAATACTACTCTAGAGACAGCTATGTTGAGAGCACCGTAGTTGCTGTTAGTCCAAGCTGCTGCTGCATCCACAAAGTCAGCATTGTACCTAAAACATAAAGTATACTACTACTACCAGTTGTCTTCATAAAAACATAAAAGACTAAATTAATGTCAACATGTAACATATCCAAATAGATTAATTTTAATTCATGACTAACTGAATAAGTTTAGTGGGTACATATAAAATATTTTGGTTTCTTACTTTTTCCCAAATATATCTTCACATTGCTGTATAAAGAAATCAAGTGTGAAGTTATTACCAAACACTTCAATTTCCCCTGAGGATGTCTGGTAAAATCCAAATTCAGTACAAGTTTGGTACATCCACTGTCGTGCTGTAATGAACAATACAAAATATTGTGTGAAAGAAACTTGAATTACCATAAAAACCAAACAATTAACTAATTACAATATTTTACAATTGATTAGAAACAGTTTCTATGATGTAACATGTTTTCATTGCAAACAAAGGCTAATTTATTCATAGCTGAGTAAATACTGTCTTTACTTATGAGAAACGACACAAACCTCCTTCTGATCCCCAAGTCATATTCCTTAATTCTTTTATCATATTGTCATAACTGTAGTCCAGACAGGTTTGATTGGTTTTGTCCAGGATAATAGAATTAAAAGCTGCCAGCTTCTTGTATGCAGGTTGAGACCCAGGAGACAGGAACATATTACACACCTAAAATAGTTTTTATTTGTACAGACTGAATTCTCATGATCAAATTAAAAGTATTTCGTTGTAAAAGTACACAATTATTATAAAGTATACTTTTCCTTGAAAAAGGTCATACTATACGTAGGTTGTACTTAGCATTAACGCGTCGAGTACCGTCATTATAGACACAATTATAGAACAATAGGTTGCGGTCACCGGTGACCGCTTGTTGTTTGACAGTTTAACTCGTCGAGTACCATCATTATAGACACAATTATAGAACAACAGGTTGCGGTCACCGGTGACCGCTTGGTGTTTGACAGTTTAAATAAAGTGATAACAAATTATATAAAAGTGTGTCCTTACTGTATTGATAGTGAGATTCCTGTATTTAACATCTGCACTGATCCTATTATCTTCATTGTATTGGACCAAATCGGCAAAGTCATCAGCAATGGAATTGTAGAAATTCCTTATATCATTTCTTGAAGCACTTGCAAATGGTTTGCAAACTCTATAACAAACAAATAACCAAGTATAAATTAACAATGAATTACTCACTATACATTTCCGTGGTAAATGTGTGAGCAGTATTTACTCCAAATATATATGAACAGCTGGTACCTGAATTCTTTTTCAACAATGCTTGGATTAGTATTCATAAGTGTTGTAATTTGCTTGTGTGCCATTTTCAATACATCAACACAATCTTCTCCACCTGTTTTTTCACGCAGAGCGTCAACAACCACCTCATAATATTCTGAAAATGTACAGCAATTTTAACAAACTCAGCTTCATATTTTCAAACCCAGCCTATTTAATAGCAATGTATTTTTACAAATCTAGACATAAACAATATAATTTAGAAAAACTAAATATTACTAAGGTACTCAAGTTTATTTTTTCATATGCATAGAATAAACTAGTCAAAAAAAAGGAAAATATCATACCCATAAAATTAACTTTGGCCAACAAAGGACCACTGGAGGACACAGCAGCATATACAAGGTGTGGATACTTGAGCCGTAGCCAGGCTGCCAATGAGCCAGGGTATGAACCACCAAAGGCTATCCAACGAACATTGCTACGCAGTTTGTATTTGTCATTCATAGCATTGATAAAATTAGCTAAATCTGCTAAGGCTTGGTATGATGACAGGTACTGTAAGTTCTTTATACTGATGTCTCTGTACAAACGAAATAATTATTATTTAAAGTTACATGTTGGATTTATGAAGTTATATTTTTAAAGTAAACTAATCTTACTCTGTAGGATGGCTCTCCCCATAGTAGCGGTGTTCAAGATTGATGCAAAGTGCTTTAAACTTTTTAGCATAATCAATCCAAGCCCCTTTAACCATCCACCTAGCATCTGCCGGACCTTCACCACCAATCATTAGGAACACTGGTCCTTGGTTTTTGAAGTCATAGAAGCTATCATTCACAAAATAACGCTGTAATAAAATTACTTCATAAGTTTAAAAACCAAGAGTGTTTTTTATTATACAAATAGACATAGGGCTATTATTGTCTTTGAAAATTTGCGAATTATGGTCATTCCTAGTCAGCGTGAAAAGACGCATTCGTCTGGCGATAGGACAGAACAGGCTGATCCTAATGATGAATGAATAATAACATCTATTTAATTGTATAAAAGTACTATTATTAATTTTAATAACTAAAAAACATTGATAACTATTATCATTGGACTATACCTAGCTTTAGGTATGAGGTCAATGGTCACTATTATGATAATATTAATAATTATCACATAATATATTAATTTTCAGAAGTCAAATTGGCAAATCAATATGAGTTACCTGTTTCCATGTTCGTAAATCAGAGGGGCTTGAATGATCCAATTTTTGCGTGAACCATTGCGCAGGAGGTAGTGGCTCGCCTTTATATCCTCCCGGTGCTCCTAAATTACCCCCTTTGCTTCTACCAAGTTTAAAATGTTTCACTCCATAAACTGCGTAACACGATATCAACAACAAACAAGATACAGTGATAAGCCGCATTTTCTTAAGCCTATGCAATATTGTAGAGAAATAATATTTGCTTTAAAAATGTATGATTGATTTGATTCAGTGTTTTTGTTTTTACTCTGAACTGAAACCAATCTGACAGACAGACTAACAGAATGAGAATAATAATAATTGTACTTGACGTGAATGACAGTTGACTTTGACTTCTTGTCTTGATCAGTATTGTAAACTTCAAACAAATATTTTTTATTCGATATTATTTCTGACCTGCTGTAGCCAACATTCAGGAAAACGTCAAGGTCCATTACAGTACAAAACGAACTTAGTTGTAAACAAACATGGCTGCCTTTGTGTTGTAAAACCTAATTATGTCGTTTGTTTCTCCTTATGTGACTGATGTTGAGTCGAGCACCTGCTCCTATCTTTCATCTTATTATTTTGACGCCGTTAATGAAGGGGCTCTTGCGACATATTTTTTTTGACCGACTTAAGAAAAATAGGTATTCTGCTTGACCTGTATGTATGTATGATGATATGCTTGATATGTATGTGTGTGATTATCTCGCAATTGGTTGAAATAATTTTCATGTGGTTTTCAGAAAAATGTTTGTTACACTTCGGTTTTATTATAATAAGAGACTTAGCGGCGTTTTTTTTTACGTATATTTGTACGAGAATTATATTTTTGTTAATTCTACCCCAGAGAAAAAACTTGCGGTATCAAAGACGCTGGGCATATTAGAAACTAGTAGATTTTTACAAGTTTCTGCTGGATCGGTTCATTACGTTTCTCCTTTTTATGTATATGCCAAAACTCAGATGTGTTGATAGCAGTAAAACAATAGATATTTCGTAATGAAAGATTATTTTAGCGCATATGTTTTTTTAATTTTTATTTAAGCTGTATGAGGCTGGTATTTCTCACTCAAACAAACTCATAGACCTAAGTCACTTTCAATGTTCAAAAATGATCAACAAAATATTTCAGAATCAGGGGCTATATCTGCCGTATCAATTATATAGGGCCCCTGGACCGCGGGGGGCCCCAACGTGCAAAAACAAAAATTCATTAAAACTTTCCAATTTTAGTATTACCTATTTCTGAAATCACAAATGCCAAAATACGTTAAAAATTTGGCGGGAACTTTAGAAAAACTAAAGTGGATATTATCGTAGTCCGATAATTTGGGCAGAGGGAGTCGCTGGCCAATAATAAAAACCCAGGAATAATATTATTCTTACAAAAAATTACGTTGACAAGCACTAACCACACCTAACATAACCTAACCTATCATTATGATCGACGAACACGTTCCCGTCTTTGCCTTCGGGGTGCCCTAAAGTTCGCCTCTATGACACTTACTACTGTTACTACTACTATGTAACGTATTTCATACATGACGTGTTGTTTTTCGATGTAAATGGAAACTTCAAAAGTTATCTCTCGGGAACCGGGAGTCTCCGCATATTCTAAATTTGTAAAAAATCTTCTTTTTATATATACTATCTATAAAAATGTGAACTCACAACTCACTGGCCCATAATGGAAAGTCTATCCTATTCTAAACGAAATAATTCTAATAACCTACTTCCTACTTTCCTACTAATACTAAAAATGCGAAAGTGTGTGAGTATGTGTATGTATATGAGTGAGTGAGAGTACGTGTGTATATGTTTGTTACTCGTTGTCGCAAAAACTAATGAGCTGATTTAGACTGAACTTTACAGTAATGCAGGTCACATCAGAATAACATATAGCCTACAATTTGTAATGACTTTATGTTATATTGGGAGTAATAGAACAGAAAATGTTAGCTAAATAGGGTTTCTGAGACCTATCTGGGTGTGCGCTTTCTAAACCATATCAGTTACATATAGATAATGTACTGTAAGATGATTGTCTTATTAGTTCTAAATTAAATTCCGCGACGGCACATTTCTACGTTTTGTTTGGAAGTCATATATACCAAATTATGCCACTGTACACTGTAACACCCACTTTTTACTATTAATCGTATGAGTCCCATGTAATAGGGGGTGAGCCTATTGCCATATACCGGGCACAATTCCAGACTCGGTGTTACTGAGAATTTTTAAAACCCAGTAATACTTTGCCCAACACGGGAATCGAACCCGAGACCCCTTGCCCGACAGTTGCACTAGCGACACTCGACTAGCAAGGCAGTCATGTGGAAGTCACTATTCCGATTTTTGGCATCAACAGACAAAATGAAGTTCTGTGGGTTTTCAAGGACTAATATTAGTAATCAGCAGTATCAGGGATCAAGGATTTTAAAGAAATATACAAATTCAATCAACTATATTCAGTTGATTGAATTTGTATGTTTTAATTGTATTCAATTTATTCATTGACTAGCCTCTGCCCGTAGTTCAGCTCACACTCTTTTAATGTGTTGAAATCCTGGCTATTTACAAAAAATAAATAAATTGGTGCAAGATTTTTTGCTGGTCACAAATATCCCGCAAACCAATTGGTTTAAAAATTTTTAGCTTTGCACCTTGAAAATTGTAAAATACTCTATACAAACTTCCACAGGGAAGAACTTCAGATAAGTGCGGATTAGAAAGATACAAACATTAGTCTATGTTATAAAAGGACCTTTCAACTATCTCCAATCAACAAAATCCTTATAGGTCCGTTCTGCCGTGTAAGAAAGACAAACTAACAGACATTTGTTTAACAAATGAGTTTACAAGGCCAATTTATTCATATATATATATTTTTGTTATTATGAAGTTAACACAAGTTTTTTTGTTATAATGACAGCGCTTTGCCTCTAAACAATCATTGTAATATTTTTTTGATTTTTTTCTCATTTAGACTAAAATACCGTATTAGTTATTGAATATCTTTATACATATAATAAATAAATAAAATCATATAAATTTATTATTAAAATTTATTCCGATAACGATGCAATCTAAATATCGGTAATTTCTATACGGCACATCTTTATCTACGACACTTTGTTCTAAATGATGGTAGCTTAGTTTTCATGATGTTGCCTAAATTCAGTTACAAAGTCGTCATAAACTGATGTTCTAAGTTTAGCCTCTTAGAATTACTTTCTTTGTGAAGTATGAACAGAACAAACTTAATAATCAGTACTGCCAGTTCAAAATAAATATTCATGCTTAGAGATGTCCATTAATTTGTCAGCCCATGATGATTGGCGATAGTAAATATTGACAAGATCAAAGACGTTGAAAAAAGGACATGACTGGATGATAGTTTAAAGCAAATGTAATTGTTATTATAACTTGCGCTAAAGATTAAAGTATAAAGAGCAATAATGGTAGATCGCAATTAATAATACTAAATAACAACACTAGTCAACTATTTTTTTTGACAGTAAACGTCACTGTGTAGCAGGTAGTCAAGCCAAGTCAGCCAACATTCCATCCACTTGCGAATGCGATCGATCGCGAGCAAGGTGTAGTTGTCTGTGGTAGTAAGCGCTCGGTGGGTTTGAAAAATGGCTCTTTTCAGGATTACATCAACTAAATTGGCAGAAATACAGGTAAATACTGATTATACTAATTTATCCTTTCTTTTATATAAACATTTGACGACAATATTCTTTCATGTTGTATTTTTGTGTACTTTTTATAACCTTCTTGCCCACATTTTGGGTTCGTAGTTATGTAATGTGAATAAAAACTATTTTGGGAATAAATTGTAGATATACTGCCCCCTGTAGTGGCTATTGTCCGTAATGTTTTATAGTATTTTATCAAAGCCTGTTTAGATATTTGATATTTTAAGTCATGACCGGTGTACCTAATATCAAAGGGCATGTAGATTTTGCAGCGGGAAATCCCAGTGGTGTTTTATACGCGCGGTAATAAAAGTAATAGAATGTTCGTTATTTCTTGAGTCATTAATAAAAATGCACTCGTAAAGAATGACGTTGTAATTATCTTAAATCTATTGAAACCTATTATTAATGACCGTTTTAAACGTAGGTACATATTTTCCTGAAAATGACGCATGCGGCGCATAGTGTAGTATTTTATTACTATCAGTAATTATTAGTAGGACATGATTTTTAGTTATTTATTCATTGATTGTATTTTATTGATATCACGCAGATCTAAGTAGACATTGTTTATCAAATATCTGGGTACGTTCGCATAATTAGATGCACAACATCCTAGTGTGTTTAAGATGTGATCCAGATTTCTAGAACTTTTTTTAACTACAATTCTAAAATATTTTTCCTATGCCTAGAAAAAAATACTGGGTATCTACCTAATTGGGCAAATATCACGTTAATCAAACACTTACGGTTATTTTTATTACGCTTTAATCGTTTTGACTTTATTTATTATCAGTCATTTTTAATCATAATAAATTTGTATCTAACACATTTTTTTTATATTATTAAAATTGTATCTTTTCTATGTAATCAATTTTCTAACTCTTGAGTACGCGAGGTTTGCCTGACTTGAATATTATCACCTTGTTGTGTCTGTAGTTACATAATGTATTTTTGTACCTAGGTAACTTCAGGTCTAAGTGTCAAGATTATTATAATGAATATCCTTTTGCACAGATATATTATCGACAATCTTATCTTTAACATTATGTCAGTTTTTGGTACTGGATTAAACTTCTTAACTGCAATGATTGATTCCTTATGGGGACATGAATGAAGTCATGTGAGGTTTGCACAAAGTATGTGGCAGTGGCAATGGCCTTGGTCAATCTATGTCAGTGTCACGCACGGTGGCGCTTGCTGGCGTGATAACCGATGTCACTAGCTGTGCACAGAGCGCGCGTCTTTGCGCCTCCTGATCACGTGGGGGCACTGCCATTATATTACTCCAAATGTGAATTTTAACGCGAGTGTTATCACGGACCGCTCATTGTACGAGCACACGCCACACACGTCAAACTAGCACGAGATAGCACTATTCGTAGTTTCATGACATAATCGGGGAGTAACACTTGACTTTACAAAGTCAGGTGACATACCTATTGTTCTACACTAGCCAGTTTTACATAACTAGACAGGCGGTCCGTGAATTCGTTTGGCTGTATATTGAAATATTATGTTAACACCATCCAGCGACCGGAACACATTATACTCGTATTGATTGATGGTGTCGTGACACGATATCGTTATCAGTAAACTATGTAGCAGAAATCCTCGCAATGACATTCACGATACGTGTCCTCTGCTATGCCCCAACTCTAAAGATAACCACGCAGGTCAACTCACGTTTGCATCGGGCACACGCCCAAATGCTCACGATTATTATAGGCACATGTTACTATACCGTTGGCATATGCACTTGTATACACTTGTATAGGGAAGGCGAGAAACTGTTATAATTTGGAAATTAAGTAAAACAAAACACATGGATGTAACACGGATCTAAAAAAAACTAGTGAAGAACGCGGTTAGTTTGTGACGCACATGTTCAAGGTTGCGTTGTGCTATGGCTTCCAGTAGCAAAAACTATAGCTACAAGTTTCACCTACTTTGATCAAATGTTTGGTGATTTAATGTAGGTAATGGAAAACATATTACATTTATGTGCTAACTAAAATATTTCGAAATCAAGAGTTTATCAGGAGGGAGTAAATCTATTTCGTTTTGATAGATTATAGAACGTATAGGGCGTTTACGATAAGCGAACCACGAATTAAATGATAAAATAGGTAGAACGCAATATAAATTTAACGAGCTGCATTTATTTTATATTCTCTGTAGCTTCATTGTAGTTTAGAACAAGAACATATTAGAACAAATTGTATGTTGTTATGAAATTGTGCTTCTTGGTTGGTGATAAGATTTATCTGCAATCTTATCTATCTGCAGGGTAGGACGTCAGTATGAAGTTATTATGAACTTTGCCTCTTTCAACAGTGTTTATTTGTAGATATGCTAGAATGAGGAAATGTAAAACATACTCCTTCCTAGCAGCAGTTTAGCTCCCGACTTACATCGATAAATGAGTGCCCCACTTTATCAACTGTATAAAACATGATTCCATTATGACTGTGTATTTCAAAGCAGTTTGGTTATTGTGGTATTGTAGTTATTAATTACTTCCAACTGTGCAGTATTGTAACAAATGCACGTACATGGTACTAAACCAATAGAGAACTGCAAAAATACGTACTTATCGTCAATATTTTGAATATGAAATAGTAGATGCGTACTTAGATAAACAAAATAATAATCACATTGCGGTCATTTCAAGCCTACAACGCAGAAGGTTAAACTGAAATAACAACTTTTTGACCTTAGGCTACGGATCGACGATTAATTCTCCGTAGTATCTAAACATACAAAGATTTCGATGAATTAGCTTGTCCTCTGAACCACAGATTACTTAATAGTTACTACGTAATCTGAACTCTGCCACTACTTAGCGCCTAAGCAAACCACGTTTGAATGACTTACATTAATGTTTGACTTTAAATAATTCTCCTTTCATAAAGTGTATCGGATTTTCCGTCATTTGTTTCGATTCGAATCTTACTGAAGGTGTACTTTACATGGTCGCCGAATTTCCATTCGACAGTATGACATCATCAACCACCTACATACTTACAAGAGGCGGAATTATTTAAATTATTTTTAATTTTAATACAAATCTTATCTCGTAACTTCGAACGCGTGTTGATATTGTTCAAACCTGATTTAAAAAAAAAAACTAGCTAGCTAGGTTGCTACCCCGGAACAACATCCGACACGATTACATTTTTTGTAGATTTTTGTTAGGAGTCGAACGATTGGATTAGTAGTTTAAATTATTCTTTGTAAAATGCTCATCAAGGAAACCAAGAAGTAGTTCTCTAATGATATAGGACATAAGACTAAAATAGCTACCTGAGTGTTACATCATAACAAAGGAACCTTTTTATTAACGTTAACTTACAACTACTAGTTTATTGTTTAACTTCTGCGTGTATGTTTTAGAGCAGGTAGAACGACGACTCGTATTCAGAAAAAGATTTTTTGAAACCGTATTTCTCCAAGTTTTTTGTGCCTAGACCCCATTTCTTTTTTCACCCCTCTGTTGCTAGGTCAAAATTCTGAGTATATTTTGTATCCGATTATTAAGTTAGATGTGTATGTTAGCCCGTGTTTTAAAATTACGTAAAACTTGTTGGCTTCATTGCGTACAACTAATTACAGTGATTCAAAACCAACAATTAATAGAATGCCGTTAAAATGAATCACCTCAGACGGACACATCTTGTGAATGCGTGTTTTCATTTATATTGCTTGAGTATCAACATCGGTGTCCGTTGATATTTATGTTTTCAGAAGTTCTGCGTCGCGTCCAAACATCGCAGAAGTGACGTGCTACTTTTAGTAGAGGACTGATATTTTTATTTTCCTGTAGTTAACTGCCGTCGGGTTGCTGTTTCCATGAGGTCGTGACACTCAATTGTTGATGATTAACTCTCAAGTAGACTTAATTTTTCGATACTTCTAAGTTACTTGAGTTCATGCCAGACAGTTTCTTTTTATTCGATTGTTAAACTCTCCAGCATACCATGCAGTCCTACACTTTCATCAACACTATGCAGCTTTGTTACAGTTAATTGCTCGGTGTTGTACATGAACTTGTTGATAAAGGATAAAGTAGTACAAAATGTGAATTATTGATAAACTGACATACCTAAACTACGTTACCACCATAATTTTACAGCGTCAAATTTTATTAGACCGTTGGCCTTGATAAGTAGTGTGGAATATTCTAATTCAACGTTTATATGAATGTTTTACAATTCTCGACTTTGTTTGAGGATTAAAACGCGAGCGCGGTGAACTTAGCGACGAATTGAGAAAATAGTTTTTATTGCGAAGGAATAAAGATGCTCTCTGGAATATTTATACAGGGCATTTGTACTTAGGTAGGTACATCTTTTTATTGTGTAGGCATGATTAGGGTTCGCGAAAGAAAGAGACGCTCTCATTTGGGACATTACGCTGTCTTACTTTAGCATCGAATCATTGATTTAAAACATCCGGGGTATATACCTCGCTCATAAGCTATATAGCTTATGATTCAATCTTTGCTAATAATAAGTCGACCAAAATTCGAAGTGGGAACATTCGCGAAGTCAATAAAGCGAATTTCAATTCCTGATGGACGTATCAAAAATAAAGGAATATATGAATGAATAAGTAATGAATTGTATTCATTAATAATTTCGTGGATTGTTTTGCCGTGGTTTTGCCAATACAAATAAAATAATTTGTTTTCTATGTGTGAGTAGAATCATGTTATATTGTTACAGTTTTGGTAACAATATAATATGATCTCGATATGATATGAATTCTCAGTATCTCTGAGAAAATACCAGATTATTTTATTATAGATACTGGATTTCTTCTACTGTCATATTTTAGTCCTGATTTCATGCACTACATGCGCTGTATACTCGTTTCGTATACCTGAAAGGAATGAGGTCTCGTCTGACAGAGCTATTCTAAAGCGATACGTGCAGTAGCTCTTTGTCTTAAAAATAGATACTGCAATGTACGCGTTGGTATAACTCTTAAACCTGATGACTTATTTATTCGCAGATCATCAGGATACATTAGCATTCGAAATCTGGGTTATTTCCCCCAACAGTCAGTTCTTAATAATACAATAATGGTTTTTAAGAAATTGCCTTGGATTTTTCCGTGCTTAATAAAAATGACCTCGTCGTTCCGATTTACATTAAATATTATTTTCCTTATAGTGTTCAGGGAGGATTTGTATCATCAAGGAAAATATCTAGCAACTGCTGTACCTAATGACTTTTATTTAAGTAAATTGTACGGCCTTATTTCTACTGGCCTTACTGAGCGAGCATGCGCCATGCCCTCGTTAGCTGTAGATTATAAACGCGACAATGGGGATGCCCGCATTCTGGTGTCTTATTCGTCGCTGAAACTGATGGTTCTTACTTGCTGTTCGTATGTAGACTCCTTTACAGCATTCTATTTCTGCTGAGTTTATCGACTTAACTAATGTATAAGATACATGTATAATTTTTATTGAGTTGTATGCCGTAGAGAACACGTTAATGGCAGGTAGTCTTAATATTTTATCAGTGTTCAAAAATCAATCAATCAAATCAAATCTTGCCGCTAAATTGTACAATTGCTGTAAACATTTTGTAATCTATTTCAACGTTCTTGTTGATACGTGGGATTCTTAATTAATGAAGAAATAAATGAGGAATTCTTCCACTCCTAATGACATAATCGATTGTATTGATAGTATCAATGACTTGTTCTATGTGTGAAGGGTTTTATAGTCGTAAATGTGATTTATAATGTCAATCAGGTTAAACTTTGGCCCGCGCTGACCTGCCGACGACGTTCTTATATTGATTGAAACGCTGCCGCTATGATTGAGCTCATCAAATTATTTATAAACAAGAACTTCCTCTAACTCGGTTTTGTCATACTTTGATTTATTGTTTTTATTTTTGTGCAGACAACAATCCCATTCGGTACAAGTATTGTAATAAAAGTCGTTGACAGAATGGTAAAACGGTTCTTGAAAGTTAAACATTCTTGCACGTAAAAGAAATTGCCCCTTGTTAGGTTACTACACTGATATTTTTGGCAATGCCACTCTTTCAAGTATTTCAAATGATTTCTACTATTTTTGTCGGTGAAAGTAGTTAAGGATCTGGTTAAGTTATATGTTAGTTCTTGGTAAAGTAACAAATAAATTATGGACTAAGAAAACTGGAGTATAATCAGAACCTCTATCGTTTTTACTTATTCATTTCAATTACTATGTACATACGTGTACATATTTATGAATAGTCACATTTATGTGTATCGTGACTTCTAATCTAATGGAGGTTAATGATATTTTACATGCAAGAGATCGCCTTGAAGCGTCTTATTCGTTAAACTTGTTGTAAACTACACTTGGAATTTATAGTTGGCCACTGCTATAAATATATAATTGACGTCGAATACAAGGGTACAAAGTTCCTTTACAGTCCGATATTTCTAATTTATGTACACTAAATTAAAGGTAATGTTTGTTACGTTAATAACATTATTTTTTGTCCAAACAGAAAGTATGCCCAACAGCATCGATTCTGCTACGAGGTTTGAGTGCCGAGTCCACCAACCTCAAGAGCATTCTGCAAGAAAAGATCCCCAAAGAACAGGAAAAGATCCGGGAGTTCCGTAAGAAACATGGCAGCACTAAAGTTGGAGAGGTCACCGTGGACATGGTAAGTCAATAACATCGAACAATGTTTGCTAATGATTACATGTTCTTACAAAGAGGCACTCATTTCGTGTCCCGCTTTACTGGTAAATATCCACACATAACTACTTAATATAATAAATAATTCTTGGTTGCTTATTGTTTCAAACAAGTATATTCGAATACTATTGGCAGTTGCTATCAGTCTTAACCCATTTACATAATATGTAAAATAAAACCAGTAGTTAAGGAAATTTACAACTTCCAGCCTACGTATTAGTTCTTATTTCGTATGACTAGTTTCTTTATCCAACAAGGTCACATGAAGAGTGTCCAAGCACACGGTCAATGAACTGCATTATAATGGAACCCTGACGTAGTTCAAGATCGTATTAGGTATATTTGGCGATGGATCTTTACATTTTAAATAAACTTTATACATTCATAAACGTTCGTAAACAAAGGCAAAATACGAAGGCCATATTATTTGATATTAAATCATAATATTGATTGATAAATAACTGCATGTCGGTATCAATCTTCTGGGTCGTCTGCAGTCGTGATCAAGTGATCATGACGTGTTATGAGGTCAAAGCCAATAACGTGGACTGTACTGTAAGTTACCCTCGCACCATGCAGGCATGCGTCCTTAGACATCATTAAATGTTTTCTTTTCAGATGTACGGAGGCATGCGTGGTATCAAGGGTTTGGTATGGGAGACATCCGTGTTGGACCCTGATGAGGGTATCCGTTTCCGTGGCATGTCTATCCCTGAATGCCAACAGGCCCTGCCCAAGGCCAAGGGAGGCGCTGAACCTCTTCCCGAAGGTCTTTTCTGGCTTCTCGTGACAGGAGACATCCCAACCGAGGCTCAAGCTAAAGCCCTGTCCAAAGAGTGGGCACAAAGGTTAGTCATATGATTTATTATCGGAACGTGCCTACAAATATCCCGTATGTATGAATGTGTGTTATGTTAATATTTGGACTCGGTATCTACTGGCCATCGACGCGTGCATGTCTAAGAGAGACCTCGTGCATTCATTTTAAACTAATGCAAATATGAAAAAAAAAGATTTGGTGATTTGTTTTATTATTCATGTTAATAATGGATGTTATTCTTTTTTTATATAAAATTGTCTTTTTTGTTTTAACTTTGGCACCTATCTCCATCCACTGTCAGTCCTCTGCCTATAATTGACCAGAAGATAAAGTCTCTGACATTTGCCCGCCAACTAATGTAGTGCACACATAGTTAAATTCAATAAACATAATTGTGCGTGTTATAACAGGGCTGAGCTGCCAGCACATGTTGTCACCATGCTCAACAACATGCCGAGCAAGCTCCACCCCATGTCACAGTTCTCGGCTGCCGTCACTGCCCTCAACAGCGAATCTTCATTCGCAAAGGCCTACTCAGAGGGTGTGCACAAATCCAAATATTGGGAGGTAAGTAGCTAAACACAAACGGTAATCTCATAAAATCCTCAGTATCAGCTCACCCACTGTTATCCGTTGATAAAAGTTAATAAGCGTTATAAATTAGTTTATCTACTTCGATCATAAACTGAATGCGTCATGCATGAGGTATCTAAGTTTAATTGTTGCTCGTAAACACAATGTGAGGGCGCGTTTGGTTACTATTAAAATTGATATATGATACAAAATGACTTGTTTGTACTTAACAGTACGTTTACGAGGACTCGATGAACTTGATTGCCAAACTGCCCGTGATTGCTGCCACCATCTACCGCAACACGTACCGTGACGGAAAAGGCATCGGCGCCATCGATGACAACAAGGATTGGTCTGCCAACTACTGCACCATGCTCGGTTTCGAGGACCCCCAGTTCACAGAGCTGATGCGCCTGTACCTCACCATTCACAGGTATGGAAGCATCTTTAAAGCCAACTGAGAATGAAAGCGAAATGTCTCGAACCTGACCACCCATTGTAAGTTCAATTGAGCTAAAAAAAGAAATTGCAATTCAAATTGGTCGTTCCAGACAGTTCTCTTTGTGATTTATTGGAGAATAAGCGTTTTCCTGATTCAATTGAGTGTCCAGACCACACAAGAAGAATCAATACCGAACGTTAATTTGCGTGAAATGTGACTTGTGATACTTTTAATGTTCTACGTCCGTAATGTGTGTATTGTGTCCGAGCTCGTAACACTCATCAATGCGTAACTTAACTCTCTAGTGTCAGACACCTTTAACATCAGCTCTCAGTTTGCAACACGACTACCAAAATTATGTGCTATCCTCAAAACTTACATTAACACATCTGTATTAACTCATTTGTTAACACATTTCTACAATGCTCACTGCTTGAAGATTAATAACAGCTAAGAGAAGACAATTTTAATTGGCCATATTGCGAGTGTAATTAATAAATACGTTGTTAACAGCTGCTATTTGCGAATTTTTCTAGTTCGTTGTGTTACACAACTTTGCCTGTACAAAATACAATTAATAAAAACATTTCATTGAATTGAAGTACTTGAGATGACCTTTACCGAAGTTTTAAAAAACATGAGTAGGTAGCAACAAAAGAAAAACAGATACTGCTTTATTAATAGTGCAATCACGATTGTGATTGTGACTAATAAATAACACATTAAAACGAAATTTTGTCAGTGTCTTCACTCTTGGTGCACGTTGATATGACATTGCCTAAGTAAAAACTATTTCAATATTAAACAACCTACAATATTCAAGCGTAAAAACGTAACAAACAAATTAACACTTACTCTGTAATATTATTATTATATTAATATACATTGTGTTTTACAATCCCGAGTAGTCAGTGTAATTGATGTTACACCTTTACAATACGTGAGTATTGCATGTTTGTTCCTAATCAATAGCTAAGCGAGATTATGTCCCATTAAGTCGTGATTATATTATGCTTACTGCGAAGATAATATTTACCAAAAAGGTTTATTAAAACTGAACCAGCACCCGTTTAAGTTATTAACCCCACTGTAATCTACGGTGACAATTCAGATATTCGGGGATCTAATATCATGCCCAATTGTCGCTTGCCACTTAGATAATAGAGGACTGGATGGTTTGTTAATTACTCTGTTTGTCAAATTTGTGCTTAATATATTCAATGTATTTGGCTGTGCTAATTATTATTTGAGTAGATAACCCAATAATACTCTGTTTGTTAAAGATTGCAATGATTTCACTAATGATTTAACTAATTGATTCACCTCGATTAGTTCGTAAACCGTAATTTTACTTCAATTTATATTTTCATACAGTGAACTCGGAGATAAGACCATCAATATTGAGGTGACAATGTAACTTCGCCATATCTTTGTTATCTGAAGTGCCTTACAATTTGTGCTGGCCACTAAAGCACGGCTTTTATACTATTGTTACCTAAACTAGAATATATTCACGTGGCGGTGCTAAATAGCGGCAACTCACTAAACCTTTCAACCCACTTAGCATGCCAACTGCAAACACGCAGGACGAAATTTATACTTGTGTACTATAATAATCCTCTATGCTTGTATTTAATCTTAACCACTTATACATAATGCTGCAAAATACTCAACTTCATTGACTATGCCTGGTCACTCATAATAAAAATGCTTTGACTACTCATTGTGTATAAATGAAAGTATTCATGCAAATTATTCGTTCGGTATTTTAATAGTTGACTTATGATTAAGTATAAAGTGTTAGTGTAAATAATGTAGTCTTTATATTGTGCTTTCTGTTGTGTAGTGACCACGAGGGTGGCAACGTGTCTGCTCACACCACTCACTTGGTTGGTTCAGCTCTGAGCGACCCCTACCTCTCGTTTGCCGCGGGACTGAACGGTCTCGCTGGACCTCTTCATGGTCTGGCTAACCAGGAGGTTAGTATACAAAACTTATAAAATAAAAATATTAATACAAAGCATAAAGTTACAGGCTTACATTTTTGGAAACCATGAAGCAATAAAACAGATGATGTTATAAATGAAAGTTGATAATAATTAGTACATTTATCTACTTAGGTGCTTGTGTGGTTGGAGAAACTGCGTAAACAAGTTGGCGATAACTTCACCGAGGATGGACTCAAGGAGTTCATTTGGAAGACCCTCAAGTCCGGACAGGTTGTTCCCGGATATGGTCATGCTGTACTCAGGAAGACTGACCCCAGGTAACTGAGCATAAGTTAATTTAAAGGAACATCGTTATTTTTTTAAATTCAAGTAAAAAAAAGTGTATGTTAATGAAATCAATTTTTTATTAAGGAATCATCTCCATTTTATTGTCATTTCGTAATATATGTACTTGGAAACTTTTTTCTAGCTAGTAAAAAGAGAAACAACATGTACAAAATAAAATTATAATTATGAATTAAAGATTATAATGTAGTTAACATGATGTCTAAAAATTATTTTCCTGTCCAGGTACACATGCCAGCGTGAATTCGCCCTGAAGCACTTGCCCAACGACCCACTGTTCAAACTTGTTGCCGCTGTGTACAAGGTGGTGCCCCCAATCCTAACAGAGCTTGGCAAGGTCAAGAACCCGTGGCCCAATGTGGACTCTCACTCTGGAGTCCTCTTACAGGTAAATTAGCTTTCTTTGGTTACAAAAAATAATACAAGTGTCCTTCAATGCAATGCAATAAATTAATATGTATAATTTTGTCCTCATAGTATTACGGACTGAAGGAGATGAACTACTACACCGTGATGTTCGGCGTGTCTCGCGCTCTCGGCGTCCTCGCTCAACTGATCTGGTCTCGCGCACTCGGCCTTCCCATTGAGCGACCCAAGTCTCTCAGCACTGACATGCTGATTAAGCAGCTGGGCAAGTAATCGTAACACCGAACAATATAAGTTAATTTGTTCAGGCTAGATAATATGCTTCAAGTAGTTTATTTATGAAGGCCTGAACAGTAGTACCTACAGTTTGATTCACACATAACACCATAGTCAATTTATGTAGTGATACTTTCAATGTTTTATTTTTACCAAAATAATGTGTCAAAATTAAATCATTTTACTTATTTATTTCATTGTAGTATTAAGTGTAATTGATGCATTTTATTTGCGTTGTTTTTATAATTATTGTTGAGTATATTTTATTAATTTGTAATTATCACGATTTACCACTGTACTTATTTCTGTGATGAAAATATTTGATATTTTGTACTGTATATATTAGTTGTGGTAATTATTTGTAATATTTTTTATTATCTGGGGATTTTGCTTTTTGACAAATTGACTTAGTGGTGGTGTGACTCAACTGAAAATTCCACGTAGCTGCCGAAATACGAACTAAAATAAATAGAAAGAAGTTAGTTGGTCACTTAGGTCGTTTTACGTAGAACATTCATAACAAATGTACTGTATGCTGTGCATACTGTCTTCTTAGGTGAAATACGATATTCATTTTGTCGTAATATTTATAAATCATTTGCATTATAATTTCAAAATTGCAGCAAACTCAGTATTGTTTTTTGTACTTAGGTTCAACGGTAGGGCAATTATGAGAGGTTTTGGAACAAATGATTTGTAGGTACTTAGGAGTGATTGGTCATCGTTGGTTTGTAGACAATTACTGAGTGAGCTAATTTTGCATGCTGCAGCAAGTCTTTGTTCTTCATTCTAAATCAATCTTTTTAGTTTTACTGTAATTAATTTCAATTTACCAAAGTATTTACGAGTCTAATGTAGATGCTTAAATTTAAAAGGGATCATGTAATTTTGACAGCCTAAATTGAAGATACGATGTTAACTAATATCGTAGAGACATTATTGGAAGGAGTCGCATCATATTGTCGCGTTGTTACATCTCTATATGTATTGTATTTGCAATATGATTATGAGTAACATAATTATTTATAATTGAATGTGTATTGGGTGCGTCGGAACATGTTCCGATATTGTATGATCATCGATTTCTAGTAATGACGGTGCGACGTCTTCAAATCTTCACAAAACGATACAATATTTGACAATACTAAAAATAAAGTGGTATGGTGTAGTATTTTCTTGACTTTTTATTTGAACCTGCTCGTCTCTTGATTCAGGATTTTTGTCAGCCCCTCCCGCTCCCAAACCATCCTTGCTTAATTTTACTTGAATTGAATTAACAGTAGTACTTAGGTCCTGGATATGGTATTAATAATTAATTTATAGCTCATATTGAAAAAGGAATATTGACAATGAGTAGACAATGAAGGCAAGACCTGATTTATGTGGAATATTACCTATTTAATTTTTGTTCATTGCCTGCTGTATTTTTAACCTACTCTGCCTTCATAATGCGACTGCATAATGTTAACATTTGTTACAGTAAAATGCAACCATGATGGTTACATAATCCAGTAGTATTCACGGTTTATAAATATGTATTGCTTCTAATAAAAATTTTTCGCTTTGTCTCCTTGTTGCGGCTGCGATTGTGCAAGTAAAATATCGAACATTTAGTGGGGTGCTGCCTTTTACCATGTGTTCTTTGTGATTTGAAGGGGTGGTTTGACAGCGACCTAGATATAAACAGAGGGGTGACAATGTACTCGTAAAAATATTGCGATTGCAGTTTTTATTTGAATAAGATTCTACATTTATGTTTCGTGTGTAAGTACGAGTTGTACGGGAGTATTTCTTGTTGCAAGTAACATCGAGATTAAATAAAAGATCCATTATAGGTTCGTACAAGAAGTATTTATTCCAATTCAAGTTTGATTTTAGGTAAAAATACTTGTTATATTTGATTTAAATTTTCCATAAACACAACACATCATCAAGCTTATCTAATTTTATAAATGCGTCACAAAGTAGTTTATAAAAAGGTAAGTAAAATATGTAGACGTAGTAACCACAACTACCAACATATTATAATACGTAAGTATAAATGTATAAAAGGTTTCATACTATAAAGGTTATGTAAATGTTTCTCTTTCCTAATTTGTGCGTTTAACGCACGTGACTTTCCACCATGTTACTTTTAACACCTCTGGCTTTCAGGGGCGAACACATTTGGCACAATCTACCCTAATTTAAGTACAAAACGTTCCTCTGAAAATTTATATAGAGAAGTAAAAAGTCCTTTTTGCACCACGATTGCACCGGTTTCGATATCATTGCATAAGTCCCTCTTATTTCTTAGATGCAAGTTCTCGTTATACAATGTGACAAGCATCTACCTACGTCGAACGCCGTTATTATAACCCTAGTTTTTAAATAAAATAAAGTTAAATACTTAACTAAAATAACCGCTAAAACTAGTTTGACAAATATAACCATGAAATACATATTCCACCTATGAAACGTGAAATAATCACTACGCAGAACTACTAGTTTACTACTAATCAAGTAGGTAACTTCAGTAACAATTTTGATGTTAATAGTTAAGTTTACCTCACAATACAATACTGCACTTCTGTTTCACAAATTGATAACTGAGCTAAATTTATTGAAAGCATAAAACTAATTTTCAATCGATTGACGATCCTTCTAAATCTTTTTCATTTCAGTCTTCCTATCCTAGAGCTTCGCTCTTATCCAACTGACAGCACCTTCCTCTTCCCTCGATTGAGAGCCAGCTTCACGACAAACTTTAAATCAAATGAAAAAATATCAAATAAGATTCAAATTTACTGGCGATGATGTCGCCTGGACGATCTCCCAGAAAGTTTGCCTGGTCTAACAGGGTTTTCCATCCCAGCCGCGACGTAAAAGGGGTCATAGCCGCTTTGTGAACACTTACAGGTGGCCCGTGGATCTAGTAGGGACGGCGCCTGCGGCGGAGCATGCGACGGCGCGGGATTGTTACCCGCATTGATTTTATATATGAAGTCTTTAAGTCCAGGAGGCACGATTCCGTTACAACGTCGTATGGTGTCAGTCGCCATCAGATAAAGAACTTCAGTGACTGCTGCATCAGCTACTACAGGTTTACCTTCCATAGCATTAGCCATCTGCAGAAATACTTCCTTGAAGTCAATGTTCCAGGTGCGCTCAGGTGTCGGTATATGTTCTAGCTGAGCAATCATTCTAGCTGTTACTGCTCCTTCTGCACGACGCTCGGTTGGATCAGCTGAAGAGCTAGTCAAAAATTGTCGCCACTCTGACAGCTTCATACGAGAGCATGGTGGAGGATCACCATCAGATGCGTACAGCGAGTTGATTACATAGACAATGGCTTCTTTAATTTGATTTGGACTTTTAGCAGGTATTTGTTGTTGGACTTTTTCGATGTCAATATCAACTACTTTCAGTAAACAAAATCTCTCTTCCCTGGACCATCCAGCAAATACATGGTTTTCAGGTTCCATCATTTATGATATTAGAGGGTCAACGTAGATTAATTAATGTAATATGCAGGTAAACCGTAATTTTCACTCGCTCACACCTTAACGAAACTAATAAATTGCGGGTTACGTCATGAATCTAATAATCGCTGTATAAGGGCGCAAGGAATACTACCCGCGGGAACAACTCAAAAATCAATACTCGTGTTGCCAGGCGTAGCGTACCGCGTAGTGGTGGTAGTACTGATAGTGGACGAGTAGGGTCTCGTCTCGTCTCGTCTTTTTGGCTATGGCAACATTTTCAGTAAAGTTATGTAACTACTTCGGTAATAATACTAATGGTTTTTATACTTGCGAGATTTTATTTAGTAGTATATTATTAAAGATTAATAATTAGTATATTTATGTAAACTATATAATTTTTAGTAGTTCAATTTTGAAGTAAAATCTATCTAATTATAAAAATTAGAAAATGTACTTCACTATTATTTAAAAACTTTTTTAAATAATACTGGCAATATTACACGATTGAAAACGCGGGAATGTTTAAACTGGACTGAATTGATGATTTTGATTTCTGTCTTCTATTCATAAGCTTATTTAATTTTCATCATCAACAGCCTATACCTACGTGCCCACTGCGGAACAAAGCCTCTTCTCACATGGAGGTTAAGCACTAATCACCGCGCTTGCTCAATGGGGGTTGGCGATTTCAAACTTACAATTAGAAATTTATTGTACGACAGGATACGAGGATGAAATTTCGACTGCCTGTTCCTAAGAAAATCCAAAAGTAAGTATTTTCGTGAATTAACAATATTGTTGGCTTTTCGGTTGTTCGAAAAGTTGTTACGTGGTCTGAATTTTTATGATAATCGATTAACCCGATATTATATGGCTGTATGCTTAGGTTTACCTACCATTAGCTTTAGCTAATGGTCGCCACTCTACGACGGTCAGATGCATCAGTGGTTAATTTTTAGACGGCGTTGGAAATTAAAAGGCTTGACGTTATGTAAACATAATAGGTAGTTGTAGGTTATTGTTCGTGATGCTTAATAATATTAATAACACCCCATTAATGCAGGCGATAAATAAAACGACAATGTACACCCATTTTATATTAAATTTATTTTGCACTCTCATACACTATGCATGTATATAAAATTATATTAATTTTCGTTAATCCATTGAATATTCAATTTAACAAACGTCATAAGAATATAAATAGGAATGTAAATAATTGCCTGCATTGTCCTATTTGTGTAAACAAAAATAATGCCATTAAAATAATGATTATTTATACTATCCATCTATTCTAATATGATCTAGCAATATAATATTTATTATAAACCATCTAATTCACTGTTACAAGTCCTACTTACAAAGTATTTTTCTGCAACAGAAAATATCTCCCTGGTATAATATTGTCTGATTTATTTAAAAATGTATAACATAGTAAAATAAAGTCATAAATAAATATGGTGTTGTAAACTATAAAACAATTTTTCTTCTATCACATAACACCATAAATTGATAAAACGTTATCAAAAATAATGTCTACATTTGACATTTAATAGTATACTGAAATGGACATATAGATACAGTACTGTGCGCATTAAATTAAGTATTCGGGCAAACTGCTATTAAAATTCATATAGCATGACTAGGATAGCCACAGTTCGCATAGTATGGCATCAGTTACTACTTCTATACCTAATATTGCTTACAAATTCAGGTGGGAGTTTTACTGTTTTGCCACCTTAGTGTGAATTGACTCTAAATTGTACTAAATTTATTTACTAAAATTACTTTTTTATTGCATATAGTGTTTATGTAAACACGCACTACACTCAGTTTATACTCCAAACCCGCTCATTATACTATTTAGTGGTCATTGTTCCTTGCTCTCGTGTTGCTCGGTTGCTAATTATGTTTAATTCTGAATTTTCTAAGTCAGGTTCAATTGTATAAGTCTTAAGCTTACCATGCTCACCAGTGGCATTCTCATGTTCATGAAATGTCCTAATATTAGAAGCAGTATGAGTTAAAACTTCTGGTATGATTTTGTCTCCTATAGAGATTTGTGTGGCAACCAGTTTTGCAGTGCAAATGCGCCATTCATCCACGATAAGAAGATTTTTGTTTAAGTCCCATCCTGAAATATATATGAAAACAAATTAAATTCATGTAACTGATTTATATTTACTGATTTATTTTTATATAACTGAACAATTATTTGTGTTTGTACTGAACATGTTTTGTTTCAGACCATTCTATGTGCTTTCATCGAGGACAGAAAAAAAATTTAAAAAAACAATGACGCCAAGGTACATGATGTGTAATGCCATTTTTATTGTATGACATTTGCAGCAGTCTCCGTGATAAAGTTGTAAACATTTAAAATAAACAAATTATACTTTTCTTACCAACTTTTTGAAGTCCTACTCTTAATTTGACCCATTCTTTTTGTACGATCCTATTAAGATACTCCATAAGTTCAAATGAAGGTTCGTAATTAAATTTGCTGTATGGGGGTGGAGATTCTACGGCAACTTTTGACCAATCAGCCTGTTGTAAGGTCTCACAAATAAGTGGAAAAGGTTTTAGAAGATTTTCGGGGTTTTTGTAAACATTCTGTAATGAAATACATCAAGTTCTGTTGAAAAATGATACAAAAAAGCAAAGAATAACGTGAAAATGAAAAATAATTATTATTACCAAAGGAATATCATTTATCGCACAAATCACAATGCCATACAACACTGCATGAAAGTAAGCGCACAATATGCTGTCGGATGTGGCAGAGTCTCTCGGATATATGTATATTTTTCTTGTTTCCAAACAATGTACTAAGACGTATTCATTGTATTTATAAACTCCTTTAACATTGATCATAAAATAAGCTTTTGGATTGTTACTCACAAGTTTCTTCATAGAATGACCTATTTTGATTTGGAAACCGCATAATTGTCTTTCTGTAAGCAAAAATGACATTAGTGTCAATCCTTAGGGATTATAAAACATTTAAGTTTACATTTTGAATCTGACTGACAGCAAATGTGATGAGTAAGAGTATTTGTCACTGGAGCCACGATATGGGAGAACTTCCAAGTATGAGAAAGTTTACAATAACGTATAACTAGAGATGTAACGGAACTTCGTCTCCGTCTCCGTTACTGCGGACAGTCCACAAAATTGGACCTGCTTCTATCCACCTCCGCACAATTTATGCGGAGTTTTAACGGAAGTTCATTTACGATAACAAACAATTATGAACCTTAAGATATGGTTTGGAAGGCCACAAATCGACAAAGTCGCGAAGCTGTTCATAAAATATAATAAGCCTCTTCTCAATTTTGATTAAGAACTAGTTTTATTGTACACAAAACTGTGATGCGACGTCGCATCGCAAAAATGTGCGAGCTTCCTCTACGTATCGAAAGGACTTGCGAATTGATTCGCATCGTGCATCAAAACTTATCTGCTCAAAATTTTCTTTGTTTCTTTTTTTTTGTATCTCCTAAGCAATAACAGGGGCCTTAGTACGAGTTTGATTTACGTTTAAAGTATTCGAAACGAGAAACCAGGGAGACCCCTGGGAGACGCCTTATCGCACAAAATCACACACGCAACAATTCGCATTGTAATTTTCTGCGTTGCTAATTCGCATCTCAGGGGTCGTACACAGTTTTGTGTACGACCCCTGAAAGTGTACCACGTACCTACAAATGAATGATGTACCTACTCATTTGAATTAAATAATTTTGACTTTAATAAACCATACATTTCTATTCTTTCACTTCCGCCTCGTTAACGGGCCTCCGTTAACCTCAGCATCCGCGAAAAGGGCTTCCGTTGTATCCCTACATAATACTTACCTAAACTGTTCGGGCCAATTGGTAAGAATACAACTGGTTCATTTCTGTTCACAGTACAAGGCTTTGCAACAATTTCTTCCCCCAAATAAGTGTCAATTATTTGCAAAAATCTTGGTTCATTCAAGGTCCTCAAGCAGACTGATCTTACAGCCATGTAGTTGAAGATGATATGGAATACCATCATAATTATGAATACCATAAGTGAACTCCTGGAATGTTATCATAGGAATATTATAAACTATCCAATACAAAAAGTATTATTCAAATCAGACATGTAGTTACGGAGATTAGCGCGTTCAAACAAAAAACAAACTCTTCCGCTTTATATAAAGTATAACATGGTCCACATAATGGATTTCAATAAAATTTTAGTTATGTTATCAATTTTATGAATTTTATATTGAAATATTATTTTATCATTTCTGACAAATTCTATCTATATATCAAACTCAATGGATTCAGGTCGACTTACCATGTTTGACATTAAATGTATTAAATGTCAATATAAAATATTATTTTGGAATCTCTAAATAATTATTAATTTACATACCCAAAGATTGTAATGATCGTCAAAGCTGTAAGGGAGGCAATCAGATTAACAGCTGTTTCTTGAGCAGAATCTTTGGCGGAGACATCTGCTAGATTGCTCCTAATAGCATGATGTTGTGTCATGGCTGCTCTGGTTGCACCTCCTGAAACCATAAACTACTAGATATTGCAAGTTTCCTAAACCTATTTTGTTTAACACCCACTGTGAAAACCAGTTACTTTTTAGTGCCCCCCATTTATTTTCCATGCAGTGAGATTATTAATGAAAATATTTGAAACAACTGGCTTTACACAAATAATCTCACTTTTAATAAGTGCTCTAGGCTGCAATATAAGTACACATTTCTCAGGGGGATATTATCAAATGAATTCTCTCACTTTAGATAAGGCCAAGTGTCAGATTCTTATTGACCAGAATCACCCTAATCCTACCGAGTCGCAACTGACTCCAGCAGGAACCCCTGTAACCTGCAATCCAGTTTTCCGCAGACTTGGTTGGGCATCAGCACTACTGGGGTTGAGTAGTTTCCCCACAAGCAACGCCTAAAGAGGTAGTTAAGGAACTAATAGTGTGCATCACAGAAGAATGAGACAGCAATCCAGGTCTTTTTGTTCTGCGCTATGCCCTGAACTAGAGCCGAACATAGAGGGTATATGAAATTCAAAATGTGGATGGATGCATAATTTAGCTATAATATCCCACAACACTGGAGGCAATCTTGTAGAAATTTGTCTCAATACATACCAGCAACTCCTACAATGGCTTTCATTACGGTGCTAACACATAGGACTGTTGTGGTGTAGTTCTTGAACACTGGTAAAGCTATTTCTATGCACATTGCTGCATCATTTAGCACATCTGCATACAATCGCCACTTTTTGCTATAAGCATCCAGGTGAGTGCTGGAAAGAAGAAATGATATAGGTATTAAAGTACAATTTCATTGATGAACCACCAGTGCAAACTGCAAGGTTTTGGTCCCAGGATTAGATTAACCAATTATTACCAGGATTACTGAAATGACAATGACAGGCTTGGCACACCATTATTATTGATCTGACAATACAAATGATGATAGTTAGTTTTATTTTTATTCATGGTACTGGTACCTTAAAGTTTTATAACAGAGATAATAATTATTTACCCATGACTGTAAGCAAAATAAATCTTCCCCAAATGTCCGCATCCATCTTTCAGAACCCAAGTTATAGTGGCTGCTAATGGAGTTGCAGATGTGTCGCCGACTCCTACACCTCGCAGAACTTCCTGGGTTGCCAGAATCCCTGTAAAATAGTTTAAAATTCACTGTTTATAGATTGTATATTTGTTATACATTGTATAATAGTATTATTATAACTGTAAGTATTTACAGTTACAAACTATAATACTCTATAATAAGAAAATCAACCATAAAGTATCACTTTTACAGTGTATACATTTAATTCATTATTTTCTAGGTGCATCTTACCAGTGATTGTGCTGCAGAAAGCTTGTGCTGTATCCCATATTTGATAGTTTGTATAATCTTTGCTTACACTATATGGATAACCCTGAGGTAGAAACACTCTTGTAAATAAATTAGCAAATTCATTAGACTTTTCCTCGTCGAGTACCACAACATTTGATTGCTCTGTAATAAACAATATATTGACGTGGAGTACACGACATCAATACTACACAAGTTGAATACATAATAGTTCCGAGTTCATGACCAACTATAATTTACCTGGCGGTTTCACGTAGAATCTTTGTTTATTAAGAGAACCGTATATTTCTTTATAAATTACTTCACCTTCATGAATAGTAAACATTTTAACTTAAATAATTCCCAGCAAACAACTTTCTATAGGGCGAGATGCACACGTAAACAATACGATTTCAACTAGTTAGAAAGAGTAATAGTTCGACATATTATATATACTGTTTATGTTCGTGTCGTCTAAATAATTCTTTTTTCATGAATACCGGCTATTCTAATAAGACTAGATACAAAAATACTCAATATTCAATACGGTGTTGGTGTTGGTGTTGGCTTGGAACTTGGACAGAGTATAGTTGTCTTGTCAACCTCAACCTGAAAAATGACAGTTGACACTTGGACAGTTGGTGTATATAGTTGTTTCTTGAGAATTTTTTGTAGCCTGTAGTAGATAAAGTGATTGAATGAATAATATTAGAGACTATTGGCTATGTAACGTATCTAACTATTGTGAAACTAATAACAATATTAGGAGTATTAATTAAATATTAAAATTAAAAAAAATATTTTTCTGAGTCTGAGGACCAAATGAATTTTTATCTTTGTCTGTCGACTGTCATGTTATCCATCAATGCACTGAAGTTTATTTTTGTTATCTGTGATATTGAAAAAAAATTGAAATTTGTGTTAAAAATAAACTTGAGAACTTGAGGATATTAATTTTATGTTTCGTGAAAGAACAAAAACCTAGCTTCCATAATATAAACAAAACAAGTAATATCACTTTATAACCTTGTTAAATCAGTTGAAGTTATTAAAAGTTTGTTTCCGCAAGTTTTCATTGAATAAATCAAGTTTTAGGCAAGTGCAGTCTTCTAAAGTACTGTTGGACAGTAATGGGAAATTAAAGATGTGAATGTGCATGTATTTTATTGATAATGGCATTGAAAAATCAAACGGGCTATGTGAATGATAGTATTGGTATTAAAGTTGAAGGCGAGTTAGGAGATTTTCAAATAATTGAAGAAAACAGCGATAGTGATGATGATATCGAGATAGATAGCAAAAGTTCAAGGACGACTGGCACTCTTGCCACCATCCCTTCAGTCCCACCAAGTTTAGTGAAGCCAAATAGCAGTCCAATACAGGGCAATGTGGCAGTTAGTAACTCTGAGAATGTTGTGATTGGTAACAACACTTATTTCAATGGACCTGTTATTATCAAGCAAGTTATACAAAATGCACCAGGTATAGAGAACCCTTCTTATGTTAAAACTGATGATGAAGACATTCCAACACAAAAGTATGAGAGAGAAACAAAAAATGATAAATGTAAGTAAAATATTTAAATAATAGTCAATTAAGTTCAATTGTTTCTTGAAAAATGAGGAAAGAGTACATTTTTACTTTGTCTATTACACTGTCCTTTGCAAAGCAACTGATACTAAGTAGCAAACTTGTAACAAGTTATTATTTGCTATTTAATTAACTGCCTATGCATGCTTCTTGTGTATGCTGCACTTAAGCTGAATAAGCAAGCTGCAATATAATTTGTTATGTAGTCTGTGTATATAACAAGTATGCAGGTATATATTTATACAATGCTCACAGTCAGTATGTAACTAGGCCATGTATCTGACTGGCTAGAAACTGCTTTGAAACACATAGATTGAGGAAAAAAGTTCTAGATCTTTAGGTTATTTTGTGTCTATGCACAAGTTCATATTATACATAATGGTACATACTTATACTGCACTGATTAATTTGTTAGTAATATGCAAAGTCATTGTTTGATTGTTATTATTGAATTTATAGACAATAATCATTTATTTATTATGATGTTAGTTTTTATAGAAAAAAAATACTTCTAACTATGTATGCTATATCTATATGTATTCATGAAACTAGAATGCATAGCTTTCACTTTGCTATGTATGGTAGACCAAAACTCTCTTGGGGGAAAACCCAAAACAGGAAACACACATATAGAAATTTATAGAGATTAACTTCCTATTAAGAAATAAATTACAAAACAGAGATTTTTTATTAAAGTTATGCTCATAAACCACAAATGGTGCTCTGTTATAACATTCTTTTGTATCTAATGCTGACTGGCTGCCATCTTGTCTGCAAGAAAGTACAAAGTATCTTATAGTGAAGTGTTCAAAATACATGTCCTTATCAATGTACCAAATTATGATCATGGATTAAATTTTATAGATATGCATACTGCAAATTTACATTATAATTGTCATACTGCGACTGTTTTAAATATGATAATTTGTAAAATAAATAAGAATATACCATTTATGAAACTACTTTGACTTTGTAAAATTAATTACTACTGTGAATTTGTAAAAAAATACCTATGTAGTTATTTCTTTATTTTGTTCCATGCAAGTTTTTTCAAATTTTATTTGATGATAAATTGTTACTATAAACTACATAATAAATTATTATCTTTTACAGCTGTCAAGAAGTTTCATATAAGAAAATGGCACAAGATAACTTTTTCAGCATTATGTGTAGTAATACTTGGTGGCATCTTTGCAATATTGTCAATAATTCTGAGCAATTCTACTCAAGATGATATTAGTTCTTCTTCACCAATGTCTGAGGAAGACAACACCTCAAGGACACCAAGTGAGTGGAACTACTTGTTAATTCAAGCCCACACCTTCCCTCTTTCACAATCATGCAATGTCACTAACTCCAGTGAATTGTTTGCTCTATCCAATCTAAATAGTTCACTGAAAAAAGTCATCATTAGTTACATCAGCCTATTGAGTATTTTGTTTCTCAAATTTTTCTTTCTTATCCTTATAGCAAGGCAACACCAACAAAATTCATTAAAATCAATAATTATAGTGCTAATGCTGTACAAAAGCTGTTGGTAAAGCCTAAATTAACTCGTTGAGTACCGTATATAGTACCATATTATAGACACAATTATAGAAGGTTGCGGTCACCGGTGACCGCTTGGTGTTTGACAGTTTAAAAAAAAATAGGAATGTATATTCAGTACCAATTACAAAGTAAAATTATCTACACAGATAATCTTTTCTTTTACTTAAATCTTTGATTAGTATTCAAATATCTTGATAACAAGTATTATTAAAATTATTACAATAAATTAATTATACATTTGAAGTACATTATCAGACCAGATTATTATTAAACTGATTGTACTGGAGTAATTAATAAAATATGCTGCTGCAATAATTTATTACCTACAGTCATATTAGTGACTACAAAAAAATCTGTAAAAATATTTGGTATAAAATAGATACATGTTTATATTTCAAAAAGTCCCCTGGGATTTTTATTATAATTATACTTATCATTTTAATTATATCAGTTTGTCCTTGTACCAATAAGGTAATTGGTCTTTACAATGTTCTGTATAAAACCGGTAAGGGACTTCCCTAAAATGTAGTGAGTACTTCACCATCCTTTAGATAAACATTGTCCACTTACTGCACAGTAATACTAACAATTTTAAAGGTGTGGCTACAAATAAGTTTATCATTTTCACCAAAGATTTTGGTGACTCAATAATTGTATTATCATTTCAGACTACACAAAGGTGGTGGGATTGTTCTATGAAAACTTAAACTTAATTATATTTACAATTATATTGACGCCATTAACATTCCTGTTGATGTTTTACACATTACTAACATTGGATGACTCTGGTGATAAGAGTGTGGTCACCCGTATTGAGAGGCATAGGAAAAAGAGAGACTACGAAGCTATAGAGGATGATAGTGATCCCTACATGAAACCTATCAAAGGTACTACATGATTTTATAGATTGTTTTACTTCTACATTTAATATTACTAGAACTACATAATTCAGTGGTATCCCCTTGACATTAGAATGCAATCAAATGAGTTGTATTTGCTTTGTTCTTTGAAGCAATTCAACTATTAATAAATACCAGTCCCAGCATGAGTCAGTGTTATCATATGAGTTATAGGAACTTGGTGTGGTAATACTTGAATAAATAAACGAGTTATATTTTTGCGGCTTGCATGATAAGATTATGTAGTGTTGCTGATCGTTTAATTAATATTTTTCAGCTAATCCGTTGTTGATAGCTCCAGATCACCTTAGGATAGTACCTAGATCTGACTGGTTAGCACAACCAGTCGAGAAGCAGTTAGTTAAGATCAATCAGCCCGTGCCCTGGGTCATCATTTCGCACACAGCTACTGAAAGTTGCAAAACACAGGTCAGTACCGGATCTTGTTTGAACAAGTGGTAGCAGCAACCATTCAATTTTGAACTATAAGAATTACGTGAATTAGCACGGTTGGTTTCGTGGGTTAGACTCCCGTACGGAACAAATTCTTTGTGTTACCACAATTTATTGTATGTGTGTTAATGCACCCACGTCACAATAACCGAGAAAATTGTAAAAGTCTCGCGATAAATAAATCGTCAGGCACTAATAGGCGCGTTTTACATGTTAGGCACTACTAACTTAGTAACAGAATTACACAACTGACGCCGGTAGGTTGATAAAACTGTGGTCGACTTGTTTTGGCATGTTATTTCTAACCGACTTTAAAATAGGATGAGTTTTCTCTATTCAACCTATACCATATGGTATTTTTTTATGTTTGTTCGGCTTCGTCGTTTATGATGTCGATTTGGATGTTTAATTTTGTTCGGAAGGTTATGCCTCTAAAGACCTGGTAAAAGTCCTTCAATTTGATAAAGGTGTGGAGCACGCACAGTCGCATTAAACCTAGACAGCATCCTAGGCAAGCATATCATGGGCACCCCTAATTTTTTTGGAGCCACCGCCGCACTATGGCCGCTCAATGGCGAGTGGATCTCGCGCGTCTTGGGGCGCCCGACTGTAACATATCGCCCCAATTAGGTACTTGCCTCCTTTTTTTTTTCGCGAGACGATCTCCGGCCACCATAAGCGCGGGCCTGCGGACGGCGAATATGGGTGGCTCGCCGCCCGACCAGAACCAGACCCGAGCGTACGGCGCATCGCGTTCCGCACGCGCCTTAAAGAGCCATCAGACCACCACGCATGGGGCCCAATAGGGCCGATGCCGATACGGAGTCGTGGAGAACGGGTTATCGGGGCTCCGGCTCGAAGTGTAGGCGTAGGAACGGGGTGGTTTTTAGTCAGTAATAGTCTGACACTCCCTCCCGCCTCACCCAGGCGGAGGCAGTCATCCGATAATTTCCCCCCTTAAAAAAAGTCCTTTTTTTAAACGTTGCCCCACACTAGGATTTTCACCTGTGTCGCGGGTGCGTTTACAAACATACAATTTCACTTCATATACACATGACACCCAGACCCGGAACAACAATTTGTGGATTACATAAAGAGTAGCTCCGTGCGGGAATCGAACCCTCGACGTTATACGGCAGCCAGTTGTCCAGCTGCCGCGCCATCCGTGCAGTCTAGTGGTCTGGAGCTCGATCTGATGATGGAGCCAGAAGAAGACAAAAGGCTTGATTGATTTGTATTGAGGATTTAACGTCTAGATGAGATGTCATTGTCATTAAGGGTCTGGTAATGAAATAGTATGATAGTTAAGAGAACTCCTCACCGGTACCTTGTGTTTCGGCTTGATTAATCTATATTGGTGAGAATTTTGTACCCTTCATGTGGGGTTTTAAGTGGTATAATGGGTTTGTATAGTCTCGCATTAAACTAAAAAGTATAAAATGCTACTGGTAATAAAAGAATTGGATTGCACAATTTCATATAAAACTATCTCTACGGACAAGGGGAATAAGCAATGTAATTTATCTAAAGATAGCAATCCAAAAAAGTGGGCTATCAAAAGCAAAGAGATTAGCGAGTTTGAACAAACAAACAAATTCTTTTGCGTTCTATGTACAAGCAGCCAAGTTATTAGGTATACAGGTAATATAATAAAGATGGACTCAGCACAGAGATAGATAGCAGATCAGTCAATGGCTGGCTACCGACAACAAATTTGGCAATGGCTGTCCATTTTGAATCGTACTTTATATTCCTAACTGCGTAGCAAGTGACTTAGCCGATTGTACATAGATAGTAGTGATTCGCAAACTGTTGCAAGTTAGGATTTCATTGGTATTGTAATCTTAGATTAAGGGATTTCGACACAAAATACATATTGCATTTCTCAACTTTAAAATTCCTAATATAAGATAAGAACAGAAATACTGGTTATTTGTGCCCGACCTATTGCAATAGGTTTGTCGTTATCAGTTTAGACTTATAATGCTAATGGCAAAAAGTTTCGTACTATTGGAAAAACAAGCATGACATTATTAAATATGATATGTTACCTAGGTATTTGTTGTTTAAACGACGATGTTAATTGTATTGTATCAAATTCCAGAGCGAATGTGTTCTGCGCGTGCGGCTCATACAAATGTTCCACATTGAGTCAAGAAAGTGGGACGACATTGGCTATAACTTTTTAGTAGCCGGCGACGGGTCCGCGTACTACGGCCGCGGCTGGGACTACGTCGGCGCGCACACGTTGGGCTACAACCGGTACAGCATTGGGATAAGTTTCATCGGGACATTCAACAATGATCCTCCTCCTCAGAACCAAATAGACGCTTGCATCAAGCTGCTCAAAAGGGGAGTAGAAATTGGTAAACTCGCGAAAGACTATAAACTGTTTGCACACAGACAACTGGCGTCTACTCTCAGTCCTGGTGACAAGTTGTACGATATTATAAAAGAATGGCCGCACTTCGTTACGAATGTTACAAACCCCTCTGAATTAGTCCCGAAATATGATTGAGTCTAGTGAATCTTATTAGTGCCTAAATGTAATATATTGTGATGGATGTAGTTTATTGTTAACGTTGCTGAATATTGATAGAAGTCGCATATACGATCAAATCGTGATTTTATGTAATGCCGCTTTGCCAAAAGTGCCTCTGTTAGTTAAAAAAACTGCGCGCCTATGGACCGTTTGGTTAGGTCAGGTTATTGATAAGATTGGACGTTTGCGTTGAAGCATAAATATGCTAGTCAGGTTGACATAATAATATTGTTACTTACTAACAATGTAATTTTAGAAGAAGCGAGTATATGCCGAGGCGAATCTTTCTTTATAGCATGGTGAAGGTGATCTAAAGTTTATATATAATTGTGTTAAGTTATAATGTTCCATTTCCTCAAAGTGTAAAGCCAAGTTAGCTACATAATGTTTGTCTTCTTTAATCAAACTCTATACCTATATTCGTATTATTGGAAAGAAAATGCTGAATCATTCCATAGCAAGTTCTTATTAGTTGATTGTGTTTAATATAGCAAACGGAAATATGTACAGCTTAATAATATTAATAATTTCGTCAAGGGGTACGGTAGACTCGATCGAAACATTACCTGAATAACAAAACATAAAAAAATATCGATTTCGAATCGACAACTTATATCCGCTAAACTCGGATTACGGAGATTATAATTCATTTTAATGACATTGACAGACAAACCGCAGTCGCCATCTTGAGTAGACAATAAACGTTCTGTTTTATACTAGCTCTCAAATACGCTTCGCCAATCAACACTTTGTCGCGTCAAAAAAGTGTAAAGTAACAAGAAATATTAATAATTTTACGCGAACGAAGTCGTGGGTAACAGCTAGTAAAATATATTTTGAAATACTGTATAAAGAAATAGTAATAAATTTGATGAAGACATATTTTTATATAAACTTATATGCGCAAATGATGGCATGTAAAACTTAATTTGAGCACCATTTGCTGTAAAATTGCAAGAATTCTAGTTTATGAGTCAAACATTGTGATTTTAGTGAAGTTTGGAAAAAAAATAAGCCAACTTAAATAATATTTGTAAGAAATGTAAGTAAGAGAAATAAACTGATGAGTTTTTAAATATTTGATATACTTCCCTTAGTATTTTGTTATTATTCTTAAGATTACGTGTCACAGGTCGCTTCATCATAAGAACATATGCATGCATGGCTGATTACGTCTTTACAAATCTTTAAAACAAACCACACGTTTAATATTTAGTATTCAGTTTTCTTATTCATCATATGGAAGGGTAAATAATTAATGAAGACACACAAATTATTCAAAACATTTGAAGATTATTGTTTATCGTATGTGCGATATATTAGGTGCTTACATTGATATTTTTTGTGTATCTAAAATATGGGATGCTTTCTGTTTACATATGGCCTATTTCTAGTAAACAGTATATGATATTACATTTTTTTTAATTCAATATTTTATAACTAGGCTTTGTATTAAAACTTTATTCCATCCAGATTCATTCAACCATAGCCGGCCGTAGAAGTATGTGTAAAACTCTTTGTATTCTTTATTTACTTAAACAGGATTACAAAGAAATCAGGTATGTGTTAAATAGTACCATCATATTAACACTTACCTTTTAGATAGGTTTCAATACAACAGCGATGAAATAATTCAATTAACAACAATTTGCTATAGTCGTAAGGCCTCGGCATACAGAAACATTTTTGTTTTTGAAAAGCCAACGACATTCGGTCCTTCCGTCGAGAGCCCGCCTTTTTGTATTTGATGTTATGAAATATATATCATACGACGTGCAATTTAGTGTTCAAATTTAAATAACAAGTTAATACCTGGGTTAGAGTAGTGCCGTTAATGTGTACCTTTTGCTAGGTACATGCTTACATATTGTATTTTTACTTTTGATCTCAGAAAATAAAATAGTAATTGCCAATCAATTTATGATATAAATGTAGTTGCTCTTGTCACTTAACACGTTAAACGCCATGGGGGTCACCGGTGACCGGCGTTAGCGGAGGATTTACCTTCAACAGTTTTTTATTGGCAGTCAAAGTCTTAATGTAATCTATGGTTCTGATATCGCGTACTATTTTCTATTCTAACTACTTACCTGTTTTCTCTGTAATTAGAATATACGGTTTCGTCACGTAGCTAACAACTACTTTCAAGTCACAATAGGGGTTCATTATTATAAGCTACGACCTCGAAGAGTTACGCGAGTAAGCCGTATGTTCTAATTAATTTATTATGTTTCTCAGTACTTATGGTCCCATGAACAAGTGTGTTTTTAATGATTTCACTGTATTCTGGTATGAATGTCGCGCATGGGGTATCGGGTCGATCGGTCTAGGATAAAATATTTCTGGATTTCTAAGAAAATCTTAATAACTTGAGTCTGACATTGAACCCAGTGTTAGAGAATGTGTGATTTTTTTAATAGGAATCGTAGGACCAATACCTGGCTTAACTTTGTACATACAATTTACACCATTGTCTATGTTGTGACTGATAACAGTTGTGAATCAGTGATTCCTGTTAAGTGCAATTTCTTGTGTACCTATATAAAAATATTGTTATTATGGAAACATGTGTTGTCTAATGCATTTATTTTAATAATCTTGTAAGAAAAACAAACATATCATCAATATTTAATGAAAATATATTGTTGTAATGTCTCATTTCTTCACAAATCTAAGATTACAATTGTAACATAGTGAAAGTTGTATTACTGGCAAAAATACTGTAAATAAAATTGTTTTAAATCATAGTTCAACGTGGAATTCAAAATAAAAGAACTTTACATGAACGTTTGTTATTTCTTGTCTTAATAATTGCAGCTTGAACGTATATTATGCTTAAAAGCCCACTGTTGGGTTCCATTATTGGAATTTTTGGGAAATTAGTCTTTCAGACAGGCATTGAACCCTTAATCTCCTTTTGGTAAGTGTATAGAATGATATGATGAGATCCCAGTGTCTGTTACTGATTTGATATTAACCTTTTGTTTTAAATGATTATTTGGGTAAACAATGAGTATTTTTAATAGTCACGTATTAAAAAAGTACTGTAACTTTGTTTATAGGTGCTTATAACAGTTTTTCTTTCAGCATTCTTCAATACTTCGATCTTAGGAAAATGTTGATAGACTTGTGTCAACATTTTCCTAAGACCAGAGAGAATGATTAAAATAGACTAAATCTTTACATTAAAACTTTCGTGAAACATACTAAATTAATTATTATGTTTTTGGGTTACTCACGTAACTGTTTGACATGCAACTCGATTAGTTTCAAGTAATGCTAGAGGTTTATATTCATGCGCAGCATCGCGCGACACGCGACGAGGCTACTGTCGCGCTGCTACTACAGTTACGTAATCCGAAAACATAATAATTAATACTAAATCTTGTCCAGTTTAACCCCACAAAGGTAAATGTCTATGTTTTCGGGGCTAAATATTGCCGTTGGTCATATCTCCTCGCTTTCAGAGCACTACCTATCTATCTTCCTCAGCAGGGAAGGGTCCTTAGTGTTGACATATCGAGGTAAATCCATAGATCCACAGGCATCTAAGAGAGTAAGTCTGACATAGTCTAGAACAGGGCTGTCCAAACTATATACCCTCGCGGGCTAATTTAACTTCTAACAAAAGCTGGAGGGCCAGAAAAATATTTTCACGTTGTACAATGAAGTTTAACATTGAATTCTTTACTCATAGACAAAATTTGTATACAAATCATACACTGAATTTTATTATTGTTGTTGCACATAAGATGAAGATGATGAGATTAAAACATGTGTCGCGTGCCACATGAAAACAGGCCGCGGGCCGCATGCGGCCCGCGGGCCTTTGTTTGGACAGCCCTGGTCTAGAACTATTGGCAAGAAATGCAGGTGATTTTTTACGTCGGTGACGATACATCTGCTGTCTATGATGATGGTTGGTAGTTCTTTGTTATATTTATTTATTTAAGTTTTATACAATTGCATAAGGAAGACTTAATGCTAACAGCTATATCTATGGTTGGTAGTCCACAGATGTGCATTTTTGACGGATCTTTCTGCCTAATGGCTGGTACAGGCAATCTATGAAATAAAGTGCCACCTGCGGTATTTTCAAACCGATACAACCTTCAAATCTTCTATATTACTTATAGAAGATTCAGCCAAAGAAAGTATTTTCTCTTTTACAAAGGTCGGTTTCGACCTTTAGTGTCTGACATTCCCTCCCGCCTCACCCAGGCGGGAGAAGTCATTCGATAATTAAAAACCCTCAGTTTCGTGCGCTATTCATCATCATATCAGCTACTGCCAAATACTGATCATCATATTCCTAATTTTAAGCTCCTTTATCTAGAGGTTCCTTGTAATCTTTACTAAATCGTTTTTCCGCTGTGTGGATGGATGTCCTGCGATGTGCTTGCTTCGTTTGGCTTGCATTTGAACACGTTTTTGTCCCATATCGGCAAGATTCATATTGAAATCTAACATTTATCAATCTTTTAATCTACTAATGAAGTAATAAATATTATAATACCTTTCTATATACCTGTATAGTGGGTAAGTATATAGGTGCTCAAATACTTGACTGTTAATAAACAATTAATCTTCATATAAACGGTTGTTTTAGTGACAGCTTTTTGATGAATAGCTTGAAAACTAGAGGTAAAGCTAACTGATTCGGATCGATTGATTGTAGATACCATTTGAAGTAGGTAAACATTAATTGCATGCTATATTGCTAATGTACTATTGATTTTTATAAATCTAATAGTTACCTATTTCACTGTACCATGATAACTCCAAATGTGAGGTGGGTATTGCCCATAGGTGTACTTGCATTTATCTGAAATTACTTACGATCGCATTTCCACCATGTTGTGTTTTATGAATGACTTTCGGCAAAAGATGTTTCAGTAGGTACCTACCTAATAAAATACATCAAATTTCGATTTTCAAAGTATTTAAAGTATAAGTAAGTACCTCAAAACTGCTGAAAGCCATAAAAAATTAACGTTCCACCTAAATACGGTACGAAACTGTCATTAATGTCCATGGCGTGTGTAGGCAATTAGTTAAATATTGATGAAGGCAGTCGCGTTATCTCTGATAGATCTAACTTTATAATGACTAGCTCGTGTGGACACCACAAATCGACAGTTGAAATTACAAGTTGAGTGTACAGCATACGGTACAAAGCACGGTTTCTGCAACGTCGCAAACATGGTACAATTAAACTCAGAAGTTTCTCACATAAGATCAAGAAGAGTTGTGTACAGTAATAATTGGAATAAGGATAAGGAAAAATCGCAGAGAAGTTTCTACGTGAACAAGTTTGTTGAGTTTTGCAAGAGGACAGATTTGCACGGATACAAATATATTGTTATGGAAGATTTCAATTACGGTGAAAGGTTGGTACACTTGACGCGACCACTAACGATGTCTGTGACGTCTTCCATCTGCTGTACTACCTACACATGATATAAAAGTGTCTATCTGTTACCTTGTTATTAGTTCTATTTTGTTCTCCCTGAGTACTAAAAATACCTACTCAGATTATACTACTACAACTACTTTTAGAAATTATGGCATACACTACCTATATTCCAAGTACCTACTCGGAACATTAGAGCTGTCCCATTTCGTATTCTTCTGCCTGCGAGCCTCGTAAGTTGGAATGCCGCATTTTGTTAGTCTTACTATACCATGGTTAATAATGCGCCTACCGATCCAGAAATTAAGCAGAAAGTGACTTCTTAAAGTTCTTTTCTGCATTAGCCAGGTATATTACGTAATTTTTAGTTTAGGAGAAAAACCAAGCAGCCGTATATTTTTGAGTGGTGGGTACACAATACATAAGTCTAAGGGCTATATTTCACCGAGAACCATGGCGTCGCAACCAGCCGCCGCGACCAACAAAATGTATAGCTGCATTGCATTGCCCTACAGACTGAGAGTTACTCACATGGTCCTCATCCGCTTGGTTGCGCAACCGATCTGGCGAGGCGCCCATGCAGCTCGGATGACGGTATTAGAGGTCTATTTTGGCGTATCGCGTTCCGCGCGCGCCTCAAATAGCCGCCAGACCACCACAGATTTGCCCCAATAGGGCTTATTCCCGATACGGAATCGCGGATGGCTTAACGGTTTGCCGGGACTCCGGCCCGAAGAGCAGGAGTTGAGGAACGGGGTGGTTTTAAGTCAATAAGAGTCGCTCCCTCTAGCCTAACGCTAAGGCGGAAGAAGACATTACTAGATGATTTCTCCCCTCAAAAATAAAACACCAAAAAGAAGTCTATTTTGATACTGTCGGAGTGTAGTGTGTGGACCCTAGTGTCTAGCTTGGTAGCTCGCGGATATTACGGTGGCGCGACTGGTTGTGCCGTCATGGTATCCCGGTGAAATACAGCCTAGGTATGTATGCGTAGGTACGTATAAGAAAACGTAAACGAAGCTATTTTGCGTGTCTTTTGAAATTGTACCATTAAGTGATCTCATTTTGTTTATTTTTGGATCTTTGTTGTTTAATGGAGTGTAAAGCTTTGAATGCTGAGTGTTTCATATCTACGAAATACTTTATTTCTTATACATAAAGCTTTTATTCAATCTTTATGTGGTGATTAGATGCTGTTGGGCGTTGGCAGTGGTGACCAGCATAGCAATAGCTTCTTACTTCGTGGTTACAGCATACAATTGGTATGCAAGGAATCCTATTGTAACTGTAAGTATTATAAGACAAATCAAGTGCAACTGCTAGACTATTATGGACATCGCCGTTTGTCATGCAGACAACTATTGTAGTAAGCAAAAGATACGGGTATGATTTTTGATTGTCGTAAATTTTAATTAGATATAGAGCTCCTACATGGGAATCGTAAGTTATTATGTACTAATCAAGGGTGTACATAAGATGTATAAATGTATATTACCTACCTACAAGGTATTCTCAGACACTTTTCCCGAGGGAAGTGGAAACTATCGTTTTTTTCATCTCCTCTTATAATATCCTCTGATTTATTTCGATGCGGGAACCAAGACACTTATTTATGTCCCGGAGTGTTCAGTGTTCCGTTGTATTGGTTGCATCTACAGTAGATCCTCGCTTAGACGAGTTGCAGTGGTATAGGGAGGCATTGACGAGCTTGTCCTATTAAAAAATTATCCGCAGGTACAAGGAAAATCATTGTCATTAAGTCGGCTTATCTAGGATTCGTAGGAGTAGAGGATTCACAGGCTGGTAATGACGTTGAATGTCCAATTGCATAGAAAGTGATCATGAATTTGTCAATGTTATTTTTAAACTGTAGTAAATATTTTCAAAAATGTATAATACCCAATACCATCGATCATCGTTGCATATTGTAATGATATTTATTATTATCAGCTTTAGGTTAGATAGTCTTTCATCAATTGACGCGTGTGCGATACAAAACTTTCCCCGATATAGTTATAATCGCATGAAGATTTGTATTTATGAGTTTTTAATCGATATAATTAATGTGATTTATCTTCGGATTTATGGATTTTCGGAGTGTGGGTCTTAATACATTCACATTTTAGAAAGACTTCGTTTTGCAGTTGTCTATCTGGATGATACTGCGTAGGCTACTATGTTCTGTGTCTCATGAGCCCCAATGAACACAGAGATGATAACTTGTCAGCTTGTCTTCAGTTTGAGTATCAACATTCTTTTAAGTATGCAGTACGTATATATTAGACTGAAATGGAAAACATAAGAAATTTCAGAACTTTACCTACTACCGAGTAAAGGATCGCAGACTCGCAGGAGATATTAGGTTAGGTTGAGAATGAAGATCATTGGAATTAGTTCTATCGTAACAAAACTAACGAAAATCGAATGCTTACATTATTTGTTCAAATTTAATGCGAATGAATTGGACAACCATGTCGTAATTCATAAAATTATTTTCTATTACATTTTCTATTTCCTTCTTATGTCGAATGGTTTAAGGTTATAGAAAGTACCCAGGGTGCTATTTGGGACGTGCCATTCCCGGCTGTTACTATATGTGATCTGAACATAGTTTCCAAAAAGGCTGCAAGAAATATGGCGCGTAATTTGTAAGTATTATTCTTTATGTTGTATAGTTTTTTATCATACTGTAAGAAGGGTATTGTTTTTGTGAAATTATGTTCCAGCAATGACATGTTATTTCAATTGTTACGGTCTGTTGATGACTAGATTATTAAATTATAAATTACTGACAGAATAGTGAATACATTCCAATAAAGCTAAAAATTGCTTCCCCTATAATCAATCTTCTTTGAGAAGAAATCAGAAAAAAGTTCCAGTGCATCTTAAACCTCTACTTTTTCTAAGTCTCTATTTAATATGGCATGCAAGAACAGTTCAGTTTAATAAACATCATTTAAATTTGATTTAGGACGCTCCCTGAGAATATTACAGAAGAATACGTGTTCGAAGCATTTCGTCTCGTACCACTGCTGTACTCTACTTTTTCAGCAAGTGAAAAAGAAAAGGAACAGTTGAAAAACTTGCAAGCCATATTGGACTTCAACAACATGCCCATAGAAGTGTTATTTAAAGAGGTTAGTGATTTTACCAAATTTCGTTATTCTTTCAATTACATAGGCTGGTGGCACCTATTATATAAATGTTAAGGTTATGATGCCTATTGCCTATGCCAAAAAAATCGTTCTTTAAAGATGGCGCCTGCACAAAATTTTTAACTTTTCGTCATGGGTGTCATTTTCGTGGTTATCGATGGTGATAAAACTGATGGTGCTGTACAGAGCACGATATGGACCACGTTCATCGCTCTGATTGGATGGTTCATTGGAGCCGGCCAATTATAGCGCTAAATTTTGATTATTTCAAACGTAAAACAACTTGTACCTACTAAGGCAACTGAACATCATAATTCAAAACGTATTTGACGTAATTCAACAACTTAGAGGATCTAAGAGAATCGAGTTACTAGGGTCAATATAATCGAGAGGGAATGCGAATTTTATTCTAATACCACATACAACTGCTTATTAAATTCTTCCTGTATAACCTTTGTGTTGTGCTATGCAATGTTCCATGGTTATTTTAAATTTTAGATAAGGTTTCAAATAAATGTTGAAACTTCGAATACTATAAAGATTCGATCTCAAGTATTGTTATAAAAAGTCAACTTTATTAGCTATACTACGTAGTGGCTCTTTTCCTATCAGGTATAAAGTTCGAGATGAAATTTAACTCGTCGAGTACCGGTTTTGTAGACACAATTATAGAACAATAGGTTGCGGTCACCGGTGACCGCTTGGTGTTTGACAGTTTAATCGCGGAACTAAAAGTAAAGCTGCTAAGGTAGTACTTGATATGTGCTGGACTAATAGCTGGACTGAAAAGTACAAAACTAAGTTCTTGTATGAATGTCAGTTTCGTCCTGTTGGCCTGGAGGTATAAGACGCCCGCTTCTCTCATGCTTGAGAGTGCGGGTTCGAAACCTACCAACGGCAAGTAAAGCTGCTAAAGTAGTAACTTTTCCGAGTTATATGTAGGTACTTTCTAAGATTATTCAGATATCACTGACAAACGGTGAAGGAAAACATCGTGGTTGATTGATTGATCAAACTTATAATTTCTAATTCTAAGTTTGAAATCGCCAACCCGTAATCGTGGTGATTAATGCTTAAACCTTCTCCGTGTGAGAAGAGGCTTTGCTCAGCAGTGGGCATTATATACTGTTGATGTGTGTGATTTGAATGTATGTGTTTCAGCTTAACTAATACTGATTTCTATCTTCTAGTTGTTAAAATATGTTTACACTAAACATCAATGTAATGCTTTTGTTTTCAAAGTAAATAATCGTGCATCATCTCTTGACAATGATTTAATATTGTTTTATGGGAATGATGAATGTGGTCTTGTTTATGGAAATGACTCTTATAATGCTCGGTGGCCAGCAAGTCAACCTGTCCTTTTCTGTTTTTCTCTATTACATCTTCATATTTATAATATAGACATAAGAGTCGAAAATCAAATGATTTTTTTACAGATTGGAGTAAGCTAGCTCTGAAGTATGCTAGTTCTTGCTATAAAGTTCTTAAACGACACCATCCTGAAAGTGGTTTTAGACAACGTGGCTATCAGCTTTCGTTCACACACTGCTCTTACCTAGGTGTTTATATTGCTATTTTTTTGTATTGTATGTTGTTTGAATAAGGTTAAAGTTAACAAAAAACAACATTATTTTACTATGTGTATACAGGTGGTAAGACGAGGCAGTTTCCAATGACTCGTAAACATTTAATGTTGCCGTTGGAGGTAGTAAAATAAAGATTATGTTCCAGCTATCACCAGCTACTTCTTGCGGCAATCTGGTGCAACAATGCATGTGGAAGAACTCAATCTACAGCTGTGATGAAATGTTCAAGCAGATCTATACTTTGCTCAGTCTTTGCTGCACGTTCAACTATTTTGCAGTCGATAATATTGAAAATAATCAAAATGAGTTGATGAGGTGAGTATCATATACGACAATCAACCGACTTCAAAAAGAAGGAGGGTCTCAATCTGACTTGTATGTATGTACCTTTGTGTGCGATTACCTCGCAATTGGCTGAATCGATTTTGATGTGGTTTTCAAGAATGTGTTTTGTTACATGTTATGTATGTGTTATTAATAAACCGACCTCAAAAAAGAGGGAGTTGACGTCGGTTTTTTAATCACAGTTTATAAAAGACATATTATTATATTTATATTTCCATAGAAATAAGCATCAACACGAAGAGAGAGGTTTACTAACGATGCTAAGTATTCCATATACTTTTTTTGTTAATAGGTAAACTAATAAGACCAGACTGATATTTTGTATTACTATCTATTTATAAGCCAACATCTAATAATGGCTATTAATCATTATGGCGTCGTTCCCGGTATACATTGGTTCTGTCAAGTTCAGACTAATCGACTAAAGCACTTAGTAAATTGTGTAAGAACGTAATCTAGACAAATAAGTATTTATGTAGCAGACGTCACTATTAACATATGGGTCGAATGTCCCATGAAGACAGTCCCATGTGGTCTACATGTATTTTGATCTTTACGATTACGTTGCTCCACATTAGAATTTTCTCATGTAACATGGATGCGTTTACAATAATACAATTTCATAAACACATGACACCCAGACCCGAAACAATAATTTGTGGATCACACAAAGAATTGTTCCGTGCAGGAATCGAAACCGTTGCACGTTGCGCGCCAATTGTGCAGTCTATTGTACTATACATGTAAAGTGGCCGAGTTTGTTTGAACGTGGTAGTCTCCAGAAAGACTGGTCCAAATTTTTATTCTACCTATACATATTCTACTTTTTACATAAAACTAAAAAATAAAATAAAAAGGAACAGCTCAGTATAGGAATAGGAATTTCTTGCTTGCCTATAAATAAAATAAAAATCATTTATTTCAGACCACAAAGTCCATAGGCACGGCAATTTTGTTAGTACAGAAAATCTACTTATGTTAGTCACAAATAATTAAATTCAATTAAATAATTAGACTTAAGCTCAACACTAAGTATGGGGGGGAGTGTATTTAATAGGCTCACCGATCCGACCGACTGAGCAGAACAGTATCATTTATTGCTTATAGTAAAGGTCCTTGCATTATGGTGAACGCGTAAAAATGAGCACAATAAATTTGCATCGCAAGTTTGTAAAAATCTTCCGATGAAATTATGCTACAAGAAAAGCGATACGGGTTTCCAAACATAAGATACAGATTCCACTTTTATAAGTTCCAGAACACATGAATAGAGTGTTTTGAATTTATGCACACTCTTCAATAAAAGGTTGAATGTTATTTATTTACGGCAACCAAATTGCTGGCGTTTGGGACCTTTCATCTTTGTGTAAATAACATCAACAGACCGATTGTTGCATGTACTCTGTACCCATGGGTTTCGGTGACGGGTTTCAACTTATAATCGAGTGGGGTTTCGTCTATTTGTTAACGTATTACACGAAAAGAATTTGATAGTCGCGCCGAACGCTAAATGTCGCCAGTGAAATCCGACACGAGTATTATGAAGAAGAGAAATGATGAAAATATTAATAAAGATTGTTATTTACGCAAGCGATGTCCTTGAAAGTCGATATTGGCCAGAAAAAGACCTGCCTGATGTTTTTTGTGCTAACTTATGGACGGATTAAGTGTGCGTGTGCGTAGGTCCAAGTTTTCAAAACAAAATTATTCTGGTACACGGGTACATACGTATTAATAGCCAATATGTGGGTAAGTTTGACATTTAGACAACAAAAATAATATCGGAGGATTTTTGTTTGTGGATAACATTGACGAATTTTGTTTTCATGGTTGTATCTACTGTAGATCCTGGCTTACAGGAGTTGCAGCGGTTTAGGGAAGAGTCGCGGGCTTGTCTCTAAAAAAAAATGGTAACGATTACTTTTCCTGCAAAATTTCTGTCACAGACACAAGACATGGTTGTTACACTTGCACGTTAATTGCTATAAACAATGTTTTTACGTAACATGTTGTTAAGAAGAACATTTTTATAACAATAACGATACTGTAGGCGGCAGTAGGATATGTATTTTTTTTAAGGAGTATAATCATCGAATCACTGCTCCCGCCTGGGTGAGGCAGGAGGCAAGTGTCAGACTCTCACTCCGTTCCTTCTCCTGCACGTCGAGCCGGAGCCCCGGTAACCCGTTAGGTTCTCCGCGACTCCGAATCGGCATCAGCCCTGTAGGGCCCTATCCGTGGTGGTTTGATGGCTTTTTGAGGTGCGCGCAGAACTCGACGCGCTGTACGCTCGGGTCTGTTTCTGGTCGGACGGGGAGCCACCCATGCTCGCCGTCCGCAGGCCCGCAGTAGGATATGTATACCTTATTTTTCTGGTAAACTAGTAACCGAAATAGATATCATAATAGAATAATTACTCGACCAACGAGCCAGTTATCATATCTAAGTAACGCATAACAAAAGTCAATTAACGAGTAGTTTTATATTAAAAACTAACTTCTGCCCGCGACTTCGTATGCGCAATCCCGTTTCTCTCGTGCCCGTGCGTGATTTTCGAAATTTGTAATTAGGTGAAAGTAAAAAAAATATAGTATTGAATAAAAAGTATCCTATGTCCGTCTCCTGGTTCTATGCTACCTTCCTCCTAATTTTCATCCAAATCGATTTAGCCATTCTTGACTTATAAATATCTAGTGTAACTAACACGACTTTCTTTTATATAAGTATAGGTACAGATATACGGTTTGTTCGAAATATTGTGGAAAAAATAAGCTAACTTCGTTTAATAAACCTTAATCTTACCGTATCTACAGGATTACACACGTAGGTTGTTAATTAAAAAGCGTTCAAAGTTACAAGGTATAAAGTCCACAAACTGTCGGTATGGAAAGCTATGTATCGGATAGTTATGAGCACTTGATACGTGGTTCAATGTTATTAACGTTAGTACATAAACCTTTTTTAACATTGTTTCACTAGTTATTTCGATATTTAGTCATTATTTTAGTGCGTTATTTTAGTTATGTAGTCTCTGGTTCGATTCACGGTCTAGCAAAGTATTACTGGTTCTTAAAAAATGCCCGGTATGTGGCAATAGGCGACCCATAACATAAATAGTGAAAAGTGGGTGTTACTACTGTGTGCACCTCGGCCTACCCCTTTGGAGATAAAAGGCGTGATGTTATATATGTTTATGCTATTTCGTTCGTTTTCGCAAGATTGTGGAAAGAAAGGCGAACATAATGTTACTTGGAAATGATTGAGGCACCAAAATGTCAGTGGCTTTTTTAAGTGTGCGTGTGTAATGGGTTACCACGCAAGAAAGAAAATGAGTGTCCTTCGTGTCAATGTGTTTATGCTCTGCGTTTAACTCAACAGTAGCCAGGTGCCACAGTCGTTGTTTTAAGTGATGTTTGTTTCCATTATAGAGAAGTTTTAAAATTTGACTATTAATCATAACAACAGTCTTCTTGTAAATGCAATCTACATCTATCTACACTAATATTATAAAGAGGAAAGATTTGATTTTTTTTTTGAATTGAATAAGTTTTGGAACTACTGGACCGATTTGGAAAAATCATAGGCTATGTTTAATAAGAGTACATAAAAGGAAACTGTGTGATAATTTCAATAATGTAAATATATTATGTGAAAAATCTACCAAAAAGATCCTTATATTGCTTACGCTTTTATTAAAAGGCAAAAAATTCAAATTCTACGCGGAAGAAGACGCGGATCAGCTAGTTTAATATAAAAAGGTAGGTGCAACTCCTAATAGAAGTAGGAACACGCAGTTACTTGTGTGACATTCATTAAAACAGATTCACGTGTTTTCAATTCCCTTAAAACCGGTTGAAGGTTGGTCAATTCTAATCAACACACACGGAACCCTAGCAGTGGTTTTACTTTAATTATCTTTTTGATTTACGACACGTTGCAAGACAAGCTGGTCAGCTAAAAATAGAAGACTACGTACTCAGTTACGCAATACCCTTTTGCACACTATTTTTGTATCTTAAATTGATTTACTGATGTTTTATATAATTTGTTTTCTCTGCTAAATATAACTTGACTTAGGCAGATGTTAACTATTATTCTTTAACGATATCTGCTCCATTTGGTTCGATTATAATTGATTTTTGGCGATTTCAAATTACTATTGTATCTATTTATATTGCCCTATCTCCTGCGGCACCGTATGTATGAACCCTTGCGTATGCGCACTTGTCAAAGTAGCTATACGAACTGTCGTGGTGAAAATCCTTAACACATGTAAAGGCGAAATTGGGTTCACGATTGTGAATCAAGAATGGGGAATAACTAGTTCGTAGTTCCAATGAAGGCAAGTGCTAATATTTTCTACCTACCTATGCCTTTCTGAAAAGATGACAGCTTACAAATAACTGTCGAAATTGACTTAGTGTTTTTCATGTATGCCGAGTAAATTATTTTTCTTTCTTTCTTTCATGTATTTCAGTTCTATCGAGTTGCATTATTCAAAAAATCTTAAAAAATGTCTTAATTTTAGTCTATAATAATAATTATTAGGTTCTTCCTAATAGGGGGATAATTAGCATAGATGTCAATTATATTAAATTAAATACACAAAGATTTAAGGCACGGTTCCGTCCGGTCAAGTTGTCACAAGTGCGACTCTCGTGATCGGTTTACCATATGCTATGCTATAACTGTGTTTTGCCGTCTCTATAAATGTAGGAGACTAAGGCTAAGATACCTATGAATTTATAGTTGTCAACTTATTAAAAGGAAAGGTATTAACGTTGTAGTTTTCTGTTTTACAGTGACAAGCGGCCTATGAAGACACCACGTCGAGTGGCATCCTGTGGGTACCAAACCGCACTCACCGTGCTTCTGTACACCAACCCTGATGACTACTACAGCGCTACGATAGCATCACAAGGAGCCTTGGTATAATTAGATTTGTAATGATAAAAATAATCTCAAGGAAACCAAATTATTTTCCGCGAGATACTATTGCGGATTACACAACTTTTGTCAGTACGCCTACATTATTACTTTTGTCTTTGGGATGGGCCGGCAAACAAGCGAACGAATCACCTGATGGTAAGCAATCGGCTCCGCCCACAGACACCTGCAATACCAGAAAAGCTAGAAGTTCGATGAAAAACTGTTACTTTGATTAACACTGCGATTAACTTAAATATATTTTTATTAGGTTTATTGAAAACCATTGACGTATACCTAATTTTATTTATTTATTTAGGGCATTCTGTACCTTAGAGATTCAATAGAAAATAATTAGGCACTCTGTAACGCCTACCAGAAAAATCTAAGCAAATGTTAAACCTAGACCGTGCGGCATGACATTTCAATCTTTTTTTTTCTATGTATACATACATAATTATAATATATTATAAGTTAAGCAACTGTCACAAAGATATACATCACTCCTATGTCTGCCAAGAGGTAGGCAGAAGTCCTATTTATTACACTTTGTGTATTTTCATCAATTACGCTTTATGATACGACTTTGGTACGGCTGAAATTAGTAAATAATTGATCCAAAGACGTTGAAAAAAGGTGGACATTGAGAACCAAACTGTCAGTGGGTTATTTATGTGTGCGTGTGTAATGGGTTACCATGTTACCGGGCATAAGAAAATGACAGATGGCTTTTGTGTCAATGTGTATATGTTCTGCGCATGGACGTATTATTACGTCCATGGTGCCACGTTGTTTCAAGAGACTGTCTCCGCCATTTTCAACGTCCTTGAATCGATCTTAATACAAAGTCTATTTATTAATCGATCTATTTTTGCTGAACCTCTTTACAACCACTATCTAAAATCAATTTTATTTCACAGATCTTGGATCAAAAAACGGTTGTTGAAAATTCTTTTTGTATTTGTCTGTATATTTATCTCCGTTTTCTTATTTTACAATAAGTTGTCTCATGGTCATCAAGTCAGGGTTCTATGAAAATTGAGGTACAGGCCCGATAGACATACCCAACCAACACCACCACAATCCCACTTTATTTTTTAAATAGGTATTGCAACTTGCAAGAAAGCAGATCTTTATGATAGTTGTCATCTCATGGTACTTGCCTGTTACTGAAAATAAAACTTCTCAAGTTTTTAAAAGCGTTGTCCCGATTCAGTTAAGGTTCTCACTGATTAATTTCAAAATATCCAGTAGCAGCATGTCGGCTGCAGCTTCCTGTCGCTTTTCAAAAACAAATAGAAGTTTTGTCTTTTGAAAAAAGGGGGAAAATAATCCTGTCCGTTATAATCCTCCGGTTATCATGTAATAATTAGTACAACGATACGATAACATTCTTTTTGAAAATGCACTAAAACAAATTGAATAAAATCTTCAGGGCGGCATTATTCTCAATCATCTCTCAAAATACTTCTGTCGCAGTCATCACGTGTCCTTCTTCACTTGGCAAAGTCATAATCGATGGGATTAATAACTATAAAATGTACAGATAACAGACATAATTCCGTTTGATTATTGGGAAAATATTTCACATTATCTCCCTTTTATCATATACATAACTTTGAGCGTGAGATTTCAAACATATCTACCCCTCGGGTTATGCGAATCCCACGCACTTTTTACTGTTCCTAAATTCAAACAAAAAGTTTGTAACGTATGGTTTGTGGTTTGTATGTAGATGTCAAATAGAAGGTTAACAGCAAAGAGTATAATAAGTATAGGGGAAGTTAGCCGATGTTAGATATACTTATTGATGTAGTTTTTCTAAAAGTCTGGTCTAGAGTTGATAATGTTTACAATTGAAGGTTAATCACACCATTTTCTTCCACGTCCCTGGTTTTTTCTTGATTTTAAAGATGTGGGCAGAATATGGATTTTCCATACATCTAAATGGAAAGCAAGTTTTTATTGCTTAAGACAGAGCATAATTGGTGGTGCCACAATATTCAGTCTTAAGGGACTAAAGAGCTTACATTAAGGCATCGTTATCTTGTCCCTAATTTGATTATTCATGAGAATCAATTTAAACATTTTTACAAATGTTGTAAATGTTAAAATTATTAAATCACTAGCTATTGCCCGCGGCTTCCGCGTAGAATGTGAATCCTGTTTTATACCATGGAAGCATTAATCGGGATAAGAAGTAGGTATCCTTTAACCTAAGTCAGCCCATACCCTGCATATATACCAAATTTTATAAAAATCCTTTCAGTAGTTTCAGCATGATTAACGAACAAACATAACAAACTTAGAAACTTCCACATTTATGATATTAGTGTGATAATTCACAACATTACGACCGAATGTTTCTTTGTCAATGTCAGGACTACCGATTAGAAGTATATTTTCAAAATCTCACATTTCCTTTAATGTAATCAGACTATTATTAAAAATGGACGTTATCTACTGTATTAACATTATGTAGAATGAAATGAATTTGCGTAATATGAGTATTAAATATCAGGATAATGATAATTTGCGATAAATCGTTGCATATAAGCTAGTCACGTGTTACTTTTTAATTTTTATCTAAGGTCAAGATTAATTGAGGCTAAGTAAGACACCTTTCGTGCGTAGTATGTCAATTTTATCGAGATATTGATATTGATGGATACCTATTTATAATTCTTTGATCTTACTTTTCGTAATTTGGTTTAGGTGGCTGAAATGTTTTAGCCTTAGGTATTAAAAGATGTTTCAGATGATATTTAACCTTTCATGGTGAAATGATGGTGATTATGCTAATAACATGAGAGATACTCATTAAATGCGAAAGTTTTTAAGGAATTATGAAATATTTATTGCTTTGTTACTCTTTTTCAAAAAAAGCTACTGGACGGATTAGAATGGAAAGTATCTCTGTACTAAATAATAGTCTAGAGATAGATTACAGTCCGGTCGGAATAATAGATACATACATTGATTAATTCTGCTACTGGAATCTGAGCGAAGCCATTGGCAGGAGTTACATAGTCATTAACAATGCTCAAATGTTTAAAACTTTTAGCCGTCCAATTTATTTGTATTTATGACATCTTACATTTTTATAAAACAAAACATCTTTAAAAATATATGAATTTTAATGAAATACATTTTCCGAGGCCGCCGGAAAATAATGAGATTAGCAAGTCAGTGTTATTACTTATAAGGAGCAAATTCATAGATTTGATTATTGAGATTAGATATTGTAATAGGTAATTCCACTGCGGATATTTGTTTACTATTGATATTACGTGTTACCTTACACAGACGGGTTATTTGGCACCTCAAACCTACGATGAGCGCAAAGGGTCTTTCTGAACCCTTTCTATTCTATTTGTTAACCTGTATCTATTGACTATTGCTTTACTCGAACCTAATCATATATTTAGATACCGTAAAGAATAAATAATATTGTCTATTGAACGTCTGTCTTTGGATATGGAAAACTAAAATTGTATGCAAGAGGACTCACTTTTTCTTGTTTTTTTTTGAGGGGGGAAAATCATCCAATGCCTTCTTCCGCCCGCGTGAGGCGGGAGGGAGTGTTAGACTCTTACTGATTAAAAACCACCCAACCCGTCCCTACTCCTGCACTTCGAGCCGGAGTCCCGGCAACCCGTTAAGTCTTCCGCGGCTCCGTATCGGCATCAGCCCTGATAGGCCCCATCTGTGGTGGTCTGATGGCTCCTTGATACGCGCGCGCGGAACGCGACGCGCCGTACGCTCGGGCCTGGTTCTGATCGGGCGGCGAGACATCCATGCTCGCCGTCCGCAGGCCCGTGTTTACGGTGGCCGGAGATCGTCTCGCGATCCCCGACGCCCGGAGTGTCTCTCGCGATGGCCAGGTCGTGAGGAGGTTCGTTCCCTCACGCGCTCCGCCTCCTCCTTAGCTTGCATGACTGCTTCGCAGAAGGAGGAGACGGCATCCCAGTCCCCCTCGCTCCGTACCATGGTCTGAACCAGAGCCGGACGCGAGAGGTCGCCGTCGCCGATCACATTCCTGAGGACACGGCGGTGCTCAGTCCACGCAGGACACACCGCCACCGTATGCTCCACCGTGTCCTCCAGGCGATCCTCGCAGTGATGACACCCGGGCGTTTCCTCCCGCCCAATCCGAAACAGGAACCTACCGAAACTCCCCTGTCCGGTAAGCACCTGCGTCAGGCGGTAGGTGAGGACGCCGTAGCGTCTCTCAAGCCACTCCTCAAAGAGGGGACTTACCGCTGCAATGCTCATTTGATGATTTCCCCTTTTAAAAAAAAGCAGTCTTGCTTAGAAGAGTCTTCTTCAAGTTTGGGGGCATTCGAATAATAAAGCACTGTTTTCTTAAAGAATATTTTTGTGTTAAATTGATGAATTTTACTTTGGTTGATTGTTTTTATGGGCAAGATATTATATAAAAAAGATATTAATGAATTGTGTGACTGATGAATGGGAACTGCAAGTGTGTGCTGTTAATTGCTGCTACTCGGTTTGTGACCATAGTCCTTTGTAAGTAGAGGAGGGGTATTCCACTCACGTCATCTTATGGCTTAGCATTCTCGTGGCTTTTTGTGTAGAGGAGTTTTGAAAAATACCAACACATTCTAATTCCCTTTACTTGTAAATCGTCGCAATCGCAATCACGATTCCTGGATTAGGAAACTATTATTGAGTTTTTCGGTTTTCGCATTTATCCGGTAGTCAAAAATAGGGGTTCCCCGTATTTTTTTTTAATGAGCCATCAGTCCACCGCATTTGGGGCCCAATGGGCTGATGCCGATACGGAGCCGCGGAGGACTTAACAGGTTGCCGGGGCTCCGGCTCAAAGTGCAGGAGTAGGAACGGGGTGGTTTTTAGTCAGTAAGAGTCTGACATTCCCTCCAGCCTCACACGGCGGGAGAATTAAAACAAAAGGGTTTCTCTGTGGTTACATAAGGTAGTCAACTTATCTAGTGAAATGTAATCGAGTTACATTTTTTTATTGCACTATACCTCTTTATATGTAACATTTTTGATGGCACTGACGGCGTCAATTTATCGGTTGTTTTTACTGCTATTTATACTATCTGGCAATGATAAAATACTTTAGATTTTTATGAACACTTACATAAACTTCAGTCATATTGGACAGTCACTCTAGTGGAACTTTAACCGTATTTTAATGTCGTTTACCTTCTGTTGCGACTATGCTATCGATCAAAGTGTGATCTTAGGTCCGATTTTTGTTTTTTGCAAAACTTTTGAAATAGCTCGTTTACAACTCTGTAGAAAATTTTACTTGATTAGTGGTAACATTTAACGTATTGCATTTTAGTCTTGTCTGGCAGTATTCGTGAATTTAAGAAGTTGATGTGTGTGTGTTATGTTGTCTCGTTGTATTAATTTTATGAGCAGCGAGATTTGGTAACGTTTCTTAGGCTGAACAACACATGAGATATTTTCGACATATTTGTCTACCTTCATAATGTAGGTACTTGATAATGTTAATAAGACAATTTGACCGACCCAAGGTCGCCTTCTTGTAGCCCGCAATCTACCCTATCCTATGTAAACAGTGATTTCCTGAAACCATTGATGATATTAACCTTTATGAAACTTATTATTTAAACTGGCAACTTGTGATACACGCCTACAGTCTTGCCGTCTTCTAATAATGCTATTCAGTGCTTTGTCTCTATATGTTTTAAGCCGAATTCGAATTCGATTGATGAAATTATGCAATTATACTAGGTAATGTCTGCATGAGACAAAACCTTTTATATAGATTTTATAGTAATGACAGTACTCATAGTATCTCTAACTGTTTCTTTTCCTTCCGTTTAATACTTACCTACGATAACTTTAGTTGCATGGTATCACCTAAAAACACGTGAGACGAACCTCTTTCAGTGTTGGAAAAGAGATGCATGTGCCTTTTGTAAAATTTAGATTATGCTTGCAAGCATAACTGATGAATTAAGCTAAGGATACACTAAGGGATAAATGTCCTGCGACACGTGTCGCCAGCGACGTCGGTTGAAGTAGCGCGACGTTGCTGGACTTTCGTCGACATGTCCGGCAACATCAACGTCACTGTAGGCATATCTTGCGCGTTGTTACCGTATATGTTAGGCGACATCGCCCACCTTCGCTCGACATGTCGCCGATACATGGCTTGGGACATTTACCCGTTAGTGTATCTTTACCTTTAACTTTATCCTACTATTTTCGAGTAAATCCGGCTTCAGGATTACCTCGTACTTTAGTTTCGCCTCATAATCAATGAAAATTATTATTACTTAACAAATTTTGTACAGAATATGAAAAGATAAGAAAATGCATGTTGTTTTCGTGTCGTGTAAAGTTACTCAATTTTTAAGTGATTAATAAAACGAGCCATGTGCTCGAACTTAGAAAAATGTGAATTCAGTAGGATTTCATATGACGTGTCATTGTTTTACGGCTAGTTTCATACAGTTTATGTGACTAGCCTACATCTTGAGGTTTCACACATGATAACAAACAAAAGTAAAACTTGGTAAAGGGACTTTAACATCGATTAGGAACTTAAGCATATCTGTGTGTTGTCCCAAACAGGTGATAATAGACAATGCCTACAACATTCCTGACCTGGACTCTCCAGTTCGCATGGTGAACCCTTCCACTGAGCTGCTGATAGCATTGTCACCTGAGAGGACGTACACCACATCAGGGATCAGGACATTTAAACCTGACCAAAGACAGTGCTACTACAGTGATGAGGTGAGTGACCCATGCAAAATACTTAAGACATGAACAAGTTATAATTAAGATGGCTGCCGTGTCGAGGTAAGTGTTACTGCTGAGCTGACTAATTTAACATTTGATCCTGTTGGAGCAGTGAAACAAGTGAATTTATTTCTGCAAATAAGCTACAAGGCAACACTTTTACACGTCAAGTTTATCAAGCGAACGATGAGGTCGACATTTCCTAACTGACTACTCTGAGAAGAAATGCCGAAACAAACTCAGAGGTCCGTCTCTTTTAAAGTCCAGACAAATATGTATATAGTATATCCCACCAAAAACATTCTGCATATAACTAGCCAAGTCTCGATGGAGCTGCTAGTTTATCTCTTTATTTATTTATTTATTTATTTATTAAAGGCACATCAACAGTATACATATTATACACTAGCCATAATACAGTTGAATACAAAATTAAAAAATTCTGATATGCATACCAGTGACAGATGTACACAACACTCACGGGATCATAAATTCCATGTACAATTATATTAGTAAAGACAAGAAAAAAAAAAATCAAAGCAAACAAAAATAAAATAACAATAATAATTAAAAGCAATCTAATAATACTACTTAAATGTTTTAACTACTTTATTCCTAAACACGTGAAGCGAATCGTGAAAGATGTCCAAGTCATCCGAGTCCCCGCAACAGTCGTTATATTCTGAGCATATTCGTCGTAGTGGTGAGTTTTGTGCTACATTAGTGCGACAAAGAGGAACACGAAACGTTCGAGTCACAGGATGTCTCGGGACTCTTCGTGGTACCGAGAGGGTGATGCAATTAACAAGTTCATTGCAATCTATATTACCATTGATGATCTCTTAAAAGTAATGAGATATAACAAAGTCGTGCCAAGTCTAAGGTTCCTTATTGCGATTTCGTTATTATTATAGTTAATGTTGTGTGACTTTGCCGTTGAAGGGTACACAAGGGTACAAAACCAGTTGCTCCATGACACCATTGCACCAATCTGTCGCCAGAACCGCTACCCATTGACGATGGAAAATTGCCACTTGGAAAACGGGGTGTTACCCTTCAACGGCCAAGTCACACAACATTAACTGCCATGACCCCAGGTAGCAGCTACAGCTGTGCTCAGCTCATCTACACTACCAGTAGTATCGCTGCAACCGTCCCAATTATAATTCAGAACTTTTTAAAATGCAGGCAATTGCTCTACGCACAGCAATTGGAATGGGATGCGGGTGGCACTGAGCTTAGAAATGTGCTTGGTGTATGGTATTAGGCACATCGCTTTCTTTGAATTACGTGGGACTTGTAACCCAATTGACGAAAAGTGAGTGTTATATATTTTGTGCGTGTCTACGACACAGATGTCTATTGTATTGGATTTTATGTTTTGTTGATTTTGAACCAAAACAAAGTTCGTAGCGACTGCTTGTATCTACTTAATGTAAAGATTCTTTTAATTATAATTATCCTTGTTGTCCACATTTTTACGCTTCATATCAATGGAATCGTTCTAAATCCCTGCGATAAAAGTTAATATCGTAATAAAATTTTATAATAAGGAAATGTTATGAATTATTTTTAGTTCTTTATTTCAGTAACGAATTTTATCATGACTACGAAGTCTTTTTCTCTTTTCGGTTTTTTTACTTTTTTACATCAAATTTTAAATTGTTTACACAGCACGCTGAGAAAATATCTTTGCGAAAAACGTTTGATCGACCAATTGTTTAGCAATAGGTAGCTAAAAATAATCCGATGAAAAATTTGTAAGACCATAAAAATCAGGTGTCCCACTTATCAAATACATCGGGGCTATGTGTTCTTAATCTGGTTTGTCATTCGATTGATCTATTAAAACAATAAGATTATTGCGATTAATTTATCTGTAAGTAACGCACTTCGTTACTGTTGACGCAAATAGGACAGATACGGAGCCTTGCCGATTTACCTATCGAATATATAATCATTAAATTATATAAACAGCGATGTACGCTAAATGTAATTAATTATTGACGCATTATATGAGGCGTTTCGTATCATATGATCGGTATGTTATGACATTAGTCAGCTAGTATTTTTGATTCGTTATGGGTTTAGCGACCGGTCGAAGACTACAATCTTGGTGTTGATATGCGCGTCCGGTTTTTGATCTGTCTAAATATTAGTCATGGCTTCTTGGTAAAACAACAACATAACCTATGTCTTAAAGGTTTAGATAGAAGGCTAATTATGTTTTTTTTATGAGATAAGTCGGTAAACGAGATTGGGGAGATAGGGGAAGGGGGATAATTGGGACTCCGGTCCTCTCAACGAAACACAACGCAAGCGTTGTTTCACGTCAGTTTTCTGTGAGGCCGTGGTATCACTCCGGACAAGCCGGCCCATTCGTGACAAAGCATAGCTCTCTTACAATTTGAATATTTTTCGCTAATCACTTTTTTGGAACCAGTAAACAAACCGTCAATCGATGTCCTGGCTTACTTGCAAGAATGTGACGGAAGTTACAGAAACGTACCTATAAGGATTGTAAAAAACCTCCATGATTATTGTCACACGTAAAAAATAAAAAAATGTTAAAGATTCTTTGCACAACCTAAGGATACATTCAAGTCCAAGGAGATACTGATATATTTTACACATAAGTATTCGACACATTTGCTTTTATATAACTCGTCTAACCAGACAGTCAATCAAATATCTAGGTATCTACTTATTTTTATTTGGGTTAAAAATAAACAGCAGTAAACATGTCTAGCCAGAGAATAGAAAAACCTACTCCGATCTGTCTATAACTACTTTTAGCCATAATAATTCAGCGGTTTTCGAATCTATATTATAAAAAGGTAGTCTGGTTGCGACCAAAATATTATGATTACATAGAGATACTTAGAAGCTTATTCCTATTAAAGGTAATTTCGAAACATACCTATATATGGTTTCTTTTGGTAATTAATTTACTCATTTCAATGGATATAATTTGATATTTTTAATTTCCAACTTAGATATTTTTGTATAAGGTAATTAATTACTGTATTCTTTTCATTTTTTATGTGAATCGCAGCGAAGCTCTAGGAAAGTATTTTAAGAGACAGGGAAATAAATTAAGTAGTACTTTTCCGTTAGATATTTCAGTGAAAACAGAGTATAGTAAGATTTTATTTCAGTTTATTAAGATAAGAGAGTGGATACAAGGGTCGTTGCACTAGACGTCGAGAAAAATAAATTGATTCTCTCTACGACTCAGATATGACACTACATAAGACGTAACATGCATAACATGCAGGGCACTGGACAACTGAAACTCTGAAGTTATTATTATTAGGTGTACAATGATCTATATTTACCTATTACAAAAACATAATGTTACTTACTTTTTATTGTATATGTGGCCCTGGAACGTGTATTTTAACGAAATTGTTAGGTAATTTTCATTTTTCTTCGGTCTTCTTTTGGGTTCAATGTAATAAGGGGCTCACCCCTTATTACAATGAACTAACTTTACTACTTTAATTCAAATAACGTATGACAAAGACTCATGTTTGTCATACGTTATTTTCAAATTTCGTGTTATACCACTAAGAATTTTCGAAAAACCGAAATAGGTCACTAGTTCTTTTCTCGATCTCAGGATTGAACCTGACATCGAATCAACCAGTCTCGCGTTATGCCTGTGCGTCTAGCAACCACGCTATCAACGAGTTTTCCAAACGTACTTCTTGAAATGACACAATCTGACTTGAGAGAAGCAATATGATTTCATGTATACGAATGGTCCACAGTGGTCTTATAAAACCTGTAAATATATACCGTTAACCAAGAAATCTTTCGCTGACCATTTTGGCCTGGTCATATGGGGTCCAAGAAATCGGTTCCAGTGTCCGGAGGAACATGAGAATATCATGAAATTAGTGTTATACATGCTCTAAATAGCTGATAAAAGGCGTCCTATTGAGCATGCTCAAAAATATTTCAAAATAGAACGCTTGTCGATTAGCAAGCATGCTCGAAATGAGCATTGAGCATGCTAATTTTCAGCAACATTCCATTCCTTTCCATTTAAGTGTGGGAGAGCCATGCTTCGGCACGAATGGGCCGGCTCGACCGGAGTGATACCACGGCCTCACAGAAAACCGACGTGAAGCAACGCTTGCGTTGTGTTTCGTCGTGTGAGTGAGGTTACCGGAGGCCCAATTACCTTCCCCTTCCCCAATCTCCCCAATCTCCCCAATCCCTGAATCCCCAACGATCCTCAAACTCCTAATCCCCAAAAAGCCGGTGACGCACTTGTAACGCCTCTGGTGTTCCAGGTGTCCATGGGCGACGCCGATTGCTTACCATCAGGTGATCCGTCTGCTCGTTTACCGGCTTATGCCATAAAAAAAAAAAAAAATTCCTAAGCTACTAAGTGACAAGTGTAAAGTTGAAACAAGCTTTCGTGTGCGTGTTCAAGCCAAATTATGTGTAATAGTACCTTTACACTATTTTTGTGTATTTTCTAGTATGCTGTCTAAAGGAATTGTAATGGAAGTAGCGTGAAGGTTGCTCCCAAAAGTATGAATTCGAAGTTAATTTTCACACCTTTTTCGCATTATATGTATAAAATACTAATATAGATATGTTTTTTGTCAGATAAAAATTGGAAACTTCCGTCAGTACTCGTTCCATAACTGCATGGCGTACAAGAAGGTGTCTATGTTGAAGAAACATTGCAACTGTATACCGCTATCATTTCCCAAAGAAGGTAATGCAGCTTACATTTATTATTATATCATCAAAATAATATTATAATTATATAAAATATTAGTTACTTCGCAGTGCTCACGTATCTTGTTATGTCTTCTGAATTCGGAAATTGTAAGACAAATGGTAACATAGGTACTAAAATATCACCTAAATAGGTAAATCTTTAAGTGTGGGAGAGCCATGCTTCGGCACGAATGGGCCGGCTCGACCGGAGTGATACCACGGCCTCACAGAAAACCGACGTGAAGCAACGCTTGCGTTGTGTTTCGTCGTGTGAGTGAGGTTACCGGAGGCCCAATTACCTTCCCCTTCCCCAATCTCCCCAATCCCTGAATCCCCAACGATCCACAAACTCCTAATCCCCAAAAAGCCGGTGACGCACTTGTAACGCCTCTGGTGTTCCAGGTGTCTATGGGCGACGCCGATTGCTTACCATCAGGTGATCCGTCTGCTCGATTACGGGCTTATGCCATAAAAAAATCTTTATTAATAAATAATAGATTGTATATTTTAAATGTTCTAAAGCTAGTCATAATTTATTCTTAACAGTACTTACTTGAACTGTTAGTACGTGAGAACATTTACTTCTTCAGGGACGAACTACACGAATTCTCAATTATATTGTTGTCAACAATGTGCATTAAGAGGAGACCATAAGGGGCGCATAATAGTGTGTGTGTGGGCATGTAATTACCTAAATAGCACACATATTATAACACATAGTACTAGTGAACACTTTTAAAACTATATTTTATAAGTTGCTGTAGTTACCTCGGTATTTTCTTTCAGAAGCATACCGTTTCTGCAATTTCAGTGACATGGATTGTTTAGACGAAGTTTTGAGTAAGTAGTATTTTATATTGAGTAGTAATAAAAGCTTCGACAAAAAGAGAAGAATGGCCCTTACTGAAACTATTAAATCTACTGCCTAAAATACTAACTTTCCGACTACTTTAGTCCGAATAAACATGACGAAACGATCGTATGAGATACTGAAATCTTCGGAAAATAAACATGACTGTTTATTGCTATAATACTAACCTAACCTAAAACGTCTGTTGTCAGTAACTTATTAATTTTGAAGGATTTTTATAGTCGGCCACAGATCGCTGGAGATCAATTTGTTTTTCGGAACCATTATTATTTTCTGTTTATATTTAGTACCTATTCGTAATGCAATCAGTTACTGACGCAATAGCTTTTGATAATTCAAATCCATTGTGTAATACAACAGGACAGCTCCGTCTGATGTCTTAGGTGTAATCTCTATCTTTTTTATGTGGGACCTAGAAAACCAAATTATACAGCATGATTACGTATATGAATTTTTATACTGATACAGAATATATTACACTTACAGATGAAGCAGAAGACAGCAACGTAACAAGAGAATTAGAGAGTAAAATCACATGCTACCCGGAGTGTGAACACTATGATTATCCGTTAGAGGTCGCTTTGGGTAACTTAGCGGACAGTGCGTACGTGAATGGACTCCTATTCTTGTGAGTTAATGGTATTAATGTATTGTCCAGGCGACATTTTATCGGAAAAAGGTCTCAGACACTCGATTTGTGCGTTTTAACTTACTAGTAGAATACGGTATTTCACTTTTTGCGAAGACACGAAACTATGTCGAGGACTGTTCTTCGACTTAATTTCCTGTTACCTTATTATCAAAGATAATAATTGACGGACTATAATTATAAAAGTATAAAGTTCTGAACGGATTTTCCTTTCATTTCACCCACGCAAATCGCTAGAAATACTTCAGTACTCATCAATTGCATATTATTATTATACCATTTCTAAAGTAGCAATCTATTAACCACTCTAGCGCACTCTGGAAATACCTATTCTTTTAAAATAGAACCCACTATAGGTTTGCGTGTTGGTCATACTATACTATGTCTAAAGCTACGTATAATGTATTGCAAGTTGTATGAAGTTATAGAAAACCGCTTCGACTTTTTTCTTTTCATCTTTGGTTTAGTTCTGGAGTGTAGTAGGTACAGATTCTCACGAATAGTCTTTGTAAATGAGTAAACAACAAGAATGTTGTCAAATTGTATATATAAAACTAGACAGTAAACAACTTATTGTTGTTAAAAAATTTAATTAAATAAAATACTGTTTTTAACCGACTTCCTGTACAATTGTACATTGTATGTTAGCTGGTAACATTGTCCTTAATTTTTGCCCAAAACAATGATCACATTAAGGTCATCATAAGTTGTAATCAGCTCTGAAAGCATAATAATCATCAAGGCTACGTGTATTTCCAATCTTTTCTACAACAGTAATGATATCTATTAATTGCTTATTCCAGCAAACTTACAAATTCTTTCGTTTACTTTGTTGCGTGGATACTACATACTTAACAAGATTATTTTAAGACTGATAGATATTGCACCAACGATACTGCGATTGTGGGACTTACGTCAGCATAATAATTTATGTAGTAATAAAAGACAAACTTCTTCAAAATTGAAAATGATTGCCATCTCGTCGTCTATTTTTTCAAGAATCTCGTCTAGACTTTTATAAGGCAATGCAATTTTCACTGTGTCTTTTATATTGTGCGGTCGTAATACAAGATCTTGTTGTTTCATTACAGCGATGACGTTCAACTGAAGAACCGATCACTATTGAATGTTTTCTTCAACGACTTGGTATCTACCAGATACCGACGCGATGTTTATTTGAATTGGCAAAATATTTTAGGTGAGTATTCAAAGAGATGACGGATTTATCTTGCTACTTACATCATTCTTCGGTCATTTCAGTCCTATATTATGTACTTTAAACGAATCTCATTACAAAACTGAGGAAATTTTTTTTTTTAGACGATGGTAAAAGGTTTTTAGTTACTGTTATTTTTGTTCATCGTTAGTACGTACCATTTTGTTTAATAATGCTTCGCATAAGGTTTATGTATGTATAGATTAATGATGTAACCATACTTACTTTCCCAATTCTTTGAATAATAAAGGATTGAAGCCAGATCTATGGCTTACTCGCATCGTGCTTGCAACTTTTAAACCAATGTCAATGCGTCAATTCAGGTACCTACCTACCGTAACTTGCTGCGACTACATTGGCGATAGATTACATTAATAACATTGACTAATACCACCTAATACCTATTTCCTGAACGCCCACTGAGTGGAATCTTTTAAAAAATCTAATAATCGTCGATTAATTTGCGTGATAATTTTGTGTACGTCTAAAGCTTAGTACTTACTTATTGATCGTTCAATCATTCATCACAAAAACTATATACATAATAGATTAGGTCGGCGGAAACCATAAACTAAATTCTTACCTTGCTCATTTAGCTTCCGTCACATTCAATCATCTGGTCGCTGGTCTGGCGGTTAATTGGAAACTTTAGATGTTAGTAATATTCTACTCTTGAACTAGATCTAGAATTCGAGTTGAGTTGGAAAATGCTACATTTTCCCTGATTTTAATTTAAGGCTGTTTTGTGTAGGTACTGTACTTATGTGAAGCTTATACACATCCTAAATTAAACAGCCTGTTCTCGTCCAATCCTAAACATAGGCCTCTACACGCATGCCACTGAGCTCGAGCTTCAGCTCTACGCATCCAACCATTACCAGCTACCTTGCGTTAAATACGTTTAATAAAGGTTTTCAATTAACGTCAAACTTAACAGCTGACCTAATTATCTTGACGTTGAAATAGATTAAATATCTACTACAAAGAAACTGTTACAGTATAATTTATCTTACCATTAATGTCTTTTTGCAGCTGCGTTTGGCGGTCTCCTGAGTCTTATGCTCGGATTCACTTTAATATCCGGCTTCGATCTTATACTATTCTTCACTGTTCGAGTTGCTTATGAACGTTGTACGACCATGACCCGCAAGCCACAGAACAACAAAATATACGTAAACGACTTTAACAGCAGAAAGAATTGGATGGACAATACGATTCCCAACCTGGTCAACCCGAAACCTGTGCAAAATATAAACAATACAACCAAATATAACCTAAATGATTTCTTAGATCGACGATATTAAAGGCTTATCCACCCTTTTCATATTGTTTGCTTACTTGCTGCCAGTTTATTGTAAATGCTATTGTTATGTAAACTTTAGATCGAGTTTTGTATGACTCATAATTAAGAATGCGGGACTTGATTATGAACTTTAGATTACACGTTTGTATTTTCATTCTGTCTGTATCCTTTATACGAGTTGTGACACAACGATGCTCTATTATTTTATGTAATAGTCTGTTAAGTAGTTTTGACTTTATGGTCTAAAGTTTAGACAGTAGTATTAAATAAGTTCTTATGAGTCTGTACTTGCTGTAGATGCACACTTTTAATGGGTCCATCAAAGAAATCTATCCATTATGAATTAAAGTACCTAATCAAAAAGTTTACCACTTCTTAAACATAATGGTGAATGTGTAAAGAAGATAGTGGTGGTAATGGCATTACCTCCAATTAGGTCGTTAGACCTAACAAAAATTTGGTCCTAATTTGGTCTCCAAATATTATCTTTCAAACTTTTATAAATGAAATAGTGATGTTATCGTGTTCGTACACAAACATCAAAATACCTGTTTGACGAAGAAATGTTCTAGCCTCGATGTCAATGAGATTGGTTCAATGAAATTAGCGTTCTCTTGATATAAGTAAATTAAGTAATAAAATTTCTTTTGATGTTTTGTTTAATTATTTGGTATTTTACACACTTTAATAGATGATAAGTTTGTAACAAATGCACTAAGGCTTGTTTCACATTTCACAGTGTCTAAAACACGTCTCTAGTTTTAGTCCCAACCAAAATTATCAGGGGCCTGAAAATATGGTTCTTTAACGTAACGTCTGATATTAACTCATCAATTTTCCTCACCAGTGTAAATGTATGTGTGACATAATGTACCTTTATCTCAGTATTACATAAACGCTTCAATAAAGTGACTAATGAAAGTGTCATTTTGTTTCAATTACAAGTAGCTTAATACTCCCGTTTTCAAAAACGACCTTATTATCAAAGCCCTTAATACGAATATCAGTATCAGTGCGGTAATGAGGGGGCAAACAGGTATATTATCAATAACGTTATCACTCAGCCTTGGGACAAAACATAAGGAAAAAGCTTATTTCCCCACCAAGAAAAAATGCTTATTTAAATAACTAGCTGTGCTCGCGACTTCGTTCGCGTGGAATAGTGATTTACTGCGCTTACCCCGTAGTTGATAGCGTGATAACATGTAGCCTATTTTGACCCGACCTGTCAGTAATAATCGTACAAAATTTGAAGTAAATCCATGCAGTACTTTTTGAGATCATCCCGGACATACGTACGGATAAAAATTTGATAGAATAATAATAAAAATTAAAACCATATTTTTTGCTTCAGTATCGGTTATAGATCACGCCCTGAGTATTCTTTTAGAAAAATATTTAATGTACAGTTTTGACTTTTCTACACTGTTTAAAAGATCACCATATCGTAAAAGATCTTTTCTGCCAATGTCAGATATGATCCTTGTTTTATTGAAACGTCTTATAGTGATCTGTAATAGATGACTTTCGGGATGCGTGGTTACACACAAGCTCGACTATGTGTAGGAATATTGTGTCCTGGAACCATACCATAAGGTATAAGACAAATTTGTTAACGATTTGCCAGCTTAACTAAACCTAAACTCGATTGACTGTCGCAAGTCGATGGCAGATATGTTACATCACAGTTACATTTCATAGATAAATGCAAAGGAATTAAATCAGTTGCATTTCAGCACCGTCATGTACGGGGATCAACGTGTTCCCTCCATATCTTTATATTCCACTTGACACGTTTACCAGGTTGCACTGACTGATTGCAACAAGCAATCATATGGTCTGCTTTACTGTGAAGATATAGATATAAATAAGTATTTCATAAATAACGATAAATAATATAAGGCATGATTAATATCACGCCTTTTACCCCCGAAGGGGTGAGTAGAGGTGCTCATTACGACACTTAGTACTTACAATTTTTTTTTCACTATTTATGTTATGAGTCCCATGTAATATTCTTGTTGCCATATACAAAGCATAATTGCAGACTTCGCGCTACTACTGAGAATTATTAAAAATAACCCAGCAATACTTTGCCCGTCCCGGGAATTAAATCCGAGACGCCTCGCCAATGAGACAGTTACATATAAATATTTTCTACAAATTAAAACCTATTATAAAACGATCTACCAAAATCCTGTATTTGACGCTGTTGTAGTAATTTTTTTTACAATAGAATAGCATAAAGCATTAGCAAAGTAATAATAATCATCAATGTTACACCAATATGTCTACAACGTTATTATTACTCTCAAAAATTCATAATCAGCCCAAATAATCCTAAGATTAGAAATAATTTGCAATTATTCCTAATGTTTCCTTATTTAGATTGAATGAAAGGAGTTATATATTGAGGAGAAATCCACAGCTTAATACAATACGTTATCTAATCAAAACGATTTAATAAATTTTAGAGTTAATTCGATTACATACTTCTTAGAAAAACTTAATAAACTGCCTTCCTTTACACTACAAAGGTATACATATCTTTTGAGATTTTGAGTACGTACGTAAGCAAGATAAACTTAAGACGAGTGTTGAGTTTTCCTTGTAGATTGTACTGTTTCCCCCTATTGTTTTAAATAGTCTATTAATGAAAATGAAAGTGATATCATAAATGAAGATTAATGGAATTATTTCTACGCTAGTTTCCTCAAGTCACGCGCCAGCTTTTAGTTTTACATTCATTCAATTTGTTCATTGTTTTCCTTAGTTGCCTTTATTGACTTTTCATCGATTATGTAATTTGTTAGTTAATAGTATGGACATAGAAGGAAAAAATAATAACTAAATAATTTGATTCCAAACAAATTGAAAATCGGAAAAATTTAACCTTTGACAAATGAGGTTCCCAAATTTAGATAAAAATTACATAGAAGGACCAAGTTATGCAGTAAAAAAAATCGAATAAAATAGTCCCTAATTCATTACGCAACAATTTTCAATTAATTTAGCATTAAAAGTTAATTTCACTATAGACACTTAGTAATAAATATCAAAAGAAGTCAAGATGTTTGAGTATTTGGTTATTTAAATTATTATGTGGAGTACCTGAAAACCTGGAAAAGCATGGAAAATTAATGTTTTAGTGGGTATATTTCGGAAAAAGTTTGCAGATTTCAAAGGTATTGAGCGAATTTATCAGTGGGAGTAGTTTGCTTTAGCCCTTAGACTTTGTATTAATTATCGTCCCTAACCATCAATCAGACGATTCGGGACAAATATTTTTAAATGTTAACTTCAGTGTGAGGATGTACAGAGGTTTCGGTAATTAGTTCCTTTTTCCCTTTTCAAATGAGATATCCGAGACAAAATTCCAATAAATTTTATTACTTTAGACAAACCATGAACTCCTGGCAATATAGACCAGTTTAATACACCAGCTCCCAAAATACTGATCCCGAAATATTAGAGCAAAAGTTTTCAAATAAAATATTCATTCGTTCTTTAATATCGTTCATTCTTTTAGAATTGTTTAGCAGTAAGTTGTGACGAGATGATAACGAACGAGTTAAAGTTGATTAACGTTTGCAGAACAAATGTACCGTGTGTACTAACTATAAGTAATGTGATGAAGTAGTTAGTGAAACTAATGAGCGTAAACCGTAACCTTTTATCCTACAAATATTGCAAATTCCTGTATTACGTAACGTAAATGAATAGTAATGTCCCCGGCTTGCATTACAGCTACATTACATTACTTACTTACTTGTTACCTGACTCCCATTAATATATTACAGTAGCCATATACATATACAAACTACACACAAACAAACACTCTTTACATAAGCATTTTACTTATGAAAATAAATTGCTCGAGAAATGTTTTAAAATCGAGGAAGTGGAACCTTTATTCCTCTTGAAGGGTTTATAGCCCAATGTTTATTTTGTATGTAGTTTTCTCAGAACGTTCTAAAATGTTTAGTGTTGTTAATGACCACTGAGCTATATCTGGCGCCGTGCAGTAACCACCCGTACGAAATATGGCGGTTACATAATTATTCAGTAGTCTTAAATTCTATTGTGACTAGATTTCTGTCACAAATTTATTAATTTCCTGGTGTAAATATTAATTAAATTAACCGGAAAGAATTGAATAAGTTGCAATAGACACACACGTTAATGGATGTGTTAGTAATGCATGTTATCAACCTTGTTTGCTTATGCGTTTGAAGTAATCAGAAGTGTAGTCTGCAAGAGCTCACTCCAGCATCCGTGTGAGCGCTCTCGAGCCGTGCGGTGTGAACGATCAGATGGTACGCTCGCTACAGCTACACCCCGCGACTTCACGCGACTGCTTAAGGAAAACATGAGAGAGGTAACGAAGAGATTGATTTCTTGTACACATACAAATGTGTGTCTCATTGACGTGTAATATTATTAAATAAATTCTACTAATCGCCACAAAGGAGTCTCTTATCAAATTAGATTATCTACTTAAAAACCTCTGGCATTGATATCTTTCTTTCAGTGTCGTGAGATCCTTGGTAATTGCGGAGTGCCAGCTATCGGTCTAATAACGTATTTAATTAACAATAATGTTTTATTGACATTGGTACCTGTTTGCCGCTGCCTTCTTGTTTTAGAGTTTCGATCTGAAGTGAGTACACACTTGTAAAGTATTTTGTGTTGGTTTATTTTATCACTGTATTAACAAATCATTGTGTAGCAATTTCTCTATTAGCACCTTGGATAAACATTAAGCAATATATAGGCTATCAACTAGTGTTCAGCAGTTTATATAAAATGATTGTGTTATTATCGTGGACCTTTTGTAGTGGCTATCTATAAGTTTTAACCGAAGTACTGTACAAAGTTATTATTTCCAATTTGAAGTACCTAACTGTTATCTCAAAATGATTACATTTTCACTCGAATTAATATTACTATTAATTCACTATTTGGGTTATAATATACACATAGTAAATACGGTAAAATTGTTGTAGATAAATAAGTATGTATTCTTGTGAGTCCACAGCCCATCAGTGATATATTAAAACTAATGATTTAAAATAAACGTACATATTTGAATTAAATTTTGCAGATTTACGTAGTCTTCGTGTATAGACCTAAATAATTGACGTACACATGCTATAATTATGCGAAATAATGTAACATCTATATAACGCTGAAGCGTTTAAGTAAGAGCGTCAATTGAAAAGCAATTTCTTTTGACAATTTGTATCGGCAGCCCGTCACGGTCGCTGGTCGTAAGGAAATAATTACGTTACGTTTCTTATCTTAATTGATATGATCAATCAATTTCGATACGAATCTATTAGAAGTACATCTTTGAACACTAATTATAGTTCGATTCCCTCCTTTTTAAAACTTTCCCAATATGTGTTTAACTTATTTTTGTGTGACCCACTATGTAGGGTTTTATCTATTAAACAAAATATGTACGAAGTTCTAAGCAAGTGTAGAAGCCGTGTTATATTAAGTGAGGTGTTTCTTTCAGTTCCATTAGTTTGGAACGGTCGCACAGATAAGGGACATCATGACACGCGTCAACTTTTATATCGTCCTCCTGACGGTATTCCTGGCTACCTGCAGCTCCGTGGTCGCCGAAATTGAGAGTAAGTTTCATATATTCATGATACCTTAATTTACTTACGATTCATTTATAAATTTAGGATTAGACCAATTAAGTATGAAAGAAACTAAGTGCGTAATAATAGCGATAGCCTTAGCTACTTGTTGAATTCTCAAGATCGTGCTTAAATAAATTAGTATATTGCTTGTGACTAAACTGTCGCCATTGTTTCATTTTCTAGTTTAACTACTCAAAGAGAGACGTTTCAGATTATATTTCAAACGGCATGTTGCACGCTAATCTGGTTATATAGTTTTGTGTTTCTTTTATTATTCCTAAATACTTTCATGTTCGCTAAGTTCGTGAATTATGTTGTTCATCGCGGCATATCATGGCGGGGCTTATGTGCCCGATCACCACATCGATTGCCCCATTATTATCATTATCAAAAATATCTGAGTTAACTTTCGATATAATCGATTTCTCGCAGGATACTAAGTAATCGCAATTCATATGTTATTACCGACCCACGTCTGTAACAACCGAATAACTGATTACGTTTTTTTGTATTTATAGATGAAACGGAACTTAATACACTACATCCAATTAGCCGGAATGGCAAAATAGTATTAATGAGTGAGGAGTTGATGAAGAAGTTAGAGAATGAGCACTCCACTTGGCACTGGACTCCATGGCTGAGGACTCGAGTGGAAATCAACGAAGATGGTGTAGCGCAGCAGACGTGCTCCTCTGGAGACTCCATTGAAAGTTTCCCTGACTCGCTGTTTACTGGTATGTAATAGTCCTTTATCCTTCGTTCTATAAAAACCCTTTTCACTTATTTACTTTTTAATACGTTTTTTTGGCAAATCACGAAACCCTTTTCAGGTTTGGGTACTCAATTTCCATTCCTCGTAAATGTTAAGATATAGGCGGTTTTGTTTTCGTAAGAGTAAACACGAAACATTAATCTGTATTGCAATTTTCAGATGAACAGCTGAGGCAGGGTGCTTTCTTGCTATATGTACTGTTCGGTATCTACTCATTTACACTTTTGGCAATCGTGTGTAATGATTACTTCATTCCTTGTGTGGAACTGATTTGTGAAGACTTAAAGATTCCTCAGGTATTTAAAAACCATTTTACTAATGGTAGTTTTTTTTTGGTATACACAAATATTCTTGATATAAGATTGAGTATTGAAATAAGTATTGTTAAAACTGATACTTTCCTTACAGAATGTAGCAGCTGCTACTTTTATGGCTGTCGCCACGTCTTGTCCCGAGTTCTTCGTTAATGTGATTTCAACGTTTTTAACTGAGTCTAGTATGGGTATCGGTACCATTGTCGGTTCCGCTATTTTCAACGCACTCGGAGTGGCTGCTGTGGGAGGTCTCGCTACCATCATAGTGAGTAATAGATAAATATTTTTGCTTCAGGTTTTACTAATGTATAATGCACATTTACACAGTTAATCCAATGACTCTTGTAAGCAAATTGTGGAGTTTATTGTACCCATACAAAGAAGTTGTACTTAAACTATTGTTTTAATTCATTAATGTTTTTGTTTGTTCCAGCCAATCAAAATAGAGCGTCGTCCTGTGACTAGGGATGTAATTATCTATATGTTTAACGTGAGTGTCCTGGTAGCTTTCGTGTGGGATGGACAGATTGACTGGTACGAGGCTGTGGTACTTGGAGTCCTGTACGTCCTCTACTTCGTCGTCATGTTCAACAGTGTCAGGATGTTCGCTATTTACGACAGATTAGTCGCTAAGTGGTGCAACAAGAGCAACTCTTTGGACGGTAAGTAATTTTAATTTATTCATGCAAGTTTGATTTGTCGCGATCATTAGTTTAGGCAAATACATTGATTGGGTTTTTAAGACATTAACTGTTAATTGAAATCATTATTTTCGCTTCTAAATAGTTTTTTTTACAAAATAACATTAAAAAGGTATTAGAAATTATACAAACCTAAAATTTAGATTTTGGTTAATTCTTTATAATATTTCAGTTATGGAAATGCCCCGCACAGAAAACGAAAAGTCTATTGAAGAAGGCGTGGATAACAAAGGATTCAGCGATACAACTCCTGGTAATCCTGAGAAAGTGTCCGTCGTTGATAACGGTAAGGAGTTGCGTCCACTGGATAAATATACAACTTGTTCGATAGATATTGAATTCCAACTTGTTTATTGTTACAGTTGAAACTGAGGTCGTCAAACCTAAGAAGAGTGTGTTCAGATGGCCTAAGGAAAACTCAAACTTGTACAAGTTTTGGTGGCTTTACACTTGGCCCTTGAAACTTGTGCTGGGACTGACCATCCCGTCACCTATCACTTGTAGAAGATGGTACCCATTTGCTTTCTTCATGTGCATCGTGTGGATTGGTGCCAACTCATACTGTGTGTCTTGGAGTATGACCGTGATTGGTAAGTAGTCTACGACTTAATTTCAAACAGTGTAAGGTCTTAAATCGGTCAATTTGTCTGATTGGCTAAATCAGGAATTGTCCTGATTTAGCCAATTTCTTCTTACATTGGTAAGAAGAAATATTAGGTAAATTTTTATTTTTGCTTTCTGATATGAACTATGTAACATAAATATTAATATCAGTTAGTACAAAACAACTAAAATACAAACATTGCTTTTTCTATTACTCTTTTCAAACTAATAAGAACGTAAAATTTTTTTTAAATATCTAAACCGTGTATCTATACTCGGGTTCCATTGAAATAAATCACTGGCATTTCGAAGACGATACATAATAAATGGCCGCAATGTACTATTACAGACCATATCCCTTTCCTCACTCTTTCGGTTAGGGAATACCCTAATTCTATATACGACGAGACTTTTCCAAGCTGTGGAATTTCTTTCCCAAGAAAGTCGGTATCTAGCATAATATATTGTGTAAAGGTTGTCCTTGTTCGTATAAATTCGGTCTTGACGGGATTTAATGTGGCCGGAGTGAAATACACCCGGTTTTTATTAGACGCTGGACTTATATTTAGTTCGTAAGGAGGCTGAAAATTACCTAATACGCCGCTAATATTATCTACAAATTATTTTTCATTTTGTTAAATATGGTAATAACGTGGGTTTCTTATTAGAAATAAGTACGGGATCTTGTCATTTACAAAGAAAACTTTAGTTGTGAAACGAATTAATAAGATCATCATTATTAAGTGGTTCCTGGCATCAGGGGTTTTTGGTTGGAGCTAATAAACAAAATGGGTAAAAAATAGACGCATCACGCATTTACATGCGTAATGCTCGTTTGATACGTTTCCTTATAAAATATACCTAAATCCTTTAGTTTTTAGGATTAAATCTCGCTAGCAAATAAATGATTGTTCGTGTTGATGAACAGATTACAAGGTCACGATTATCTCTCAGGAATTGTCATACAAAGGCAAAATAAATTAAATCAGGAAAATTTGCAATTGAATTACAAATTATTGATTGAAGACGATAAATTATAACAGTAACGGTGTAATTATGATAATTGTAATTAACATTACCTTGCTTCTACGAATTACTGTTTACAAGTTGTTCATTATTTAAGTATTTTTCCTTGAAACTCCCGACACATATTTTTGAGCAGAAAGTTTATTTTTGGTTAACGACTATCTACTTATAATTTGTTTTCAGTATCTTTCAGCCTTAGCTTTAGAAGTTATAGTTTTTTGTTTTCTCATTCTTTTATTTTAACTATGAAAGGTTTTATCAAAAATGACAATATCACCCTCATGAGGAGGGACTTAACAACTTTACGTTTAATAGCTAAGTTAACTAATCTACACAGTATTTTGGCCATCTTTGATAGGTTACTCAGGACAATGTTTAACGAACTCACTGTTCAGTACGACTTGATATCGGTCTTTGAATCTCATAGTCTTAAGAATTAGGGATGATAGTCGTTAATTCTTCTTAAGAGCAATATAAATATTGATAATGACCATATATTCATATAAAGACTATATATTATGTACCTTTGCCAAGTACTAGTTGTACCTTTACTGAGTCTACAATTTGAATAAGGACTTTTAAGAACTGGGCCTTTAATTTTCAGGTCATACTTTCTACATTCCTGAATCAGTGATGGGAATGACTTTCCTGGCATTTGGTGGATGTCTTCCCGAAGCCTGCTCCGTATTCATCATGTCCAGACGAGGTATGTATCTATGACTATCAATTTGCTATATAAACATCTTTATAGACAGATTAAAACTAGTAACCAAACTGGATTTCCCGAAATCTTTAAAAATTTTCAAATATTTGGATTGATCCAGAGATTGTTGATTAAGATTCGTTGTTAATTTCAATTGCTGAATGTATTAATGTATTATACTTATCTAATACTATATAGTCTGCGAATAAGTTTAGCCGATGCGATTGTATAGTGCCAATTGTAAGACCTTTAATTTTTATAGATTTGTTAAGATGTGCTGACTTTCTTTATTTGCATTACGTTCATACAATACCAAGTTTTCGTTTTTCATGAATTTTATTTTATTATGGTAAAGCTGTGCGTTTTTTTGTTATTGGGTTATAAGATGTACGGAGTATAACAAGCCTAAATCATTTTGCGCAATATTATATTTATTTAAACGTATCTATCTATTTCGGAAGACATAAATGAGTAAGATAAGGAGTACATAATTACGGGCTAATTAGCAAAATAATTTGGATAGTACGCAGGTCTATATCAGCATAAATACTCCACATATTAGGTACTTATAATTAGTTGAATACTAATCATTTTGTGATCATTATAGAACTTCTCGTTTTGAGATAAGATTTTACACAATCGACTATAATATTATCGATCGATTATAATTTATGTGTGGAAAAATTGAGGAAATAATAAAATTTATTCTTTTATCTATTACGTTCGGATTTTCGAATTGATCTCGATATTATAACATTAAGATATAAAGATAATAGATAAGAGAGCATCCGCATTGCTAAATTCGTAATATTCTTGCAAGAACCTGAAATGAAAGGTCCCTAGCGAATGCTTTGAACTAACGAACTGGCAAAATGTAAAGTTAAATGTTTAATACTAAGCGAAAATATGCGAATAGCTGGCTTATCACTCGTTAAAAATATCAGGAATTAATAAAAATAGTATAATTTTAGATTGATATCTTTGTTGTTATCGTGGCTATAATTCCTGATATGTCTACACGCAGTTCACTGATTATATATTTAATTTGCACTATCATATTGTTACAGGTGAAGGAGGTATTGGTGTCTCGAATGCTCTGGGAGCTAACTCCTTGGCAATTTTGTTCGCGTTGGGTCTTCCATGGCTCATCAAAACTCTGTCCTTGGTCGCGCAGGACGCCGACCAACAGGCCGTGCTCATTGACTCAGCTGGTATTGACTTCGTGGTGGGCTCTCTGCTCGTAGCCGTCGCCTGTTTGTGGATCACCCTCTACATTGGCAAATTCACGCTCAGAAGAAGCCTTGGTGCTATCCTCTTAATTCTCTACGCTATCTTTATTACCTTCGCTATTCTTGTAGAAATGGGAATAATTTTAGACCGAGGCATTGAAACATGTTGAGTAATTTGTTAGCAATTTCATTGGATTAAGATAATGGAGTTAGTAATCATTAGAGGTTATTAATTCTCTTTGGCTTAGTGTACGCTCAGATGGATCACTTTAGTTAATGATACCCACAAAATGTTGAAATACTAAGTCATTAATAGTTGTAGCTGCTTAAGGCAGCATTTAATATGTTGGTGATTTTAATGAAAATTGACTGTGTCGAACACTGTCGTGGACATGTAAAACATGTAATGTTTCAAATGCATATTGGGTAATGAAATAATTTTATGTAATTTAATGAATTTCAGTAGTTTGAGATCCGTTGAGCTATATCGAGCCTTAGTTTAATACATAACTCGTTACTGGAATGACCAAAAGAGTATACTCGGACTTTTAATTCGATTCAATAAAGTGACATTTTTTGTACTTTATGCAAAGAATTTACTCTTTGATATATGATAATAAAATATTTATCAATAAAAGAAATTGATAAGAAAGTATTCAATCCAGGAAGAGCAGCGCAGACGTTCATCCGTAAGGTGGACAGAAGACCTGATACATAATTTAAACGGGCTGCTCTTATTGAGATAGTGATTCATTGGTATTGTCAATTGATAAATGATAATAATGTAAGAATATAACGTCTTAATTTAAAATCATTCATTTCGATGAGCCGAATCTGTATGTAAAAATAACGAATGTCAATTTACAGGATAGAATTAAAGGTCTGTGTATAGGTAATAAGCGATTACAAAAGGTAAGCTAGGATCTGATTATATGCAGCTGATTACGATTTTGATATTTTTTTTAAATATACAGAGTGACTGGTTGAACGATGCGGATATACTTACAGCGTGTTTAAGCACCTGTGTTTAAAATTGTTGTGAGGAATGAAAATATGAATAAAGTTGGCTAGAGGGTTTCAAATTTCATTCCCGAGTGGGATAAAACATTATTGATGACGGTATTTGGTTATCGACATTCTCAATAACCAAGTGTCGTAGCAAAGAGGTCTCCCCTGATACAGGGGAATTATAAACATGACATGTGACCCCTTGACCTACTATATGTGATAGTTGTTTTGTTTCTATAACTTTATCACATGTTTCGTTTACCTGTTGCTATCACAGTGTGGATGTTGGATCTCCTTCGTTGAACTAGTCAGTCTGATGCCGGTACAAACACATGTGATATTTACTTACCTTCTTGTCGGGTCGTTGGCCCCATTAAATCGCGTCCTTTTGCATTTTTTAGATTAAGTAATTAATTTCAATGTATTCCTACCTCGTACAAAATATTGTAAAACTCTATTTTTGCGACTGATGGGACGTACCTACGCATAATAAATGAACTTTAATTAGCATCTAAGTATGTAAATTATATTATTTATTTAGAGTTGTTTAATTTTGTATGAAATTTCTTTAACTCTACGAGAAGTTTGATTGCAAATAGACATAGTAGATTGGTTGACTTGTTGTTTTTTTTTTGCCCACGGCATTGCCCTATTATCTTCATTATTGTTAATTCGTCGCTCTGTTTTGACGCGAGAGAAAGTCAAATAAACAAATGCAGGTTCATAATATTAGTACGGATTATATGGCAGGTAAATGTGTTCCTGTCAAGGTTATTACGTAGAACATACAATATCTACATGTATTGCCGCCAAAATGTCCTAGACGTCAATTACTTCTATATTGTTTTAGTCAGAGCAGAAATATTAGGGGAACAACACTTATGTTTATTGAACTCCACAGGCCCAGTTCGAGAAATATTGACAAGATAGAGTTGACCTAGTTAATACGTTGAGGCAATATTCCTTTCTCTACCTACTCAATATTTGCATGTTTTTTCCTTTAGAATTTTATAAATGTTAAATATTTTATGAGGAAGGATCGGCATTAGCCCATGTGATTTATGTACGGCCCTGTTCCCTTGGTTTTGGAAAGTATAAATCTCAGGTTTATTGCCATAGTATTCTAGCTTTATTATGCTATAAAGGCTTCATTAATTTTGAATATTTGAAAGAATTTAAGATTTTAATTAACGACTGGTTTATTTTTAAATCGCAGGGTCCCAATGGATACATTTAAAAAGTGTGTTTTCATAATGGGTAGCTTGAGGAAAATGTGTCGTTTTCTTTTGCCTAACCTAATTGAACTGTTTCCCCCGTAACTTCAATCCCTGTTTATGACGCATAAAGATATTAAGTCCTTTTTTCAATTAAAACCAAGGTTAAATAAAATGCAGCAATAACAATATTCAGTGTCCGTTTATTGAGTTTTATAGGTGGTCGGTTTGGATCCGAGGTTCACTTTTTTTTCAATTATTTCAATTATGCTTCGTCATTCTTATAATCATATCATTGTCACTTAATCCTAATATTAAATAAGTGTGTACGAGCTAAATGATTATATACGTAGGGTCATACAGCCTGGTCTCTTGTGTTCACTAAGCTTTCAGCCCCGGTTACACCTGAAACATGCAAATTCTGCGTTATTTCTTTGTAAATAGAGACAATTTTCCTTTGGCATGCAAATTAAATTATTTTATTATATACTTGCCTACTCTTAAAATAAATACGAAAATTATTAAATTATTTTTGGTTCTGTGAAGTATGTACGTTAATGCTGCTCTTAATGGCACGCCGGTACTGTTCACTTTTAGCCTGTTTGAAGGCATCTCATTCTCATGGGCAAGCAATAAATTAAATATCTACTTAACATGATGCCTTTGAATTTGCCGAATTATTGTTAAGTACATTTAGATCTATGTCAAATATACAGTATGTTAAATCGGGTTCTAAATGAATGGCAATGCCAGATAAGATCACAATTAGTAGCTCACTCACTATCTGAAATACTCAATCATTGATAAGGCTATTATTTTATTACATGCGTAATCTGTTCGTGAACAAACAGTTGAAAGTCGTTTATTGACTTCATCATCAGTTCTGATAACAGACCGACACGTGCGCATGCTCACTGCTCACTTAGAAGGTTTTAGTTAAAATTTCTTAGGTCAAAGTAAGCCACTAAGTATGAGTAGCATCTGGACGAACGAGCTCAGCGTTAGTTAGTTAGTCAAGCTTCAGATGACGAGTTATTTTCAAGTGCCAGGTCGAATTGGTGATTACTAGTATGCAATTAGTAGCAAAGTGAATTTTGAGGTGGAATTATTTTCTGTATTTTGTTACCATTGTTTCAAACGAAGCGCGACGCTGAGATCGAGCACCGCTTGGAGTAACTTATCAATTTTATCTTAATTCTAATGAAATTAGTAAAAAAAAACCGACCCAGCTAATGGGTAAGTGTTACCAGTCATAGGAATGCCCTCGTTTTGTGTGCGAAAGCGTGATAGATATGTCTTAGTGGCGACCACGACGTCGTGGTTGGTGAAGCAGAACAGTATCGCCACGCACAGACCCTGGACACAAACATTGGCTCATTATTACACGAATGTAAAATAACCCAAATTATCTTAAAAGGAGAACTCATAAATCAAAGCAAATCTCATATTTTCAAAATATAATAAATCTGACCTGTAAACTTGTGAGAAGCGCCGAAAATATCTGGTAAGCCTTTTCCCATGGCGAGTCAGGCAATGGCCGAAACGGGAGTAGTACAAAGTGCAGACCGAAGAGTGGTACCTGTGGACAAACACATAAACATATCAGACGCACTAACGTGTGCCCTGACGTGTTCATCTGAGACGACAGACAACTTGAGAGTAGGATCAAGAATTTAGATTTACGCAGTATACATGAAATGGTATGGTTGAGGTTGCTTGTGGGACAAGGATGATCATTCATATTTCATATTTTATAATAACTACTGTAACATCTACACTTGACCTACATATATTCGCAATAAACAATTTGAATTTAAATTTGAAAATTTGAATCTAATAGGTGGAGGATGTGATCATGGTAGTTAAATGAAACAATTAATTAACTAATTTCCCACTTTATAGCTTACATTCTTCCATAACCAGATTAAATCTGCAAAAACATATTTATATTAGACAATGCACCACAAACTAATTTAAGGTAACGAGATGCATTTGAACCAGTAAAAGCGCAGTGTTCTCGTTTGGGTCCCAGACGTTCTTATCTAAAGTTTAAAAATAAAGTCAACTCATAACTCGCTAGCAGTAAATCGTTTTGAGAACAAAGTTCGCCGAAGCTATTTTCGCTTTACACATATAAGGAATAAATAAGATTATGGAACGATCGCTAGAAGAAAATCCAACAATCTGTGTCGCTTTTTAAAAATATACAAGCAAAATCACGTAACACGGCAATTGCTCATGGTAATTCCAAAATACAAATTGTACTTTGCGTAAAAACTTATTTACCTTCGCAGAAAGAAAGGTGACTGCGCAGTGGAGGTGCTTCATGAATTACAAATGCGTACTAATCTAATCTCTCTCTCACGAAAGAAAACTCTGTTGTTATTTTAATGGTGCATCCACATTGACCTTACTTTTTATTGAGCTACGCTACGCGAGCATGTTCAGGTGTAGTTTCATCGAAAATTTAAAGAACCTTTTCTTGCTTACAGTGTGTATCTTGTGATTGTGACATAAAAGACAAAAGGTAATATGATCAGATTAGTCAAATACAAATAGGTAAACTAAACTTTTTTTAGTAACTGAACAAAAACATTGTAATTGTAAGATATTAAAGTTGCATCGATGGCGGTCACAAAAAGAAGACGCTGCTATCAAAGCAACCTCAATAATTTTGACTACATCTGAACCAGACTTAAATGTCAGTCATAAACGATTGTAAGTACTACTTCTAAGTTAGACAAGATAAAGTCTTTCTAGAATTCGTTATCGTAAAAATGTAACAAAAATAAAATCTAGTTTCTACGCGAAGTGAATATAAAATATTTGTCAAAAGTTCAAGAGTGAAATGTAGTACAAAGATGTGTATTGTATGCTGAACTTTTTCGTTTTATTCTTTCTTTTTTGTTTCTTACTTTTTTGTGATATACACTAAAACGTTGCTTTGATGCGATGTCTTTCAAAATTATTTACAGAGAGTCTTATTGCTGAATTTAATCACTAATTCATAAATTAATCCAGAACCAGTGGATTTATTCAAGTTTTTGACATTAGTTGTGCATATATACAAATGCTGTTCGATTTTGAACCAAAAATGTTTAATTGAGGTTAATCATTCATTTTGGTCGTTAGTTTATTGAAAGCAGTAAGGATAAATATAGCCTAGCCTTAAAATCATAATAGCATTTTAAAGAATAACTACGTTTGTTTTTCTCTTACCTGATGGATATCTTATTGTAGTGAATTATGTAGGTAGTGAAACAATAGATTTCAGACCTTTATTATATTCATTTTATTAGGTAGGTATTGCCTCTCATTACAAATTATAATTTGTTGATCTAATTTATTTTCACCTCTATTATTTTAACCCGTACCCAAATCTTGGTTTTCTGGAAGATATTCTCTTATTGAAGCATCAATATTATACGTCTTCGTGATACGTTAGCTCTCATAGTACTGGATTCGGTCAAAGCATTTATCGATTGATCTATGTTCAGGCAGTATTGGTTGCCAATAGTGAGTTTGTCAGTGGTTGCGTGGTGTTAAACTGTTCATTCCAATATTATAAGAGAAGAACGAGCAAACTCCATCTAAATCTCAGTTAACAGCCGAAATTACCTATATAATAATCGATCTCAATGATGGATTTAAAACCTTAGGATTGAATCATTGTTAAGTATGAAGTAAAAGTTAGAACGATCTAGAGATTCTCAATTAACTCGTCCAGAACCGTTATTATAGACACAATTATAGAACAATAGGTTGCGGTCACCGGTGACCGCTTGGTGTTTGACAGTTTAAGATCGATCATTGATTTCGTCTGTGTGTTTCCCTGTAATTTCTCACCAGTATGAGAGCAGCTCGTGCAGCCTTCCTGGCAGCTACAGATGCATGCTGAGTCGGTGCTGGGTGCAGCTTCGTCACGAGCACACGTACCACGTTCACCAGAAATACTGCAAGTGAAAACAATGTCAAACCCTACTAATTACAGTAAGAACATTTTTGGTAGGGTGTACTTTATACTAACACTAAATGTCTTTTGGTCTACTTGTATCAAACTCGATTGCTAAAGACTACATCTTTATATTTTCTTCTAAGTTATTTTCTCCACTTCTTTTGGGTGCTAGTATGACGTTGTAAATGTAACCTTTGCTTAAGTTACCCAGTATCTCAAATAGGTTATGAAACTCGTAATAAAAATTCAATCCTGTCCTGTACTTTCGGAGGTTATTCTAAGCAAACAAACAATCAAGTTTCGTTTTTCTAACATTGATTCAGATAGGCTTTATCCTGAAAAATATCACGTAGGTAAATATTGACCTGTGGGTACCCGTGACCGTAACCTAGGTCTGTATAATTACCGCGAAGCTCTCTAGTAGCAAATGTGTCAATATTATTAAAGTTTGTTAAATAAAAGCAAATGGACAGTGAAGGTCGTCTGGATTGATGAGTGAATGTTAATGGATTCAATGTAGAATAGATACTTAATGTATGCATAATATGATATGCTGATTTTCAGTATGCGTTTGTGTTAGAGTATGCTTATGTATCACAGTTCAATCTTTGTTATTTTAAAATGTGTATATATTTTTGGTTACGAAAATAGATATTGATTTTCCAAACATATTTTACCCATAATAACTACACAATAGTGAAGAGAAATAAAGATTTAACTCAGAGAATCTCGTTTGTCCAAAACTTACCATTGGAACCTTTCTAAATGACCGAGCAAAGTACTTGGGTACTTGAAAGAACGGGTACAAGTTTTTCGTATTTTAGTTTTACCGCATCTTCGTATTCTATATCTAGGACAATGGGTGTAAGCGACCGAAACATGTGATGGGTTCAGTTTCAAAGTAATTGTTCTAACTATGATTTATCAATGTCAAGCGAAAAACAAAAAACTTTAACCTGATTTGAGAATGTCTAATAAGGCCAATATTCATTTAGGAAAAGGATCTTACATAATTATACAATAAGCGGTCACCAAACAGATTGAAAATGAAACTATGTAACAAATAAGTCCTTCAATTAGGTAAATATTTCTATAGTGGTTAACCTCCGGATACAAATTACTTATCTTGTCTATCCATTTTAATTAGTTTGTCTAATGTTAATTAGGCATTAAAATGGTTACAGTTTTCTGAATAACTAGAGAGTACCTTGGACAATTTATTACTAAATCCCGATGTTTCCAACGCCAGTTCAATTTTATCAAAGGAATAAGTTTAAATATTTGACAGTTCTTCCACAAAAAACTGTCAACTGTCAATTTTATTCTACAGTTAAGAATTAACTGAATTGATATTAAAAAACCGGCCCTAAGATAATTAGGAAGTAGGTAACTACTGTCCACGTTGCGTCATTTGACGAATGTATGCATGCATCACAAACAACAGATGACCTGCAAATGACAAATGCTTGTATGTTGCTTAAAAACAGAAAACTGTCAACGAAGCGGCAATGTGAAACCCGCCTATCGTTTTTGACGAATACAAATACTCAAACGTCACGTTGAGTAGAGTTTCAGTATTCGGGCGTAAGTTTTATGGCATTTTTTTCTATAAGGCGTGGTTAATTCCAAATTCTCTAGGATCGCCATCAAATAACTTTATCTTGAATACAATGACAAACGTATGTGCGCAATAAATTAGGTATTTACTTGTCCCCAATTAAGATAAAGATTGCAATTATCCAAAGCAAATAATAGGGTCGGGTTGTTTGTGAAGCTTTCTTCTCTTGTTTTTTTTTTGTTTTTACTTGAGGAAAATTTTGTCCGTTGAGATATAACTCGGATGTTTGTATTTTTAACCCGGTTTTACCTGCTCACAACAGTGACGGACATTTTTAAAATTAAGACTTTCATTTATGCGGCGCGTGGTAAAACTCCAGTATTTATTGGCAAGATTCATATAATATATTATTTTTCTCATAAGCAATGAGACGTTCCAGAAATACAATGTCATTTGCCTACAAAATTATGTGGATCATAATGACATAATAATGTATGTTGGCAACAAACTGCGAATTTTTGACGAATCAAATTTTGTTGAATAAGTTGTTATTTTTTTTTTGAATGTGTCATAATTTGCACAGTGTATAAATTAACGCGATACAAATGTAGGTGATGGGTAAAAATAAATTGTATAGAAGTTTAGATAAAATTTAATTTTTAATGTGTATTGTATATACCTACTTTTTGTCGTCAGCTAACCCACATGTAATAGCGATTATACTATACAAACGAATACAGAATATAGAAAAGAGAAACATAGAATAGAAGAAGCAAAATATTTAACACTCTCACAGTACAGGTGGTACAAAAGGGTCAGGGTGTAACGTTTCAAGTAGTTTAGTTGGACGTTTTTCCTCGTAACACTTGATGTCGGGTGTCGTAACGTATGGGGTACAAACTGGAAAGCTTTGATATCGTAGGGTTACATTGTAAAACCATGACAGATCATAGGCAGCGAGCCATTCGTGACCGCGATTTGTAATTTGTAATATTATCAATACATAGTATAAAACAAAGTCGCTTTCGCTGTATGTCCGTATGTATGCTTAGATCTTTAAAACTACGCAACGGATTTTGATGCGGTTTTTTTAATAGATAGAGTGATTCTTAAGGAAGGTTTGTATGTATAATACATGCATATTGCACCCGTGCGAAGCCGGGGCGGGTCGCTAGTATTACATATATCAGAGGCGCATCAATGGTATCGTTATATGAAAAAATGCGAGTTTGGCGGTATAGTTATTATTTCATTGATGGATAACAATAATTATTTAAGAAAGGTTTCTGAACAAAACATGGTCTCACCGGTATTTCTTTTTATTATTTGCTTGTTAGCGTTAGGTTTTATGAGATTAAGATTAATTTTAGTATGTTACGTAAAATAAATAATCACGTAACTCATTAGCAGTACAACGCCCTTGCTTGTATTTTAGTGTACCCTCCCTTAAGTGTATACTAAAATAGCTATAATAATATTACTAACTAAGTTCCTCTGGTAACTTTGGATTATAGGTACCTACAAAAACCGATTTTCATTACGGCTATTCCGGCTGTGGCATTTCAAATTCGACCAGGGACACCATGGTCGCATCGGTGTCGTCTTCTCAGGTTCTATTTCAGAGCTCTCCCAGATCACAACGGTCATAAAATAATATAATAGTTGATTAAGCTGTGGCATATTTTTCGTATCCTGCTGAAACTTTATCAGGGAATGATATTCTTCGGACTCCTGTTTAGATAATGTTTAAAGCTGACCATATAAAATTTAGACTATAAAACCCATCTCAGCAATTGACAATGATGCGGACGAATTCTTTGACGCCTAACTGACAGTATTTCGCTTTTTCTTTTACCTTTTTGATTCGCTGTTTTAGTTAATTTTAAGTTGTATATATTTATTAATAATAGTTGCCTATTTAACCCTTTGAGTACCGTCATTATAGACACAATTAAAGAACAATAGGTTGCGGTCACCGGTGTCCTCGCGGTGTTTGACAATTTAAGTGTATTATTAGGAACTAATTATTCTTTCAACAATTTAATTATGAAAATAAGTAGGTGTCTACCCAATTAAAAATACTTTTCACCTTGCAGAGACGAAAGATTCAAAAACTTGATCTCTTGCCCAAGGTTGCAGAAACAATAAAGTGAAACAAAACGTAATATACACACCGCTATGTACTTTAAGGTTCCTTGCGTAAATTGGTGCACATTAATTGATATTAAGAAAAACGGGGCCATTTCAAGCCATCGTAATGGCTTATGGGATGTTTCCAAGAGGGAATGAGTTTGTTCTTAGGCATTTTTATTTAGACCCGCGTACATTATTCGAATACAAGCCAGCTATAAAGGCGAATGGGCATGCAGTGATTCAGAGAACAAGAACATTGCAATTTTTTTGTTTGTTTTTATCATCAGCTTCCTAGTCCTTGTTGTCGACCAAATTATGATTCCATTAATCAACAGTTCGCGCAGAATAATGACATCCCGCAGAATTTTAAAATAATAATTCAATTAGTTACAAACTATTAGTTCCGAAGATTATAGCGTTCAAACTGAGTAGACAGAGGTGCACATTACGGTACTTAATGCTACTGTACAATGTAACATCGACTTTTCACTATTTATGTTATGAGTCCCATGTAATAAGGGGTGAGCCTATTGCCATATACCGGGAATGATTCCAGACTCCATGCTACTACTGAGAATTACAAAAAAAAAACCAGTAATACTTTGCCCGACCCGGGAATCGAACCCGAGACCAACGATGCATCCTCAATTATAACAGTCTGAAACACCTAAAGCACATATAAAAAATATCAAAGTTAGTTCGTTTGATTACGAAACTAATTATATATATATCTAAATATTATTACGTGTTTGCTTTAGAATCAAATATACCTCTAATTCTTCTTGTCTCTAGGATTGTAAACATTAATATATTGAATTCTTTTTACAGTCGAAACGGTTACAAAACTAATACAGGAACTGGACTGGACTGACTGAACATAATATATATTTATCTCTATATTGTATATGACATCAAGAAAAGTAATCAACTTTAAAAGGTAAGCAGACACTATAATTATAATATACATATTATAATATACATATTATAATTCCATATTATTTTATAGCAGTTGTCGATTTTTTTTGTTAGTATTACACACACACGGGTAAACGCGCGTTCTCGTACACACGGGTAAATATTTTAATAGAAAAACGAATTAACTATTCTGCTCAATCAAACAAAGAACGGGTTGCAAACTTGAAAATATACGTCACAGAAAAAATATCCAATCGGTGCGCGTTTCTCGTACACCCGTCCGTGTGTACAATTGCGCGATAGGCACTCAACTCTCTCGTACACCCGTGTGTACGAGAAACACGCGAGAGGTTAGTGGAGAGCGGTCACCGGTGACCGCTTGGGGGATTTAATGTAAATCAAATGAGCGTTAGACGAAAGAAACGAAGGATTCATTATATGATTTTCATACTTTCTCTTTACTTGATAGTTGTAGGCTTTTCCTGATTCTTATCTGAAAGTACTAAACGCTGTATTTTTCTATCTGTACCGAATAGCACGTAGGTCAAGTCGTTGGTCCCCCGCGTGCGTCCGGCCATATCGGAAATCCTTACGAGATTGTGTTCCATGATCGAGATTGGTTAGTACAACGTCCTTATTGCTATATTTTTATTATTATACACAACCTAAGCAAGTCTATTATAGATAAACAATTTATTGGTTTGTCAAACATGTCGGAAGATAAACGAATTGGCCAATTTACTAGGGATACTTGATTCGATATTTGTAATAAATAACTGGTTATTTACTAGTTCATACAATTCGATATAATTTTAGTAGATATATGAAGTTGTGTACAACCACAACTAAGGACGTTGATACAGGAAAATTATTCTTTGACCTCCGAATTTGGGTAAGATTACCCAGACAGGTGACATTGTTCAGGTAATTTAGACAATTGTGTCTAAGCAATTATGTACAGAAGCACTTATAAGGTGCTCTTCTCGTAGTGAGAGAAGACACGAATTAAGTTTTGTATCACGAGTTATATTCTAGTGGCATATTATGCTTGCTTTGCGCAATAAGTTTTAAATGAAACGACAGATTCTCCGAAGGCATAGGACCAACTTTATTGTACTCTAGGGACTGTACAGTTCATGCTACCATATTTGAACTTCTCTGATATATAAATAGCTAAACCAGTAAGAAATGTTTGTTTTACAACGTACTCGTCTGAGATATCTATACAATAGTGAAAACTCAACGTATAGCAGTTTAGCAGTCGAGCTTATTTTGATTACTAGATCAATGAATTTGTTTTAAAAACTAAAACTACTAACTAACTACTAACCAACGGATATTACACTTACCAAATGAAGCCATTAACGAAAGTCCAACGGGCACGATGATAATCCAGAATGTGTCGCTTTGGTCCATCCAGCACCTAAGAAATTACATCAGTAATTAGTAAATTAAATTCAAACGTCTTGTACTTAAAGACCACTTTTATAAAACAAGACTGTCTTCAAAGATTTAACTGTGCCCAAAGGCAACGTAATCAACTCTACTATTGTAATTTATTTTGATTGCTTTTGCTATTTCTGGTGACTGTTCGATTCGATTATTTCGGATTGTTTCCATATATATACTGATGGGCTACAAAAAGTTATTTTCTATGATATAACAGATACGCATTACGTTTCTTACATAAGTTCGATTTTTATTAAGTTGTCATTTAAGTACTATTGAGTAGTACAACACACTTAGTATTGTATAAGCTTAGAACGATAGGAAAATTAAAATTAGATAAAAGGGGGGAAAAGTAGGGAAGGAATTCCGGCTTATCGAAAAAGAATTCGACGGTCGTAATATCGAGTCATTGTTTACTTTAGAATTTACCCTTCTTCTGCCGTTGCTTCAACAATCAAAATGTCTTAATTAACACAAAAATACAATGGAAAGACGTTGTCGAAAAATATAAGTGTATCCAAGTAAAATTACGTTTAAAAAAGGGGTCGTTGAGTGAAACAAAAAACGTATTTTCTTTAAAAGCTTTAAAACGTAGCTATCCTCTGCAGAAACCGTTATTTTATTTTGATACCTATCATGGCTCACTTCCCTACTTTTGGTACAAATAGATGGACCTA